TAAACCACCCCGTTCCTACTCCTGAACTTCGAGCCGGAGCCCCGGTACGTCAATCTAAGCTACATCAATCTCTATCTCTAGTTTTGATTTTTACTTTGTTTGTGTAATACACATATGTAACGGTGTCATTATTTCTTTACCTGCCATAGGCCCACAGGAAGAAAAGAAATTCCAGTTGGAATATGTGGGAATACTTTGTTTTTATAATTACATGTTGTCCTTTGGATTGTATGTGTGTACATAAACTTTATACATATAGTGACCAGATTGGCGATATATTAAAGAAGGGCCAAATTAAAAGTAGGTACCTTTAACCGACGAGCATGCATGAAAAGATTGAAGACTGTTGATGAAGCGAAAGAGGTATGTAGAAATCATAGTAATTGGCGTTCCTTAGTCTCTGCCTACCCCCATGGGAGACAGGCGTGAAGTTATGTATGTATGTATAAACTATGTCGTGGTGGCCCGGAGGTTTAACCTTTTGAACGCCAGAGCAAAAACGCATGAACTTGCCCTCAACGCCAGGCCACAAATTCACCGCAAATACCTACGAAAAAAATAGGGATTCCAAAACTTCATCGATAATCAATTTTATTTTCATTTTCGTCTTTAATTTCGAAATATAATGTCCTTATAACATTGGAATTTAATTCAACATTACATTTCTTCCTATTAAAGTAATAGTTATACACTATTTAGGTACAGACTTGTATAATACCGTAATAACAGATATGAGACTACAATATATTTAAATATAATAACTGTAGGTACAACACTATTCTTGGTCTGCTGTCTTCATATTGTGACCATGGCGTGGACGGCCCGCCATTTTAATAACTACTTCGCTTCCGAAATAAGGATGTGGCAACGTAATATCTCGTTTATCGATGTTCTAGTACAATATTATTTTATAATAAATGAAACACGTTTTTTAAATCAGATTTATAATTCCGAATGTAACAGGTACTTAAAAATATATGATTGAAATAGGTTAAGAAGGTAAATAAAATGTTATACAGTATGTACTATGTATACATGTTTTTAAATATTAAGTTCTATAAACCTGGCATAAAAAGTAACAAATTAAAACAATTAACGATTATATATAATTATCACAATTACCAATCAGTCTTATACTAATAAATCTTTTGAATAATAGAACTAAATTATACAAAATCTACAATGCAAATCTCTAAATCAAATTCGTCCAAAGATTCTGTTTCCGAAAATTCTTCGTCATCTGAGACTCCTTCTAATATGCGAAGAAGTTCTTCCGTAGTCATTAACACATTCACTGCCCAGTGGATTTTCTCCAGTGCCCGAATTATAAGACATCCTACAGTGCCCCGCACGCACTATTGCGTTCAATGTTTGCCCTTTTCGTGTGCCGGAAACTCATATACGCGTCCTTACGGCTCCCACCGTGTGCCCGAAACTCATTTATGCGTCCGTTCGACTCTCGGCGAGTGCCCGTGACGCGTCTGTGCGTTTGTTATATACTTACGAAAATACGATAGAATATTATGTATCTGTAGATAAAAGTTAGGGTCATGACACACTGTAATGGAATTTATAATCCATAAGATTATTTTTATTTTATGTAGTGAAATTGAAAAAATTATCTAAATATAAACTAAGGATGAACGTAATAATTCTATAATTGGTAAGTAGGTTTATATTTAGAACATTGTTGTATTTTAACCGACTTAAAAAAAATGAGGTTCTCAGTTTGACCTGTATGTTTGTTTGTACGCGATTATCTCGCGATTGGTTGAACCGATTTTGATGCGGTTTTCAGAAAAACTTCTGTTACATTTAGGGAATGGGTTTAGTATACTAATTAACCTACTTCAAAAACAGGAGGTTGATGTTGGATTTTTAAACGTATGTCACGACGCGATGCCAGTATATATAAATTATAGTCTTTCACCATAGATATTTAGTAAGGTACTTATTATCTCGTATAGGTTTATCCTAAAACATTTCGATAGTTGGCTATAGCGCCTGGTGGATATGGTATTTAAAATCTTCAAAGGCACCGCCGTGCATTGTATTGCCGTTATCAGCAAACTAATGTGATTCTATTGTGCGTATGTAGATAAGAGTCATATGAAATATTAGGTTTCTTGGAAAAAACAATTAGGTATCTAGGTAGATTTTGGCTTTAGCTCTCGTGGTATTTAAAATCTTCTAAGGCACCGCCGTGCATTGTATTGCCGTTATCAGCAAACTAATGTGATTCTATTGTGCGTATGTATGTGTTATGTGAAATTTTAGGTTTCTTGGAAAAAAAAGAGATGATCGAGATAACATTGAAAAAAAATACCACCAAAGGTGATCGTAGTTTTACGTGGATATTTCTTTTTTCAATTGTTCTAAGTATATTTATATTTCGAAACGGCTGAACAAAATTATTGATTATTGCATTGGTAGTAGTAGAATAAGTTTTTTTTATAATTCGTACAAAGTGTGTAATGACCTTTATCAAAGAAATCAGATAAGGAAGTACATATGTGTAAATATGGGTTTCGAAACAATAGACCCTCGGACGCGTCGACGGGCAGCAGGTAAAAAAAGGGTCAAATGAATAGAACGCATATTTGAGTCCCGGGCACATAGCGTCGTGTCACAAAACGCACAGACGCGTCATGGGCACTGAATGCGTTAAATTCCCACTCATTATAATAGTCACTTAATATAAATCTTGAACTCGATATCACAAGTAAATTAATCATAAATATTATTCATTCACTTCACTAATTTCTGGTCGCCGCGCTTGTGACGTCACGATATTGTCGTCTAGTCGTGACCATGGCGTACAGGGTAGGTACTGATAATTCAGGTTGCGTTAGGGATGCGCTTGAGTTGGGATTAGTGAATATCGAAATTCGACCCAACCAAATTTTATTTTTGACTATGTAGCTTATTGAATGATTTTTAAGACTGGTTTTATAAAATTAATGCTGCTTTATCCTAGTACCAAATTATACCTAAAATAATATATTCCAGAGGAAAGTTTCGAATCGATCTTTGATTTGAAATAATGATATTATCCAACATGCGCTACATCACTAGCGGTCACGCAGTTATGACACTGGCGTGTGAGGACATTCTTTTTTCAGAGTTTATTTCTTTCTTTTTAACGTAAAATTTCTCAATATTTATAATGCAATTTAATTAGTTTTATGGAAAGAAATAAATTTTGGACCTTCTATTTTACAGGTATATAAATAAATAGGCATTAAAGTAATGTTTAAATAGTTTATTTCGTGTTTTAATGTACCGCTGTTTTTGTCACATATTTGTGTCGTTGGCGCTCAGGGACAGTTTTCGCTTGTCACGTATTTGTGACCCTGGCGCTCAAAAGGTTAAGACGCCCGCTTCTCATGCATAAGGATGCGGATTCGAAACCTACCAGCGGCAAGTACCAATGTGCCTTTTTCCGAGTTATATGTACTTTCTAAGATTATTCAGACACCACTGACAAACGGTGAAGGAAAACATCGTGAGGAAACCTGGGCTTATAATTTCTAATTATAAGTTTAAAATCGCCAACCCGCATTGAGCAAGCGTGGTGATTAATGCTCAAACCTTCTCCGTGTGACAAGAGGCTTTGCTCAGCAGTGGACAGTTATAGGCTGTTGATGTATAAACTATAAATAAAATAAATGATAAAATAAAAGGTTGTTTTTAAAGATTCAAATGTTTTATTATATAATTGTATGTTTACATTACTTATGTATTATGGTGAAAATTAAGTCAAATTACTTACTTCAATAATTCATATCACCTCAATAAACTATGTTAATAAAACAATACGATTAATAATATTAACCGTGGGGGACGGCTAACAGCGCGGCTGGCTTTAGGGGGCTAAGGCTAAGGGTTCACGGGATCACAGAAAACTGCGGTCTCGTGAGTTTAGAGAATTCCGCCTCAATTCCGCCACCGCGGCAGGCGAGGGAGAAGATCACACCGTGAGTCTTTAGCCTAACTGATTCCACAACACAGTGTACCCGTAACAGCATTTATTTTAGGAGTGGGGTAAGTCATCCAGTGACTACTTTAACTATTACTGACTAAAATCGACCAAGCAAGAGTAGGACTCTGAAGCTCAAAGTCGCTCAGCGTGCGATGAAGAGAGCTATGCTCGGAGTTTCATTGCGCGACAAAATCCGAAATATGGAAATTCGTTAAAGAACTAGAGTTACCGACATAGCTTGAAAAATCTGCAGACTGAAGTGGCAATGGGCAGGCCACGTCGCTCGAAGGACTGACGGCAAACGGGCCAGGAAAGTCCTTGGGTGGAAACCACGGACCGGAAGACGAAGCGTGGGCAGGCCTCCCGCTAGGTGGACCGACGACATCGCCAGAGTTGCGGGGAGCCAGTGGATGCAGGTGGCGAGTTGTCGTTCGACGTGGAGGGCTAAGGGGGAGGCCTTTGTCCAGCAGTGGAAATCTTCCGGCTGTTGATGATGTTGATGATAAGAGTAGAACTCTTATATAGATCGCGTTAACCAGCTAAGTCCCACAGTTCCGGGTTAATCCGGCTGTTGATGTTGATAATAAGAGTAAGACTCTTGCATAGAGCGCGGTAACCCGCTATGTCCCATAATTCCGGGCCTGCGGACGGCGAGCATGGGTGGCTCCCCATCCGACTAGAAACAGACCCGAGCGTACGGAGCCGAGCGGTCCGCGCGCGACACAAAGAGCCATCAGACCACCACAGATGGGGCCCAATAGGGCTGTTGCCGATACGGATTCGCGGAGAACCTAACGGGTAACCGGGGCTCCGGCTCGACGTGCAGGAGAAGGAACGGGGTGGTTTTTAGTCAGTAAGAGTCTGACACTCCCTCCCGCCTTACCCAGGCAGGGAGCAGTCATTCGATGATTTTACCCCCTTAAAAAAAAGTCCCATAATTCCGGGTTAATCCGGCTGTTGATGATGATGATAAGAGTAAGACTCTTATATAGAGCGCAGTCCCACAGCTTCGGGGTACTCAATCTTCGATGCTCGGTTCTTCGCATTTCTTCTTACTAACTCTGCTTGGCCTAGTACGTTTAGGCCAAGGTACATTGCGATGCACATGTTCAACATGACCCTTCAATCCTCCGGACGTGGTGAAGGACTTATTACAAGTATGACATTTATAAGGCCTTGCACCGATGTGTACCTGAAAATATTATGAGTTTATCTACTTTTTAATGGGACAAAACCGCTGCAACTCCTGTGCACCAGGATCTACAGTAGATACATAATTTAGCTTTTATCTTTGAATTTTTCTGTTTTTATGCTTTTTTTATATTTGTAGTCTTTTCTGGCGTGCATGTCTTATGCCGAATAAACATATTTCATTTCATTCATTTCATTTCATTTCATTCATTTCATTTCATTTAATTTCATTTCATACAACCAAAAAAACACCGGAACACTGAAGTCCGGCGCGTCCCAGGGACATGAATAACTGTCTTGGTTCCCGCAACGAAATAAATCAGAAGATATTATAACAGGAGAAGAAAGTTTATCTACTAGCTACTTCCACGCAGTTTCAACCGCTCTGCTCGGAGCCTATTGATCGTAGCGTAATGTTTATAAACTATAGCCTTCCTCGATAAATGGACTATCCAACACAAAAATAATTATTGAGATCGGACTGGTAGTTCCTGAGTAGTATTAAGTATTTTTTTTTTTGTTTTTGTTTAGTTAGTTTTATTTTAATGTTTGAAAATAATGAACCTCCTTTTTTATAAAGTAATTTTTATTTTGACATGTACCTTTAATGACATTGTTTTCTCACTTAATATGACATACCATGTTTTATAGTTTTAATGATTATGACATCCATGTAAAAGTTTTGCACGCCCGAATTGTGGGCAGGATAAGAGGGACTATAATCATAATGTGACCACTGTATACCTTGTTCGGGCAAATAAATGATTTTGATTTGATTTGAGATTAGCGCGTCGAAACAAACAAACAAACAGACAAACAAACTCTTCAGCTTTCTATAATTGTATGAGATTGTATGTGTGCAAGCAATTTTTGTTTTATATTTTGTTTTAAAAGTCATTTTTGTTACTATTGCATGGTGACGCTCTGTCTAAACATAATATAATCAAAGAATATGAAATACATAAGACTGCCTCGTTGGCCAAATGGTCGCAAGTGCGACTGCCAGGCATGGGGCCTCGGGTTCGATTCCCGGGTCGGGCAAAGTGATACTAGGTTCTTAAAAAATTCTCAGTACCAGCACGGAGTCCGAAATTGTGCCCGGTATATGGCAATAGGCTCACCCCCTATTACATGACGCATGTAATGCCCCAAGTGTTGCAGGCGTATATAGGCCACGGTAACCGCTTACCATCAGGTGGGCCGTGTGCTTTTTTGCCACCGTCGTGGTATAAAAAACATGGGACTCATAACATATATAGTGAAGAGTGGGTGCTACATTGTACAGTGGCATATGTGCACCTTTGCCGACCCCTTTGGAGATAATAGGCGTGATGTTATGTATGTATGTAATTACGTATGTATACTTACAGACTTACAGACTTGACTGCCTCGTTGGCCGAGTGGTCGCAAATGCGACTGCCGGGCAAGGGTCTCGGGTTCGATTCCCGGGTCGGGCAAAGTATTACTGGGTTTTTAAAAAATTCTCAGTAGTAGCACGGAGTCTGGAATTGTGCCCGGTATATGGCAATAGGCTCACCCCCTATTACATGGGACTCATAACATAATTAGTGAAAAGTGGGTGTTACATTGTACAGTGGCATAATGTGCACCTCTGCCTACCCCTTCGGGGATAATAGGCGTGATTATGTATGTATGTAATTATGTATGTATACTTACAGACTTGACGTGTCTATTCCGATTATTCGGGTGTGTAAACTGTTTATCACACATGGAACATTCATATGTCACACCTTTATGGCTTTTCATATGAAACATCAAACTTGGCTTTTGTGTAAACTTCTTCTTACACAGATCACACTGAAACTTCTTGACCCCAGTGTGAACCCACTTGTGATATTCTAAACATATATTATTCTGAAATAGTAAATTATAATTATAAGTTAACGCCCGAATACTGAAAGTGTGGGAGAGCCATGCTTCGGCACGAATGAGCCGGCTTGACCGGAGTGATACCACGGCCTCACAGAAAACCGACGTGAAACAACGCTTGCGTTGTGTTTCGTCGTGTGAGTGAGGTTACTGGAGGCCCAATTACCCCCTTCCCCAGTTTCCCTAATCCCCGAATCCCCCAAAATCCTCAAATTCCTAATTCCCAAAAGGACGGTAACGCACTTGTAACGCTTCTGGTTTTTCGGGTGTCCATGTGCGACGCCGATTGCTTACCATCAGGTGATCCGTCTGCTCGTTAACCGGATTACATTTTTTTATGGCATAAGCGACTTTTCCAACATATTCAGCAACACAATGATGACCTCATGTCGCGTGCAAAGTGTTACCTAGTGGATACGAGGTTAGAAATATTGCAAGATTCACAAACAAACACACACACACACACACACACACACACACACACACACACACACACACACACACACACACACACACACACACACACACACACACACACACACACACACACACACACACACACCTTTACCTTTACTGTTGTTGTTGTAACAGTAATAAGTAGACATCATTTTTTAATTATTATTATTATATTGTTTTTAAATGTAAAATGACGGTTACTCTGACATATTATTATCAATATTCCATCAATGTCTAATATTGAATAAGGTTTCCACATTCGAAAAATGTCGGTTAGTTCGCAATCACTATGAGTGACTACTATATTTGCACGCCATTGTATACGGCAAACATGTCTCGAACTTTTTTCACTGTTACCCTATTCTTGCATGCTATTGTTTATTGTATGTACACATGTGTTTGAGCAAATAAACATGATTTGATTTGATTTCACACCCTCACACACACGCACACACGCACACACACACACACACGCACGCACATATTACAAGTTAAATAAAATTTTGTAATAAAGACCACATACAGCGAATATTTTCCCGCACTGGTCACACATACTAGGGGTCTTCATCGTAGGGTACTTGGTTCGGACCTTCTCCGGATGCAATCTTCTGAAGTGTTGAGCGTATGATATCATATTTCGTTGTACTTCACCACACTGATGGATATACAATCAACATAATTATTATTAACTAAAAATCGCTGGTTACTCACGTGAATATACTGAGAAAAGCTCTACTAATTTCAAACCACAGAGGGGTAGCGCAAACGCTAGTCAATAGGCTGCGCGACATCACCGCGACCGCGCACGCTGCTCATGAGGAAGAACTCCTCTGTGGTTCGAAACTAGTAGAGCTTTTCTCAGTATATTCACGTTAGAGTTTTTAGTCTCACGATAGTTATTATAAAAAGAATTATCATTAATCTTCTATCTATATTTTATAATGTACTAGCGGCCCGTCCCGGCTTCGCACGGGGGGACTTAAGATTTTTTACATAGTTTTACGTTTTATTTATATTTATTCTCAGTTTTTTTTTTTAGCGACCTGCCCTCCGTTGTCGATGTCGCGTCTTAAGGTAACCGATTGAACAATTCAAAAGTTATCTAGAGCAAACTTTTATAAGGATTGAACCATTCATTAAAACGATTGTTATGGGTAAACTATAAAAGGTAGACATATGCTCTCGCGGACTTTTTTAAAAATAATGTTAAGATAAACAATTCATCTATAGAACATTTTTGTATAACTTTAACTATATGCTCAGCGCACGCCACGGAAGGCCTTAGAAACGATACTTTTCCCCCGTTTTTAAAACATTTTTGGTTACTGCTCCACAACTATAGAACCTAGCGTGATATTATATAGCCTATGTTACTTCTGAATAATGCAGCTTTCGAATGGTGAAAAAATTATTGCAATCGGTTCAGTAGTTTTTGAGTTTATTCATTACAAACATACAAAAATACAAATCTTTCCTCTTTATAATATTAGTATAGATAAAACTGAAGTCTTTGTTTTTTGACGTGACTACGTCTTATAAATTGGTTTGCCGGGTGACACTTCAACGCTCAGCTCACGTTATGCGCTCAGAATGAGAGAGAGTGAGAGGCACGCGTCCCTTCCACTCGGGCATGGTTAGCCCGCCTAAGAGCGAGAGAGACAGACATAAAAATTTCATCCTTGTTCCTACTATACGAATAAATATTCACATTAAAAGTATTTTACCACTCAAAGTCGTTGTCACGTAAAACTTTCGCCCGTATACCGACTTTACAGGCAACCAATTTTTTTCAGCATGGTAATTTCTTGAACTAGTGGTTCGAATGTAATCATTAATTTTGCTATGGATAGCCATTTATCGACGAAGGCTATAAAACATCACCATGACCACCAACATCATTAAATAACTCTTGCGTTGTATTTCGTCGTGTGAGTGAGGTTACCGGAGGCCCAATTACCCTCCCCCCCAGTCTCCCCAATCCCAGAATAGGGTAGACGATTAATTTTTATTGTAATGTCCGTCTGGTAGATTATTTTAAAACATTACACACGTATTTTTATGTTTTTACAGAAACGAACACTTTCGACGATACATTGATTTGAAATGTCGCGTGACGTCACTTCTATGTACGTACATTTTATACGTAGAAATGACGTTTTAGCCCCCACTCCGAAACTTTGATTCGTTATATCTAAGCATCATTTTATTTTATTATTATACAACAAAATAAAAAAATACGTGTCTAATATTTTTTCATTACCTAATTAAATTTCTAATTTCCATACCCCGTCATGATCCCAATTCCCCACAATCTTCAAATTCCCAATTCCTAAAAGGCCGGCAACGCATTCGTAACGCCTCTGGTGTTCCAGGTGTCCATAAATCCGATTGCTTACCATCAGGTGATATTCGAAACTACCAGCGGCAAGTACCAATGTGACTTTTTCAGAGTTATATGTACTTTCTAAGATTATTCAGACACCACTGACAAACGGTGAAGGAAAACATCGTGAGGAAACCTGGGCTTATAATTTCTAATTTTAAGTTTGTAATCGCCAACCCTCATTGAGCAAGCGTGGTGATTAATGCTCAAACCTTCTCCGTGTGAGAAGTGGCTTTGCTCAGCAGTGGGCATTTATAGGCTGTTGATGATGTTGAGGTGATCCGTCTGCTCGTTTACCGGATTATCCCATAAAAAAAATTGGTGACAACGACTTTGAGTGGTAAAATAATTTGCCTATCTCTCTCACTCTCTCTCTCTCTCTCTCGCTCTGTCTTTCTCGCTCTTAGGCGGGCTAACTGTGCTCGAGTGGAAGGGACGCGTGCCTTTCACTTTTTATGTCTGTCTCTCTCGCTCTTAGGCGGGCTAACCATGCCCGAGTGGAAGGGACGCGTGCCTCTCACTCGCTCTCATTGTGAGCGCGTAACGCAGTTTCTTGAAGTGTCACCCGGCAAACCAATTTATAAGACGTTGTCACGTCAAAAGTAGCTAGCTTTTAGACACAAACAAAGAGTAAATGAACGTAACTTACCTGTTCACAGTTAATCGGAATGGAGTCATTAATTCTTCGAATGCGCTGGTGTTGGGTTTGGACGGGACGGCGATATGTCATTTGATTTCGAGGAGGTTTGCTGAGAATACAAAACAAATCTTACTACATTACATAACATAACATCACGCCTTTTATCCCCGAAGGGGTAAGCAGAGGTGCACACAGAAGTAACATTCACTTTTCACTATTTATGTTATGAGTCCCATGTAATAAAGGGTGAGAATATTGACTCGTAAGCATACACCAAAATACATGATAAGTTTTTTAACATAATTATTTTAACACTGTATAGTGTAGCCTTAATTAAAGGCTGCCACGACATGCATTATAAAAGAACAGGATACTACAACAAAAAGTTCGCTTATCAAAAAAAAAACATCATGTTAAATCACAATTGTTAAATTTAAATTTACTCTTACTACACTATCCTTACTATACTATACTATACTACTATACTACACTATCCTTACTAATATTATAAATCGGAAAGTGAGTTTGTTTGTTTGTTTGTTCCGCTTTCGCCAACCCGCATTGAGCAAGCGTGGTGATTAATGCTCAAACCTTCTCCGTGTGAGAAAAAGGCTTTGCTCAACAGTGGGCATTTATAAGCTGTTGATATGTGTGTGTATGTGATAGTAAGATACTTACGAGCCATGTTCGGTCCTATGTTTCGCAGATAACTTCAGATGTCTGTCATGAGCTTCTTCCGACGCAAACTTCACGTCACATATTTGACAGTAAGGCCCGTCTAACGTCACCTGGAAATATATATTAGAAAGTAACATAACATAACATCACGCCTTTTATCCCCGAAGGGATAGGCAGAGGTGCACATTACACCACTGTATAATGTAACACCCACTTTTCACTACATATGTTGTGAGTCCCATGTAATAGGGGGTGAGCCTATTGCCATATACCGGGCACATTTCCAGTCTCCGTGCTACTACTGAGAATATTTAAAAACCCAGTAATACTGTGCCCGACCCGGGAATCGAACCCGAGACCCCTTGCCCGGAAATTGTACTTACAACCACTCGGCCAACGAGGCAGTCATTAGATAGTTTAAAAGTTTTTTTCGATGGACGCGGTAATCGCCAGAAGTATTTGTTCTATTTTGGCATGGCATATCCCATGTCCGGTAAGGACCTGCGGCAGTAGGTGAGGAAAAGAGAAAGGGAGTAGGAGAGAAAAATAGGGGGAGTCGGTTTTCTAAACGTAGTTATTAAAATAATCTACTATATAAAAATAAGTCGGGTTTTCCTTCCTGACGCTATAACTCCAGAACGCACGAACTGATATCCACGGTTTTGCATTCGTTGGAAAGGTCTCGGGCTCCGTGAGGAAGAAAATTCAGGAAAAAAAAATTCTTTTTACTTTTAATCACTAAAAGAAATGTTACATAAAGCGATGCCATCTGGTGGCGAAACGGAGTACGCCGGGTTTGCTAGTTAGTGTTATAAAACACTAGCTTCTACCCGCGGCTTCGCTCGCGTCACAAAAGAATAAAAAGTAGCCTATGTGACATATACCAATACACACAGCGCCATCTATACCAATACTTTTGTTTTTCCTCGGGAATATCAATTTTATCCGGGTTAAAAAGTACCCTATTATTTAATCCGGACTTCTAACTTTACGTCTGCAAAAATTCAAAGCAATCGGTTGAGTAGTTACGGCGTGAAGGTGGAACAAACAAACAAACTCACTTTCAGATTTATAATATTATAGTAAGGAGTGAGGACTAGTAAGGATTATTTCGGATACTTACATCTTTTCCGATCAGAGAATGTTTCAGCCTTTTGTGCATTTCTAAGCCATATTTGCTAACGAACATGTACCCGCACATCTCGCACGCAATATCAGACACATGCTTAAGTCGTAAATGACTTAAATATGATGATGATTTACTGAAATAAAAGAATAATCACTAAAATTTTCTATTATTCATAACTAGCTTCTGCCCGCGACTTCGGAGGCGCAATCCCGTTTTTCCCGTTCCCGTGGGAATCGTTTGGGTTTCGTTATTTTTTTTATTTAAAAATAAACGTTGCCCCACACTAGGAGTTTGTCCTGTATCGTGGGTGCGTTTACAAACATACTAGTTCACATACACATGACACCCAGACCCGGACAACAACAATCTGTGGATCGCACAAAGAGTTGTTCCGTGCGGGAATCGAACCCGCGACACGTTGCGCGGCAGCCAGTTGCCCAGCCACCGCGCCAACCGTGCAGTCAATACTTGTAAAAAATATAATATACAAATACTTGTAAAAAAGTATTCTAAGTCCATCCCCGGGTTCTAAGTCAAATCGATTTATGATAGTCGGGTGTGCGACACTCGCGGAAAGAGTAAGGCTGATGATGACTTAAATCTACTCTGATAGATATTTAAGTGAAATATAAATAAGGTTGCCACCCGTACTTTATAATAAAGTATTGTACGTTATTTAAGGTAATTGTACTCTATACTTTATAAGAATAATAAAGTACACGATAATACTTAATTTTTGCAAACTTCATTTCTATTAAAGTCGTAAGTATATTTCGGTAAACTTATCGATTCGATATTGATTTAATGATATGTTGAATCGATTTCACCACTCGCCAGCGCCATTTACACAATTTCTAATTAACATGCAATTCTTTAGTATTTCAATGCAATTGTTTAGTAAAGGTACTAATTTAATACAAACTGCAAAAAGCAATAAAAAATATATTTTTTAAAATAATACTATATTATTATAAGAGTAAATTGTACTTTATTTTTGTACTGTGTACTTTTTTTTCTTACTTATAATCGTCAATGTACTTTAAATACCAAAAAAAAGGTGGCAACCCTAAATATAAAGGATATCGGCAAATCCTGGCTCTGACAGACAATAATGAAATACTGTGGGTTTTCAAGCACTTACGTTTTCAAACAAGAGAGACTTCTTGAATACTAATGAAATATTTGGATTCTCAAGTGATATCGCAAACCTAATTACACAGCGGCGGATACTAATACGAATCTTTGAAAACTCACAGTACCTATTACATTCTTATCTATCGAGATCAAAGGATAATTGCCAAAAATGTATAGACCAAAAACCCAGAATCGATTAAAATACATACATACATAACATCACGCCTTTTATCCCCGAAGAGATAGGCAGAGGTGCACATTATGCCACTGTACAATGTAACACCCACTTTTCACTATTTATGTCATAGTATAAACAACACAGTAGGTTGTCTAAGGCCGCCCGCCGAGTTATTAGCCTACTCTTGCGTTGATCCCCAGGGTTGTCACTTTTACTTTTAGTTAATATTTTCGAACAAGCAGCACTTGATCTAAATTTATGAAATGAAAAGCATATTATGATTGAATATTTTATCAATTTATAAATTTAGTAAAAATTAAAAGCTTATAAAAAGATTATTAACTTCTTAAAATAAACTTTAGCTCTATACATAGTATTCAGAAAGTAAATTTGGGAATACATTTATATGGAAAAATGCGACTCGGCTACGCTCTTAACAAATCAGATAAACTGTGAAATAAACAATACAATACCACATTTTCTTATAATATTTAAGTATAGTAGGTAATTACATTTCTGGTTGAGTAGGAACTATGAAGAATGATAAGAGTAAGAATAAGTAAGTAGGTATCTCATCATCAAGTACCTACAAATTATATTATGCTAGAAAAAGTGACTAGCTTACCTTTCCTGTTCAATAGGTACCTAATCTGAACAGAGACAGTTCTGGAATCGATTAATTATTAAGACACCCAAACACACAGCAATACGTTCTTCTACGATTATCAGACATTTTTTATTTCATTGAACAGTGCCGAAAAGCCGTGAAGCGCGCGCGCGAACCTCGTACAGTGTCAGCCCTGCCTGGCGCACTGAGAAACGGGTCGAGATTTTGTTAAAGTGTGCGTGCGTCGACGCATAGATACTATGGCGCACACATATAAGCCGCGCGCGGAGCATTTGTATGAAGATAACCTACTTTGTTCTTTATACTATGTTTATGTTATGAGTCCCATGTAATAGGGGGTGAGCCTATTGCCATATAACGGGCACAATTCCAGACTCCGTGCTACTACTGAGATTTTTTTTAAAAAACCCAGTAAAACTTTGCCCGACCCGGGAATCGAACCCGAGACCCCTTGCCCGGGGTCGGTAGTCGCACTTGCGACCACTCGGCCAATGAGGCAGGCATCGATTAAAATATTTGTATTGTAACTTTCGTGAGGCATACTAAATAAATTATTATGTTTTCAGCTTACTCACGTAATAATTTGACGAGGAGCTCGACTAGTTTCAAGCCATATAGAGGCTAGAGGCTCATATTCATGAGCAGCATTTCGCGACCCGCGACGCGACGACTGTCGCGGTACTACTCTTCCTCGTCAAATAATTACGTAAGTAAGCCGAAAACGTAAGCCGCGTTCGTCGCTTTGATTGGCCGGCTCAAGTGAACCAACCAATCAGAACGCTTAACTCGCTCGATACCGTTACGATACGAAAGCGATAGTTATTCGTGCTTGGCCCTATGCACGTTATTTTGCCGCGGGAAGAAAACGAAATAGATTTTTAATCGACTCTGTTTTTGGGCATTCTCCCTTACCATGGAAGTTTGCCCGTGTCCTTTGTGCAGGATCTGAATAAATTGTTAACTTACGTGAATTGCCTGGGACAATGTCGGCACTGGTACTTGTGGCCTGCATGCAATTTCTGATGCTCTCTCGCCACGTACCTTTAATAAAGTATTTTATAGAGGTATAGGCAGAATTCCTTTATTATGCGTACAAGCAGAGACTTAAACAACTTGTGTAAGGAGTATCCAATAGATCCGTTTGTAACGCGGACTTCTACGGTGCGAAGGATGCTCACCCTACAGTTTTTTAATTGATATAAAATTAAGTGGGTAACTTGGTTTATTATTAAACTAGCTTTTACCCGCGACTTCGCTCGCGTCACAAAAGGATAAAAAGTAGCTATTTGACATATACCAATACACACAGCGCCATCTATACCAATACTTTTGTTTTACCTCGGGAATATCAATTTTTTCCGGGTAAAAAGTACCCTATTATTTAATCTGGACTTCTAACTTTACGTCTGCAAAAATTCAAAGCAATCGGTTTAGTAGTAACGGCGTCAAAGTGGAACAAACAAATAAACAAACTCACTTTCCGATTTATAATATTAGTAAGGATTTGATCGATGTCAAAATATAATATTTTTCTTAGACTATTATAGTCGGATAATTGAGTAGGAAATATGGGGTTAGCAGGAAAGTTTCCGGGAGCTTTAAAAATTGGCAATTTCGAATTTTATTGCGCTCTTTTCGAATTCCACATCATCAGCCTATAATGCTTACTACTGAGCAAAGCCTCCTCTCACACGGAGAAGGTTTGAGCATAAGTCACCACTCCAGACTCCGGGCTACTACTGAGATTTTTAAAAACCCAGTAATACTTTGCCCGACCCGGGAATCGAACCCGAGACCTCTTGACCAGCAGTCGCACTTGCGCCCACTCGGCCAACGAGGCTGTCAGTTCATCCTTACTTCCTTACTTATATTATAAATCGGAAAGTGAGTTTGTTTGTTTGTTCCGCTTCCATGCCGTAACTACTAAACCTATTGCTTTGAAATTTTGCAGACGTAAAGTTAGAAGTCCGGATTAAATAATAGGGTACTTTTTATCCTTGAAAAATTTGATATTCCCGAGGGAAAACAAAAGTATTGGTATAGATGGCGCTGTGTGTATTGGTATATTTATGTCACATAGGTTACTTTTATCCTTTTGTGACGCGAGCGAAGCCGCGGGTAAAAGCTAGTTTTATAATATTAGTAAATGTAAGAATTACTTTTCAACCGACTTCAAAAAAAGGAGGAGGTTCTCAATTCGACCCGTATGTTTTTTTTTTTCTATATTTGTTACGCGATTACTCCGCCAATTATGAACCGATTTGAAAAATTCTTTTTTCGGCGTATAGGTAATACCTCAAGGTTGGTCCCATTTAAATTTACTAATAAAAATAACAACCCCCAAGGGTGGAAAATAGGGGATGAATTTATTTATACGCAATAACTCCGCCGATTTTAAACCAATTTGAACGATTATTTTTTTATTGAATAGGTATTATCAAAAGGGTGGTTTCATGCGAATTTGAAGAAAATATTTCACCTAAACGCACTTCCCTTTCTTCTTTTGTTTCCTCCAAACGGCGCTGTCTCATTAAGGCTGCGCGTTTAGTAGGCCTACCCATATTAAATGCACAAAGGGTATCTACAAAAAAGTAACACTAAAAATTTTAAAATAAAATAATTAACTTTTTAAAAAAAATAAAACCGACTTCAAATGCGAGAACACAAAAAAAAACTAAAAATTAAAAAATAATTCCTAATACCTATTACCTAATACTATAATTTTTCTAAACTATATCAAAGTAATTAAAGTTAAACCATCTAAATATCTTAAAATAGTTATACTTATATACCTACCTATTGTTTTTTGGAGTCGGTGCCAGTAATAAATGAATATTAAACCTAATGAAATAAGAAAAAGTACTCAATGAAACAAAAATATTAAGAAATAAGTTGTATGTAGCCTGGTACAACTAAACCTATACCAACAAAGAATAACAAATACCTACAAATCCTACAATAGAATACAACAAACAAAAAAGAAAGCAATAATTTGAAATATTGCGCATCCGAAAATTCAGTATTTTTGACACGAGCGTCAACGTAGTCTGCCCTCAAGCGTCTGCCCGCCTTCGGGTCGCTTACTCGAGCAAGACCGCACGCGCCCGCGTCCCCCGCCGCACCGCGCGGCCCCGCCTCGCGCCATGCGTCCCCCGCCACCGCGTCGCACGTCTCTAGTTCGCGGGTAAACTTTAATACGCTGGCACTGGCACCGACTCCAAAAAACAATAGGTAGGTATATAAGTATAACTATTTTAAGATATTTAGATGGTTTAACTTTAATTACTTTGATATAGTTTAGAAAAATTATAGTATTAGGTAATAGGTATTAGGAATTATTTTTTAATTTTTAGTTTTTTTTTGTGTTCTCGCATTTGAAGTCGGTTTTATTTTTTTTAAAAAAGTTAATAGTGAACACTTACCTACTTTTAGCGACAAATGAACAGCTATTACAGCTGTACTGTAGAGTATGTAGCGCCAGATGTTTCTGCAGCGCCTTCTTAGTTTTCAGCCTCCTCTTACATATAGAACACTCGAATGTTCCGCTTTGCTGAAAATATACACTTTAAATATACAAACAAACAAACATAAACATAACATCACGCCTTTTATCCCCGAAGGGGTAGGCAGAGGTGCACATTACGGCACTGAATGCCACTGTACAATGTAACACCCACTTTTCACTATTTATGTTATGAGTCCCATGTAATAGGGGGTGAGCCTATTGCCATATACCGGGCACATTTCCAGACTCCGTGCTACTACTGAGGTTTTTACAAACCCAGTAATACTTTGCCCGACCCGGGAATCGAACCCAAATCCCCTTGCCCGGCAGTCGCACCTGCGACCACTCGGCCAATGAGGCAGTCATTTCATGTCACTTTTAATATACTTGGATGATTATTTTGATGGTGGGTTCTCAGGGCGTGAAATAAAGTTCGACACACGAATGACTGTAAACTGATTGGAGTAAACTAAATATAAACAAAGTTGCACAATAAAAACTCAAATATTTCGCGGTATAAATACGGAGCGCGTGCGTCACGGCTCCGGCGCGGGACTCGTTGTTCTCCGGCGTCGAGCGGCCAGTGGCGGGGGAAGCGGGGGAAGAGGGATAGAGAAGTGGCGTGTTGTCACTAGAGTTGCGCGCGTGCGTCCGACACAAACCAAAATAGAATTGCCGCGTTACACACTTTAATAAACATGAGGGACATCAGATCACATCACATCAACAACCTATAAGTGCCCACTGGTGACCAAAGGCCTCGTGTCGCACGGAGTAGGTCTAAACACTGACTTTGACTGCACGGTTGGTGCGGTGGCTGGGCAACCGGCTGCCGTGCAACGTGTCGCGGGTTCGATTCCCGCACGGGACAACACTTTGGGTCTGGGTGTCATTGTCTATGTGAACTTGTATGTTTGTAAACGCACCCACGACACAGGAGAAAATCCTAGTGTGGGGCAACGTTTTTTAAAAAAAAAACAAAAAAGAAAAACAAAAGATTTTTCATTGTTTTGCCTTAAAAAATTGGGTTGTTTTAGAATCCTCTAAATACGTTATGATAGCATATTTACTAGATTTTTAGAACTTGGATACCCTAGAAAAACTGATATTCAATAATGATAAGAAGCAAAACAACAAAACGTTTACTTAATAAGAAAGAAAAATAATTTATTCGCCAATGGACCACCGAAAATTAGCACACAACATAAACATTGAAAAACAAAGATAAAAAAAAACAATATAAAAAACATAAAATAACAAAAAAAACAACAATGAAGGGAAAAAAATAAAAAAAAAACAAACCGCGATTGACGTTTATAAAGTTGCCATGCGTAAAGATGAAATCAGAGCATATGAATGTCGTTATTTCATAATAAACTCATTTATTTTAACATCTATCAATGAAATATTTTCCTTTTCATTTCAAAAATTTTTATTAGTTAAAGAAATCAATTGCAACCTGATGTAGGTCCTGGTTTTAATGAAGAATCATCATCGGATAAGGTATAAATATCTACAGATGAGGTATAATCTACATATATAGATATTTATACCTTATACCTAGTATATTAAGTGTGGGAGAGCCATGCATCGGCACGAATGGGCCGGCTCGACCGGAGTAATACCACGGCCGAGCAGAAGACCGACGTGAAACGACGCTTCCATTGTGTTTCGTCATGTAAGTGAAGTTATTAGATGCCCAATTACCCAATACCAATAGGCCGGTAACGCATTTATAACGCCTCTGGTGTTAGTCGCGGAGAACCTAACGGGTAACCGGGGCTCCGGTTCGACGTGCAGGAGAAGGAACGGGGTGGTGTTTAGTCAGTAAGAGTCTGACACTCCCTCCCGCCTCACCCAGGGGGGAGCAGTCATTCGATGATTTTCCCCCCTTAAAAAAAAAAACGCCTGTGGTGTTCCGTGTGTCCATGGACAACGCCGATTGCTTACCATCAGGTGATCCGTCTGCTCGTTTACCAGATTATCTAATAAAAAAAAACTTACCTCACTATGTCTCAGGGCATGCGTGGTGTATGTTGTTTCAGACATAAACCCTCGATAGCAAAGTTCACACTTAAAGATGGAGTTAATGTAGTTTGTGCTTTTCTGCCTCTTATTGATCTCAGCAATTTGTTCGTCGTACGTTAGCGGTCTTATCGTAAATAGGGACTCGTCAAATCCATTAGTACTCGTTCTTTTATCTTCCTCGATTTTATGTCTAAAATATTAGATAAATATAATTTAAAAAAAAGTTTTATAGTCTCATGCAAACTAAACGTGTACCTATACAAAGTTTCAGTACAATCGGTAGAAGATACCGGCTTCAAAATTTATTTATTTATTTATGCACAACATACAGACAGTACACAGGAGAATACACATATAAATAACTAGCTTCTGCCCGCGATTTCGTACGCACAATTCCGATATTTCCCGTTCCCGTTCTTGATTTTCGGTAAAAAGTAAAAAAAAAAGAGTTGGCAAAAAAGTATCCTATGTCCGTCTCCTGGTTCTAAGCTACCTACCAATTTTCATCCAAATCGATTTAGCCATTCTTGAGTTATAAATAGTGTAACTAACACGACTTTCTTTTATATAGATTTGGAGGTACATAGGCACTACATATTCCTGTAGGAATCTCTTCCTGCAGTCCTTCGACAGGAAAAACAGAAAAAATTAAGACAGTTTAGTTGCAAGATTCACACACACACAGACACACACACACACACACACACACACCACACACACACAACACACACACACACACACCACACACACACACACACACACACACACATACACACTAATAATAATAATAATAGGGTGAGGCTGGCGTTAGGTGGATGGATCAAAAGCCTGATACAGAAGGCAGTTCTCCTAGAAACGGCACGTATCATGAGGAGGTTTCTGTCTCTGGAGCCCTAACCACCGGTAGCTTGGACCCACTGTCGGCTCCTATTTTTTTATATTTTTAATTTGTAAGTAGTATTTAAAATTTGTAGAGAATTTTAAATAAATATTGGTGAAATAATTCTTACTAATATTATAAATCTGAAAGTGAGTTTGTTTGTTTGTTCCACCTTCACGTCGTAACTACTCAACCGATTGCTTTGAATTTTTGCAGACGTAAAGTTAGAAGTCCGGATTAAATAATAGGGTACTTTTTACCCGGAAAAAATTGATATTCCCGAGGAAAAACAAAAGTATTGGTATAGATGGCGCTGTGTGTATTGGTATATGTCACATAGGCTACTTTTTATTCTTTTGTGACGCGAGCGAAGCTGCGGGTAAAAGCTAGTAATAAAATAAACGTCCTTTTATTTCCTTCAGAAAATCCAATTACAATTTTTCGTTGATATAAAAAGAGGTACGCTTATTAATTTTATGGATTAGTAAGTTGCATAGTGCGGCGTTAACGCCAGCTCAATTATCTAAGCAATATGCCACAGCTACGGAGCACATTGCTATCGCCGTTTTAATTTTTATTTTTTTATCTGTCACGATTTATTTGTTTATTATATTCATTCACCGCTCAGTCTTCACATTTGAAACAGAAGCATTTTTGTACTCTCCAAAAATCCACAGTATTTCACGTTGTCACAAGACAACGTGAAATATAGAAGAATATTGTTATTCTAGTGTTTTATAATTATATATTTAATACATGTCTAATATTTCTTCATTAAGTACCTAACTGACGGACTAATTAGATTTTTAATTTTCATACCCTTTCATCATCCCAATTGAGTAGCCTTTCAGTATTCGGGCGTAATTCTTCTACTATATAAAAAAAGCCTGTATTAGGTACATGAATCGAAAATCCCACGGGAACGGGAAAAAACGGGATTGAGCGTCCGAAGTCGCGGGCAGAAGCTAGTTATGAATAATAGAAAATTTTTGATTTATTATTCTATTTTATTCTTTACTAGCTTTTACCCGCGGCTTCGCTCGCGGTACAAAAGGATAAAAAGTAGCCTAAGTGACATATACCAATACACACAGCGCCATCTGTACCAATACTTTTTTTCCCTCGAGAATATCAAATCTTTCCGGGATAAAAATTTTAATCTAGACTTCTAACTTTACGTCTGCAAAAATTCAAACCAATCGGTTTAGCAGTTACGGCGTGAAAGCGGAACAAACAAACGAACTCACTTTCCGATTTATAATATTAGTAAGGATTTTCAGTAAATCATCATCATATTTAAGTCACTAACGACTTAAGCATGTGTCTGATATTGCGTGCGAGATATGCGGGTACATGTTCGTTAGCAAATGTGGCTTAGAAATGCACAAAAGGCTGAAACATTATCTGATTGGAAAAGATGTAAGTACCTATGTTACATAATATTTAATAACACATTTTTTAGAGATGGTCCCATTTCCATGAGGTCAGGATCTGATGATGGGATACTAGGGAAACTTTCGAAAATGGGCGAGTAATGCGTCTATTATGTTTTTTAATTACGATTTTTAAACACTACAATTTGATAAGGGTCTGGAGTCGACCTGATGATGGAACCGACAAACAGTCGAGGGAACTCCTCAGCGGTTTATATTAACTACCTTGTGTTTGGGCTTGATTAATTTGTATTGTTGAGGACTTTACACCTAGATAGAGTGGGGCTGTCATTAAGGGTCTGATGATGAAGAAGTGTAATTGTTAAGGGAACTCCTCAACGGTATACTGTCCTTCTTTTTTAACTCGTCGAGTACCGTATTTATAGACACAATTACAGAACAATAGGTTGCGGTCACCGGTGACCGCTTGGTGTTTGACAGTTTTAACTCGTCGAGTACCGTATTTATAGACACAATTAAAGAACAATAGGTTGCGGTCACCGGTGACCGCTTCATGTTTGACAGTTTAAGAGACTGAAATGACAAAAGTACTCACTGTTCCCTTGTAGTAGGAGGAAAATCAGTTTGAACAACATCCTCCGTACTAATTTGTTTCACTGCGTATAGCTTTTTCTTTTCCTTAGGTATTTCCTCTATTGTTTTTTCTACAGATACATCACTGAAATATTCATCTTCATCGTCTAATCGCTCATATTGTTCATATGCGTCGAAGGGAAAGTTATCCGAGCTATCATCATTAATTTCAACTATCTTTGTAGCTGTAGGTAAATCAGCTATATCGTTAGAGTCTGTGGGTAAAATGTCGATATTTTTTGTACATTTTGCGGGTATGATGCCAATATTATTTGTAGATGTTGCGGGTAAATTGTCGATATTGTTCGTAGGTATTGTTGGTAAAATGCAGACATTATTTTTTGTAGATTTTGATTTTGCTGGTAATACGTCTCTATTTTTTTTAGATTCTGTGGATAACAAGTCTACATTATTTCTAGATTTTGCTGGTATAATTTCGATACATTTAGAGGAATTTGCGAGCATAATATCGAAATATTTTGTAGATATTGCGGGTAGAATGTGGATATTATTTGAAGATTTTGCTGGTAAAATATTGATACATTTTGTAGATTTTGCGGGTAATATGTCGATATTTTTCTGAGAATCTGCGTATAGAAATCTGTCGATATTTCTTTTAGATTTTGCAGGTAATATGCTACTATTTTTCCTTGTTTTTACGGGTAAGACGTCCATAATTTCAACAGCGTCTGCGGGTAAGAATTCAATAATTTCGGGTACGCTTAATCTTTCAATTTCAATCATATCCCGATCTTGAATGTGTAGATTGAAATCATCAGCTTCATTTACTTCGTGTATTAAATTCGATGTCAGTTTGTACTTGGTCCGATTTATTAACTTTATATCGCGTATTTTTATCTGAAAACAAAGTAGTGTAAAATAATATTTCTGCAAGTCTACATAGATACAGGCTGTGTCAAAAAACAGTTTCACTATATAGTATTATAAATTGGAAAGTATTAATATATGGCAATGTAATTAAATATAGTAATTTATAATAAGTAAAATATGGCAACCCTGCTTATGTCGCTCCTCCTCTATGGTTGTTGGACGCTTGTTAGAAGTTTTGATTTGAGTTCCATTTTTATTATTAAAACACATTTTTCAGTAAATAAAACTGTGTTCTTTATTAAAATCTAACAGAAAGTAACGGGGCTACCATGTTCCTGATCGAAAAGGCTCTAAAGGAGGTCATACACGCTAGGTTTTGCATGATGGATTTAGCCGTGCATGCATAACTGACAGGCAAGCTTATAGCATAGCTTCACTAGAGGACTGGCCTACAGACTGAAATTTTTTCTTATTATTTAATATTTAAAAATTTTGTTTAATATTTAAATATTGAGACTACCGTGCAAGGGGTCTCGGGTTCTATTCCCGGGTCGGACGAAGTATTACTGGGTTTTAAAAAATCTCAGTAGTAGCACGGAGTCTGGAAATGTGCCCGGTATATGGCCATAAGCTCACCCCCTATTACATGGGACTCATAACATAAACAATGAAAAGTGGGTGTTACATTGTACAGTGGCATAATGTGCACCTCTGCCTACCCCTTCGGGGATAAAAGGCGTGATGTTATGTTAAGTTAAATATTTTGTTATTAACGTTCAAAAGTGCCTTCCTGGTCTTATTCAAATAAATGATTTTGACTTGACTTGACTTTTTTTTTTAAGGGGGGAAAATCATCGAATGACTGCTCCCGCCTGGGTGAGGCGGGAGGGAGTGTCAGACTCTTACTGACTAAAAACCACCCCGTTCCTTCTCCTGCACGTCGAGCCGGAGCCCCGGTTACCCGTTAGGTTCTCCGCGACTCCGAATCGGCGTCGGCCCTATTGGGCCCCATCTGTGGTGGTCTGATGGCTCTTTGTGTCGCGCGCGGACCGCTCGGCGCCGTACGCTCGGGTATGGTTCTGGTCGGACGAGGAGCCACCCATGCTCGCCGTCCGCAGGCCCGATTTTGACTTGACTTGACTTGAAGCCCTAGCGTGTATGTGATTAAACTGTACAGTTATCGGTGCATCGGTGCTCGGTTATGTGTGTCGGTTTTGCATGCACAGTTATAACCATCATGCATAACCTAGCGTGTATGGCATCATTAACATAAAATAAAAGAATGCGCAAGTTTGTATATTTTTGGTACTTACCACGCCAAAGCGAAAGAGGTATGTAAGAATCGTAGCAATTGGCGTTCCATAGTCTCTACCTACCCCCATGGGAGACGTCGCGGAGAACCTAACGGGTTACCGGGGCTACGGCTCGACGTGCAGGAGAAGGAACGGGGTGGTTTTTAGTCAGTAAGAGTCTGACACTCCCTCCCGCCTCACCCAGGCGGGAGCAGTCATTCGATGATTTTCCCCCCTTAAAAAAACCACGCCAAACAGCTAAAGAGATCAGAACTTAGTACTTAATAAAACAATTTGTGATGCGAAACTTTCTGAGTATGTTTGTTACTGAATCACAATCACGGCTAGACATTTTGGCAATGCGTAGAGATGTAGCTTCGTTGCGCATTTTCTATCGGTTATACCCCGGGGAGTGCTCTGCGGAATTATTTGAATCCAATTCCGATCGATCGACATTGGTATTGTGAAATTTCGTACTCTTGAGTTGTAACACTAGCGCCCATTGCATCCGCATTGCGTGAATATTGAATGAACTAAACGGTATTGAGTTTGGCTTTATATTCCGTACTCTGAATGCTATTTCAGAGTATAAACAGCTAAGGTAGGGATTGTATAGTGTTGACATTGAATAATTATTGAGATTTTATTGGATTGACATTGCATTGACATTGAGATTGGTTTCAAGAGTAAGCACCCTGATACCTGCCGCATCTTTTCGCCATGGACCCTCACGACAGCATATGCATCCCCACCATATAGATGGTTGGCGCTACTGTGCGCTTCTCACGTAGCTTTCTGCCTTGCACAGCAAAACTGTGGAATGATCTATCGTCGGCGGTATTTCCGAACCGATACGACCTTCAAACCTTCAAGAAAAGAGCGTATTCCTTTTTAATCGGCCAGCAACGCACCTGTGACTCCTCTGGTGTTGCGGGTGTCCATGGGCGGCGCTGATCGCTTACCATCAGGTGATGCGTCTGCTCATTTGCCCCATAAAAAATCACGTCATAACGCACTGGCACTTACGTAAGAATATGGCTGTATTAATTCCTGCAGTAATTCATCACTTCGTAGCGCCTTCTCTCTGAAGTGGTACGCGGACGACAGTCTAGCCGCGCACTCCCAGCAAACTCGCTGAGGCAGTCTTTCTGACCAGCCCTGCAAATTACGAAAACATCAAAATAAAAGTGTGAGTCGGACTCGCGTACGAGTATTATTTATTGAGTTTCTTGCTCGTCCTTCTCCGTAGGAATCTGTACTTTGGAATGAGCAACTAACATTTTTTATTTTATTTCACGTTCAAAAGTATTCAAATTCAAATTCATTTATTCATTGTAGATCACAGGTAGATACATAATACGGTTGTTATCATAATTTGGTTGAGCTCAGCTGTGTCCTGCCCATTGGGCGTACAATAGTTGGGTACAAATAAGTCAATTAGATAATAAAACAAGAAATTATTAGATAAATTACATATGTCATGTCGATAAATGCTTATGTCAAATATTTATTATGATTTATTTACTAAAATAAGTACAATAGGCAATACTGAACTGAACACGTCATGCAGCTGTAGCCAAATGCCATTTAGCGCTTGTCTACTTGTAGAGTAGAAAACTAAATTGTATGGAATTGACATAAATTTTGACACTTGTCAGTGTCATCCCCATACATTTAGTTTTCTACTCTCTCTGTAGACAAGCGCTAAAGTGGCGTTTGGCTAAAGGCAATGATTTTGGTATAGAATATTGTAGCAGGGATTTGTCATTTAGGTAATCATTTATATTTATAATAACATTTATTCACCAATATGACAGGTTTTTTGCTCGGCCGTGTATCACTCCGGTCGAGCCGGCCCATTCGTGCCGAAGCATGGATCTCCCACACTTACAACCTTCTTAAAAAGCCGACAATGGTAACCGATTTTTATTTTAATGTCCGTCTGGTACACTATTTTAAAACATTAAACGGGTATTTATTATTTTCTTACGGAAACAAATACTTTCGACGATATATCGATTTGAATTATCGAGTGATGTGACTTCTAGGTACGTTTTGTACGTAGAAATGTCATAACTAGATTCATCTAAGTATTGCTTTCTAAGGGGTCTAAAGGGTCTAATTTTTTTTTCATTTGGGCATGCGTGACCTGGTTTTTTAGACAATGGTTACTATAATTTTTATCAAAATATTTTTTGATTTACTAAAATCGCGGGTTACTCACGTGAATATACTGAGAATAGCTCTACTAGTTTCGAACCACAGAGGGGTTCTTCCTCGAGAAAAGCTCATGAGCAGAGTGCTCGGTGGCGGCGACGTCGCGCACGCTGCTCATGAGCTTTTCTCAGTATATTAACGTGAGTAACCCGCGATTTTAGTTAATTTAGTATGTCTCACGATAGTTATTATAATAATATTATTTTAAGTTTACCACTTACAACCAATCCAGTGATATCTTGAAACATAATGTCCAGTTTTGATTCAGTTATATTATACATCTTCGTGTCCATTGCGAGGCAGATTCTGCAAACCTGAAAGCATAATGTTTTGTTTTAATTTATATCGTCTAGTTATAGTTACCCAATTCCAATCTTCAAATTCCTTATCCGGTAACGCACTTATAACGCACAAAGGGACAGGGATAGACTATGGTTAGCCCACGGGAACACGGGCGGAACCGCGGGAAGAAGCTAGTATTGTACAAATGTGTCGCGGAGAACCTAACGGGTTACCGGGGCTCCGGCTCAACGTGCAAGAGAAGGAACGGGGTGGTTTTTAGTCAGTAAGAGTCTGACACTCCCTTCCGCCTCAGCCTCACCCAGGCGGGAGCAGCCATTCGATGACTTTCCCCCCTTAAAAAAAAAATCCCTGTTCCTTTCCGATTTCTTCAGCCGTTCTGACCTGATTGAGTAACAATCATGCACACAAAGTTTCGCAATTATAAAATTAAGATTAAGATATGTAATACCAATTTTATACCAGACTAGCTACTTCCGCGCGGTTTCACACGGTCTGCTTAGCTCCTATTGGTCGTACAGTGATGTTTTATAGCCTATAGCTATCCTCGATAAATGCGCTATCCAACACAAAAATAATTATTCAAATCACACTTGTAGTTACGGAGATTAGCGCGTTCAAACAAAAAACAAACTCTTCCGCTTTATATAATAGTGTTAGAAGCATAGACAAAAAGGAACGAAATGTCATCGCGTAGCGGGAAAATATAATCTGTGGTTCGAACAATGAAAAAGTCAAGATGGCGGGAACTCGGAAATTATTGAGACGGCGTATTTGGTGTTGAGGGAATTTTATTCTATTTGAAAGTCAATTTGCCTATTTATGTGTTGTTGTCGTTGTTTTTCTTTCCAATTAAGTTATGGTTTAGCTAGTTCTGATTTTGTAATTTGATTTCGATGTTAACAATATAAGGTGCATTGTAATGGTGGTACTCTTTATTTTTCCTGCCTCCTGAGTTTCTAGAATCATAAGTGGTTTGAAACCAATAAGTTTCTAAAGTCAAGGAGTTGGGTGAGCTCTATGACAGTTTTTAAGTTTTCTAATATCAGAAGTGGGATACGATTATTTTCCATGCGTTCTGACTTTCTATGTAGATAATACTTACATGATAACGGCAAATTGACTATTCAAAGTTTTTCATTTGTTTTATGTAAGTTCGTATTCATGTACTTAGTAGGTACGTTGTGATCGAGGTATTGTGGCAAATTGTGGTAACGTATAACTATGACTGAAACTTACGGTGAGTACGTTCCAATTCCCGTTTGAAAAGCTATAATGCTTTTGTGTATTTGTACGTGTAAGCTACAAATAAATAAAATTGTGAACTCAATGTTTAAACTATTCCTACTAATTTTCTTTTAAGTTAAAATCTTTAACAATCTCAAGTTCTGTCATTGTAATTTATTATACCTACCTATGTCCTTTACTGTTACAAACAGTAAGGAGAGACAATGAATGTCACGTAGGTACTGAAGTGATTCTGCTAATATTCCTAGGCGATTCTGCTAACATGGCTTGTGTAAAGTAAAGTGAACTGAAACACTAAATCTTGATTTGTTTGACTGCATGGAGGAGTGATGCTGCCTATTGCTGGTGAGGAAACGTGAGCTCAACACCGGTGCGCCTGCCTGTGCTGACGTCGCTACAGCTACAGTTCATGACTGCGGCAGTAGCTGAGGGTCGATGGTTGGTGGCAGTAGGTGAATCGACTTCGCTTGGACTGCTATGCAAGCTTGGTTCACCGTGTTGTAGAGGCAATACATTCAATGAACAGGCTGGTGAGATCTAATCTTACTTTTATATTTAGTAGGTATTCTTTATCTGCTAATTTTTTTGATCAACAATATAGACACCAGACCTGGTATGAGGCAGTAAGATACCAAGAATATAAAGTTTGAATTATTGAAATAAAAATGAGTACCTGTTTTACAACGGCAACTGCTTAAATGCTAAGTCCAAGGCTCAATGCATGGGTTGGGTTGCCGTTGGTTGTATTTAGAGTAATGCGAAGGATTAGTTTGTGAAACTTTTGTGCTTTTGAATACTTTGTATGAAGTCATGAGTACGAATACTGATCAATATCCAACATATGAATGCTGAATATGCCTATCGATTACTGTTAAAAGTTACAGTTAAAGTCAATGGGTTGATGATAAGCATATTACAGCAGTAGTAATATTGAACCAAGTTTCAACTATAAATTGTTGGTATCGTTTGTTACAAAGCAAAATACATCAACTGTTAACAAGTTAACTAATTATTAACAATGTTTGTGTTCTTATGTTATCAGGCATTACTTGTTATGTTTACACTTGAGAGAGGTCAATACATCAACAAACTTTTACTTAACTTAATGTATAAATGCATGTATGCGTGTGAAGTGGCATCTTGCAACTGAATTTTGAATCACAAATCTTTAGCCGATGGAGCTGAAATTTTTTATAAGTATGTGTTCAGGTTTAGCTGTAAATTCAGCTGAAGTTTTACATTTTTGCTTGACTTGAAATTATGTATATCAAAGTAATGTAATCCAAAGAATAAAGATTAAAATCAGAACAGGAGAACCGCTGATGTTAATGAAAAACATATTTCTCTTCTAATATGCATCATTCACCACAAGTTAACAACTTGTGCAGAATTGTGAAAGATGCTACATGTTATTGCTTGAATCATGTCTTAGGTAGTTGTACAGGGAATTACTGTTGTTATAATGGTAGACAGCAGTATGTGTTTGTTTCTCCTTAGCAGCATTACCCTTGATAGAGTGTTGATGTGGTTGTTGTACTGTAGTGGAGGTAGGTTGCCAGTATGCACCTCACAGTTACAGCCATAATATGATTGTCCCTTCTGCACTTGTTTAGCAAATTGCTAAATACAGACTTAATTTGGTCTGTCTACCGCATGAGTAACCTCTTAGAAGGCCGAGAGTACTTTCTACTTCTTGGGAACAAACTGCTGTATAGATTCGTTTTCCTCCTAGAAATGTGACTAGACTCTGAAGAGTGTCAGGATACATCATTGTATGTTGAGAGATGATGCCTAATTTGTTAATCGTTTTGTTGCTTAAAATTTCAAATATGTACACAACCCAGCTTTCAGTGTACTATTTCGAGTTTGTCACCTTGATATATTACTTGAGAGGTTTCATGCTGGATTTTATGAAAACTCTTCTTATTGTCAGCAACAACGATGTCCACGTATTGAACCGCTAGTGTTACTTGTGTTAGCTGACTGGCGATAAGTAACGTTTACTTGTAGGCATCGTTTTACATATTGACGACATCGTTTTACATATTGACACATATAGTTACATTTCTTTTTATATGCAATTTGACATTATTAGCATAATGTGATATTGTTTTTCATTTGAAAAATTTATATTTTTTTAAACTTGACATTTACCTCTATTTTTTACAATTTTTAGTGCTAGGACCGTGCGAGACTTTTCTTATTTCTTACTCATACTCTGACAGTTTCAGTATTTGTGCGACCCACGCAAATGTTCTTTAGGTTGGTATTGTTCGTCGAATCACTCAGCCTCATCTGTTAATTGAGCTGACTGTAAACCGACACATACGTACTGCTTTCAGAACGGGTCCGCTCAAACTGTTGTGGTTCTTTCCTCAAAAGGCCACTACAGAGAGAACTTGCACGGTTCTCACACATAATCTTTTTTATACATATTTGTCTGGACTTTAAAAGAGACAGACCTCTGAGTTTTTTTTTCGGCATTTCTTCTCAGAGTAGTCAGTTAGGAAATGTCGACCTCATCGTTCGCTTGATAAAATTGACGTGTAAAAGTGCTGCCTTGTAGTCTATTTGCAGAAATAAATTCACTTGTTTCACATGTGAACCATGTTGATTGCGTGATAAAAAAAAAATTGAAGTAAGTTTTACCGATGATCAATAATCATGCTGATTCGGTGATAATGTATGTGCCTTATCAATGTGTATGATTACAGGATTCCATCAAAAGAATATTTAGGATGGACTAAAAGTCATAGTCAGGTGTGTCCGAGCGGATACAGAACGTCTGACAAGATCGAGTGTGGTGTGGTGTGTAGTGTGGTGAAGGCTACAGCGCTAAGTGTTACGACTGCTAATAGATGGTATACTCGTGTGGAAACGCGACACAGACTGTGGCGGAGTTTCTAGTGCTATGTGGATAGCTTCGGACTGTAGAAATGTGTCCTTCCACACAATATGGTACGCTAACATTGTGTGACATCTGATGTGTATTGTGTGTGTAATGTGCGTGTGAATAATATGCTAACGTAGGTATTAATTATTACACATGTGTTAGAGACTCATGAATTCATGATATGCCAACGCCGTGCCTATGTCATGTAGTTGTTATAGCAGAGATAGCTAACGTCGTGCTTCCTCTCTGAGTATGTTTTATGATTGTGAACTATGCTAACGTCGTGCCTATGGTTCTCTATTGATTGTGTTTTTTTCCTGTGTTCGTGACTCATGATACGCTAACGTCGTGCCTATGTCATGTAGTCGTTATAGCAGAGATAGCTAACGTAGTGCTTCCTCTCTGAGTATGTTTTATGATTGTGAACTATGCTAACGTCGTGCCTATGGTTCTCTATTGATTGTGTTTTTTTCCTGTGTTCGTGACTCATGATACGCTAACGTCGTGCCTATGTCATGTAGTCGTTATAGCAGAGATAGCTAACGTAGTGCTTCCTCTCTGAGTATGTTTTATGATTGTGAACTATGCTAACCTCGTGCCTATGGTTCTCTATTGATTGTGTTTTTTTCCTGTGTTCGTGACTCATGATACACTAACGCCGTGCCTATGTCATGTAGTCGTTATAGCAGAGATAGCTAACGTAGTGCTTCCTCTCGGAGTATGTTTTATGATTGTGAACTATGCTAACGCCGTGCCTATGTCGTGTAGTCGTTATAGCAGAGATAGCTAACGTAGTGCTTCCTCTCTGAGTATGTTTTATGATTGTGAGGTACGCTAACGTCTTGCCTCTAGTTCACTATTGATTACTTTACTGTGTTGGTGACTTATGATATGCTAACGTTGTGCCTGTCATGTAGTTGTTATAGTAGAGATAGCTAACGTAGTGCTTCCTCTCTGCCTGTATTTTGAATTATTATGGATCAATGTGTACATGTAGTTGTTTGTGTCGGTAACCAACGACATCCCGATGCAATTTTTATAATTTCAGGTGCAGAAGGTATTGAACTCACACGTCACGTTTTTGGTAATTGATAAGATTAACGATTTAATATGGGTCGATGTGTCTTCGGAAAAAACCGGTGTCCCGACCCAATCCTTATGTTCTCAAGTGATGATTATGTTGTTTCCATGGATCATGTGATACGGTAATATGATGCCTATCATGTGGTGCACATTAACCGAGATAGCTAATGTTGTGCCTCCTCCCTGGCTATTTTTTTTGAACCTGCGCTAACGAGTTAATATGGATCGATGTGACCGCCGGTAACCACCGTCGTCCCGATCCAATTCTTATGTTCTCAGATGCAAACAGTATAGAGTTCACAGCTGAACAAGCTGCCAGAAGCCGCGGTGATGTCCCTGCTACGGAGCGTGTGCTGTAAATATGCGACAGTGCGACACAGGAGCACGAGGACGTGCTCCAGTCAGGAGAGGCCGTGTTAGAAGCATAGACAAAAAGGAACGAAATGTCATCGCGTAGCGGGAAAATATAATCTGTGGTTCGAACAATGAAAAAGTCAAGATGGCGGGAACTCGGAAATTATTGAGACGGCGTATTTGGTGTTGAGGGAATTTTATTCTATTTGAAAGTCAATTTGCCTATTTATGTGTTGTTGTCGTTGTTTTTCTTTCCAATTAAGTTATGGTTTAGCTAGTTCTGATTTTGTAATTTGATTTCGATGTTAACAATATAAGGTGCATTGTAATGGTGGTACTCTTTATTTTTCCTGCCTCCTGAGTTTCTAGAATCATAAGTGGTTTGAAACCAATAAGTTTCTAAAGTCAAGGAGTTGGGTGAGCTCTATGACAGTTTTTAAGTTTTCTAATAATAGTATAAGATATAAGATATGTTATAGACCTATTTATCTATACATATAAAAGAAAGTCGTGTTAGTTACACCACTTATAACTCAAGAACGGCAGAATAGATTTGGCTGAAAATTGGTAGGGAGGTAGCTTAGCGCCAGGAGACCGACATAGGATACTTTTTAAACAATTTTTTTTTTACTTTTTACCGAAAATCACGAACGGGGACGGGAAGAATGGGATTACGCGTACGAAGTCGCGGGCAGAAGCTAGTTATTATATATCGCGCAATCCATACCATTAATAAGCTCCACGATCGTATTGATATATTTACAACTCCTTCGAGTGAATTCACAAAAGTATTATTATTTATTCTAAGTTATGATAGTGAATAGTTCCTACTATTGTATATTATTTTTATGTAATTTTAGGTTAGTTTTAGTTATTATTGTGCAAGGTAGGTAATTTAATAGGTTAAGATGTAATGTGTATATATTATTATTTTTGTGTTTAATGTTATTATTTTTTTCATTTTTTTTGGTTTCGTTGTATTACTTCTTGTTAGTAATAGGTATAAATATGTTTTTTTTTTCTTAACTAGATTAAGCCTCACTGTCGAATTGGGAAAATCCTGTAATGAGAGTGTAGGAAGAATTTTATAATAAATAAATAAATAAATATAAACAAATGTATCTTACCTTTGTTGCGGCTGGAGCATCGTAGTTTTCCTCAGACATCTAAAAATCGAAGAAATGGTTTAGACAGTGTATGATACAACTGGTCGCTTAGTCTTGACACCAATCGCAATGTCGATGCAATTTAATCCAATAAAACCTACATAATTATTTAATGTCAAAACTATACAACCCCTATCGTAGTTGTTGAAATAGCCTTCAGAGTACGGAATATAAATCCAAACACAATACGCAATATAATATCCAACACTAACATAATTATTCAAAGTGTAGGAGAGCCATGCTTCGACAAGAATGGGCCGGCTCGACCGGTGTGATACCACGGCCTCACAGAAAACCGACGTGAAACAACGCTTGCGTTGTGTTTCGTCGTGTGAATGAGGTTACCGGATCTTTAAAACTACGCAACGGATTTTGTTGCGGTTTGTTTTAATAGATAGAGTGATTCTTAATGCAGGTTTATAAGTATAATACATGCATTTTGCACCTGTGCGAAGCCGGGGCGGGTCGCTAGTACCCTATTTTGTTAGTTAAATTGAACAAGTAGTTCAAGAGACTAGTGCATACAAACAAATATTTCAAGTAATTTTTTAGAAGGAAATTCATCCAATGACTTTTCCCGCCTTGGGTTAGGCGAGAGGAGTGTCAGACTCTTACTGACTAAAAACTACCCCGTTCCTACACCTGCTCTTTGAGCCGGAGCCCCGGCATTGTATCGGGAAACTTTCCAAGTATAAAAGTATTAATTAACTCGTCGAGTACCGGTTTTATAGACACAATTAAAGAACAATGGGTCGCGGTCACCGGTGACCGCTTGGTGTTTGACAGTTTAATACCAATAAGTACATATTAAAAAAAAATGTTTTTATAATAACTATCATGAGACATACTAAATTAACTAAAATCGTGGGTTACTCACATGAATATACTGAGAAAAGCTCTACTAGTTTCAAACCACAGAGGGGTTCTTCCTCATGAGCAGCGTGCGCGGTCGCGGCGACGTCGCGCAGTTCACTGAGCTTTTCTCAGTATATTCGCGTGAGCAACACGCGATTTTAGTTACAAAAAAATATAGTAATTTTTCTGATAAGTCTACCTTGGAAGTCATGGGTACAGCACCACTTTTATTTCTCTTCATCTTTACGTAAGTTGTCAAGATTAATATCTTTAGAACACACAGAGCTGCTTTCTATAGCCTCCCAGTCTCGTCCATATCGAGAGCTTTCATTCATTAATTGCGGGTGAGTCCTTTAGGAAAACTGAAAATATAAAAAAAAAAAATTATGGATTAACTCATACACAATTATCTACACTAATCATAGTATAAAGAAGAATGGTCGCAAGTGCAACTGCCGCGCAAGAGGTCTCAGGTCTCGAGCGGCGGGAATCGATCCCGCGTAGGGCAGAGTACTGCTAGGTTTTAAAAAAATTCTCAGTGGTAGCACGGTAGTCTGAAATTGTGCCCGGTATACGGCAATAGGCTCACCTCCTATTACATGAGCCTCATGACATAACTAGTGAAAAGTGGACGTTACATTGTACAGTGGCATTAACTCGTTGAGTACCGTCATTATAGACACAATTAAAGAACAATAGGTTGCGGTCACCGGTGACCGCTCGGTGTTTGACAGTTTAAGTGCCGTAATGTGCACCTCTGCCTACCCCTTTGGGGATGAAAGGCGTGATGTTATGATGTTAAGGAGAAATAACTATAATATTCAGCAGTCAATCCTCAAAATAACAATAATTAAAAACAGTACACTAGACCCTCACATTATGTATGGTGCCTTTATAACTTATTTACCCGCAGCTTCGCTTGCGTTACAAAAGAATAAAAAGTAGTCTATGTGACATTATACCAATACACACAGCGCCACCTATACCAATACTTTAGTTTTTCCTCGGGAATATCAATTTTTCCGGTTTAAAAAGTACCCTATTATTTAATCCGGACTTCTATCTTTACGTCTGCAAAACTTCAAAGCAATCGGTTTAGTAGTTACGGCGTGAAGGCGGAACAAACAAACAAACTCACTTTCAGATTTATAATATGAGTAAGGATAAGGATAAGGATAATCTAGAAAATCATGTACGCTATAAAAGTAACGATCAAGGAGAACCTTCTTTAAGAGATTATTAAATTTGATTTAGTTCGACTGTACAGTTAAAACCACACAGTTAAATCCGAAAGTGTGTCCTGCATTACCAATATAACTTAACCTTAACCCTAAGATTAGTAAAATTCATTTGTGTCAGCTTGGAGTTGTCATGCTCACTCAAAGGTCTCAATGGCGGTGGCGCGTGCAGTGGATCGCTCGATTCCCTACAATATGGTTGAGTTGGGCGGTGCTGGTGTACGTGTCATGTTCGTGAACGGGCTCCTTCAACTGGGACTGGTCAGCTCCAGACTGTATTATTTTCCTTAAGCTTATTTTCTTTTTTGATTACTTTGACTGGATTTTAGTGTTACATAGTTCTCGCACAATCCAAACAGCAAAACTATGTAACTAGTAAATTGTATTGTGAACCTGATCGAAAAAGAGTAACCTATGGAGTTTCTTGCTCGTTCTTCTCCATAGGAATCTACTCCTATAGAGAAGAACGAGCAAGAAACTCCTTGGAATGAGCAAATAGCTTCACTTTTAAATTTCTTTTGTTGACGTTCAAAAGTGCCATTCTGGCCTAATTGAAATAAATGTTTTTGACTTTTTTTTACTATTATCAAACTCCAACTAAAGATATCTACATAACCACAGGGTTACACAGGTTAGGGTTGGGGCCTGGGGGTAGCCTGTATCTCGTCATCGTTCTTGAACGGCCCACAAAGAAAAGATAATCAGATTCCCGCCCTTTACCATAATTCAACAAAATTTAAGATAGGTACATGATTGTATCCTCATACAAGTTATTAAACCTCTTCCTAAAGCTACTCGAGGCTGTATGTGTATACCAATATTTATTTTCAATGCATAATATTAAATGTAAATATTAAATACTTACTTGGAATGTGATTCCATAGCTTTAGCTTTAAAATAGTTTTCCTTGTATCATTAGAGCATAGAGACACTGTACCTCTTATAACACACAATTCCTATTTATAATTTATAAATTAATCTCCACTGTGGGTAAAATTCTAGTGATAATTTAATTTGAAAACAACAACAATTCTTTGAGTTCAGTATTTTCATACGAAACACAACACAAGATGACAATATTGACAACGGACACTGTAACAGTGACAGTGACAATTGACAATTTTGAAGTGATCATGCCTCGGATCAATGATCATGCCAATTGAACCATGTCTTTTGCGTTATATCACTGTGCCAGCCCCATATAACTTGGGATAAAAGCAAAAAGATCAAACAACGATGACTGGAAGGCATAATATAATACTGTGGGTCAGTGCTAAATTCACTTTTGAATCTTAAATAAAAAATAAAAAAATACAGGCAATAGTTGAAGTATTTATTCAGCAAGTAACTCAATCTACCACTAATGTAAATTACTTTTTAAAAATGACATTATATAAGTATTCTCCATGCCACCGCAAACACTCTTCAAAGCGGTATCTAAAATTTTCGAAAACGCGCCGACAGGTTGTTATTGATATGGCGGCCATTTCCACTTAAACATTTGCTTTTAAATCTGTAATTATCCTCGGCTTATTAGAGTACCTTGTCCTTAAGAAACCCCCACAAAAATAAATCAGGTGGGGACAGGTCAGGGCTTCGTGGTGGCCATTCGATGTTACCTCTCTTCGAGATACCTTTATTGGGGAACATCTCCTTTACGACATCCATGCTAGCGTTTGATGTGCGGAATGTTGCGTCATCTTGCTGGAACCAAGTCTGGGAGTTGTATTTTGTAGCCCAGCAAGAGTTGGCCTTAAAAACTCTAGCAGCATTTTCACATATCGGTTGGTATTAGCTGTTACTGAAATGCCTCGAGAATTTTCAAAGAAATATGGGCCAAAGAGGCCTTTAGCCGATATGGTCGCCGAAACCTTATGGCTGTGAAGTGGCTTCTGATGGTTCCGCGAAGGCTGATCAGTTTATTGACGAAGCCGTTAAGGTGAAAGTGGGCTACATACGAGAAAAGGATGTTTCCGAAATTTGCAAATCTCTATTACATGGAAGTGCCAAATGAAAAGGGTGGCCCTTTTTGTATGGTCACCATGGGTAAGTTCTTGAACTAGGTGTATGAAATCTCGCATCTGCCGGCTTGAAATCCCCAAGCCGACAAACGTCGCGGCGTAGAAAGTTCCGGATCTCCTCGCAAGGATTCATTAGCCTCTTCAACCGCTTGCACCGTGCGTGTTGCGGGGTTGACCTTGACGTCCCATTGGTAGCATAGTATAAAGAAAAGGGAAGTAGGCCATCTTCTTCCCAATCCGCTATATAATTGCCTACTGTCTTAGGGTTGTCACTTTTAGTTTAGGCGCAGCTTACATACCAAGATTGTTTACCTTTAGTTAACCACATAAATCGATAGACCATAATCAATTACTTATTTTGAATTACGATTTTATAACTGTAATTAGGAAGGTACTTGGTTACTATTCATACCTACAATACTGAGAAATCAACATAACCATAACTAAACGTAAACAAAACAATAGGCGACAATAGCGGCAAATTAATTGCCAGACCAAAAGTACCGACTTAATACATTCTAGTAGGAAATTGGGCCTACCTACTTCCTATGTGATACTGATAGGAAACTAACACAAACAAAAAATAAGTAAGTACAAATTATATTATGCTAGAATAAGTGACTAGCTCATCTTTCCTGTTCAATAGGTAATCTGATCAGAGACAGTTCTGGAATCGATGAATTATTAAGACACCCAAACACACAGCAATACGTTCTTCTACGATTATCAGACATTTTTTATTCATTGAACAGTGCCGAAAAGTGATGCGCGCGCGAACCTCGTGCAGTGTTAGCCCTGGCCTGGCGCACTGAGAAACGGGTCGAGATATTGTTAAAGTGTGCGTGCGTCGACGCATAGATACTATGGCGCACACATATAAGCCGCGCGCGGAGCATTTGTATGAAGATAACCTACTTCCCTTTTCTTTATACTATGTTGGTAGCATTAAACCGGTTTTTTCAAACCTTTTCAGAGCCATTGTTTGATTAACTGACTGCTAGGATACGTACAGGTGTCGGATACTGTTTACAACTGAATTTTATTCGGAACATACGCCGCACAATAATGTCAAATTTACCATTTTCGAAAAACGTTCAAACAGCAAAGGCGCGATGCTTTCCCGTAAACGGACTCGAAACTCATAGCGACTAAAACTGCAAGCGTCGCGTGGCGTGACCCGATGACATGCCCCGCTCCCCGCTGCCCGTCGCGGCAGGACGGGACGGCGACGCGACAGCCGTCCCGCTCGACGCGACGGTAACCGACGGCTCTGTGTGGCATCGTCCATAATATCTAGTACATTACAACTAGGGTTGCCACCTTTTATTTTGGCATTTAAAGTACTTTGACGATTATAGGTAAGAAAAAAAATTACACAGGACATAAATAAAGTACAATTTATTCTTATTTAGTATTATATTTAAAAATATACTTTTTATTGCATTTTGCAGTTTGTATAAAATTAGTATCTTTACTAAACAATTGCATCTTTACTAGAAATTGTCTAAGTGGCGCTGGCGAGTGGCGAAATCGATTCAACATAAGTCGATAAATATTGATATCGAATTTTGCAAAAATAAAGTATTTTCGTGTACTTTATTATTATTATAAAGTATAGAGTACAATTACCTTAAATAACGTACAATACTTTATTATAAAGTACGGGTGGCAACCCTTTTACAACTGCTCAGTGTCGCGTAGCCGTCCCGTCCCGCCGTGCCGCGCCCGCTGTGTGCAAAGGCCTTTAGGCAATGAAAAGTGCACTTAGAACTGGCCCACCCTTTATAACTGTTTAGATTTTGGAGGACTATTTAAGCTTAAATTAAAAGAATTATTAGTGATAACTTAAAGTTGTACTCTGTAACTATTCGTGTAGCTTTTGGTGTTCATAAATAAGTAAACAAATAAATAACAAAGGTATAATCAAAACAAATGCTTATAAATTATTAAAGTTTTTATTATAAATTATATTAACATACCTTAGGTACAATTGTGTAAAGTAAAAGATACATAGTTAGCTTAAGTATAATATTTTAAACTAGGTATAGTAGTTACAGAATGTGAGGTTTAATAAAATACAAAATATAACAATACTGTACATTTACAGATCTGCAGTTACGAAGAGGTGAATATCTTTAATACATTTTCAACCTATAATTAATCATCACTGTATAGTATAAAACAGTCACTTTTCCGAATCTGTACCTCTAGCCAAACGCCACTTTATCGCTTGTCTACAGAGAGTAGAAAACTAAATGTATGGGGATGACACTGACCAGAGTGTCAAAATTTACGTCAATCCCATTTATGGGGTCATACATAAATTACGTCACACGAATTTCATGATTTTTTGCCCCTCCCCCGTCCTTGTCAGAGCTAGGCACATTTGTGAGACTCCCCCCTCCTAGTGTGACGTCACAATTAGCAGAATTACTGTATAGAAAGTATTGTTATTTTTATTTCCACTTAAATTCCTTTAAAAAATATTAATGTCAAATCAATTAACAAAATAAAAACAATAATACAACTATATTTCGTATTTTAACGAAGATTATAATAGTTTTTGAAATGTGACATCACAAAGTTTAGGATCTCTCCCTCCCCCTTGTCACACAATGTCACACTTCGTCGACCCCTCCCTACCCCTTTAAATTGTGACGTAATTTATGGATGGCTAGTGTCACGCGTGCCTTAGGGCCACGGCTCTGACTAAACTTAACCAGTTAGTACTCTAAAGTAGGTAAATCACATTTCCTAGCTTTCCGTCTATTACGTTTTGGTCTTGGTATCTTCAAATGTACATGGTCTACATGGGCCTTCAGTTCCCCACTGGTCCTAAAAGTTTTCTCACAAGCATCACACTTGAACGGCCTCTCTCCTGTATGTACCTGGAATAAGGTAATATTATCTATTTTATTGACTGCTTCGTTGGCCGAGTGGTCGCATTGCGACTGCCGGGTAAGGGGTCTCGGGTTCGATTCCCGGGTCGGGCATAGTATTACTGGGTTTTTAAAAAATTCTCAGTAGTAGCACGGAGTCTCACCCCCTATTACATGGGACTCATAACATAAATAGTGAAAAGTGGGTGTTACATTGTACTGTGATATAATGTGCACCTCTGCCTACCCCTTCGAGGATAAAAGGCGTGATGTTATGTTATGCTTAATTTTATAGATGAAAATAAAGTAGATAACATAACATAACATAACATCACGCCTTATATCCTCGAAGGGGAAGACTGAAGCGCACATTATGGCACTTAATGCCACTGTACAATGTAACACCCACTTTTCTATATTTATGTTATGAGTCCCGTGTGATAGGGGGTGAGCCTATTGCCATATACCGGGCACAATTCCAGAGTAGATCTATCATCAGGAAAGTTCCAATAACTTTTGGCCCAAACAAACAAACAAACCGGGCATCCTTACTTATATTATAAATCGGAAAGTGAGTTTGTTTGTTTGTTCCGCCTTCACGCCGTAACTACTCAACCGATTGCTTTGAATTTTTGCAGACGTAAAGTTAGAAGTCAGGATTAAATAATAGGGTACTTTTTATCCCGGAAAAAAGAGATATTTCGTAGGAAAAACAAAAATATTGGTATAGATGGCGCTGTATGTACTGGTATATGTCACATAGGCTACTTTTTATCCTTTTGTGACGCGAGCGAAGCCGCGGGTAAAAGCTAGTACTAAATAAAAACGGTTAAACAAAATATACTTACACGTAAATGCCTCGTTAGATTATGATTGAAGGCGAAAAGTTTCCCACAGAGCTGGCACGCAAACGACGCGCGCACCGGCTCGTGCTGCTTCATATGTCCGGCTAAATTCGACTTCATACTGAAAGTTTTGCTACAGTGATCGCACTGAAACCTTTTCTGTCCTGTGTGTACCCACATATGTCCTTCTAAAGTTGTTGTATTCTGTAAAAGATAATAACACATTCATTTATATTTTAACTTCAAAATACGCATGAGTGAGTATACGTAACCATAAGTGAGTATGAGTCATCACAAGGTAGTATAAGTACGCATGAGTGTGTACATGTACCCATAAGTGAGTATGAGTCATCACAAGTTAGTATAAGTACGCATGAGTGAGTATACGTAACCATAAGTGAGTATGAGCCATCACAAGTTAGTATAAGTACGCATGAGTGAGTATACGTAACCATAAGTGAGTATGAGTCATTACAAGTTAGTGTAATGTAAGCATGAGTGAGTATACGTAACTATAAGTGAGTATGAGCCATCACAAGTTAGTATAAGTACGCATGAGTGAGTATACGTAACCATAAGTGAGTATGAGTCATTACAAGTTAGTTTAAGTACGCATGAGTGAGTATACGTAACCATAAGTGAGTATGAGTCATTACAAGTTAGTGTAATGTTAGCATGTAAGCATATACGTAACTATAAGTGAGTATGAGCCATCACAAGTTAGTATAAGTACGCATGAGTGAGTATACGTAACCATAAGTGAGAATGAGTCATCACAAGTTGGTATAAGTACGCATGAGTGAGTATACGTAACCATAAGTGAGTATAAAGTCATCACAAGTTAGTATAAGTACGCATGAGTGAGTATACGTAACCATAAGTGAGAATGAGTCATCACAAGTTAGTATAAGTACGCATGAGTGAGTATACGTAACCATAAGTGAGTATGAGCCATCACAAGTTAGTATAAGTACGCATGAGTGAGTATACGTAACCATAAGTGAATTAAGTCCCGTCTAATTCCGCTGTAGCAGTGAGCGGGGTTCCCCTTGAAACGACGGCTGATCCGCGGATTACAATTAAGGAGCGGGAAATTCTCCTTTGCGGTGAGCACGGTACCAAAGGAATACGTATTCGGGGAGTTGCTTTGTTCATGAGCACCAGCAGCGAAAGACTGGGGATCGCTTTCTGCAATACCGCTCACCAGAAATGGCTCACAATCTCGCCAGGCCTTGCCTCTCTGTTAAATGGCAGCACTTTCAAAACAAGCATGAGGCGCAAACTCTATGAAGCACTGCCAGAAACAAAGCTGGTCGGTCAAAGCTGTCGATTGTTGCGGACGCGCAATAAAACAATCGCAATGTTTTCTGGCAACAATACGACAACCTGTTTTGAACAAGCATGCAAGGTGCTGACCAGTATAGGTAAGTGGGGTAAAGTAGAGGGCATAGATCCTAGAGTTATCAGCGTGGATGCTGCTGTGGTGGCTTTCCGGCGGGGAGAGACAGCGGATCTCATGGGCTGTATTCAAGCTTCAGAACAGCATGAAGTCATTGTTTATGAGGACAGGGGTGAAGACCTTAGTTTCCTCAGAAAAAAGGTCCAGAGTTCACCAATCGCTGGCTCTTCAAGTGGTTCGGAGCGTCTGCAGCACAGGTATTCGGAACAAAGTGCTCTACAGCAACAACAACGAAACACCGAAAGACAAATAAAAAAACAAACTTCACGGACCAACATGTGGGCAATAACATCAGCCATATGTACAGCTGCGGGTCTCATTTCGTCGACTTTCAGAAGGAGTGAATCCGGCTCCACTCGCGGGGGAGGCGACAGTGCTCGGGTGCATCCTGCCCAGTCCAGGTCACCGCCAACCAAAGCCGCCATGGGTCACGTCTCTCCGCCGAGGTTTCGTCATGCCACCACTCCCAGAGACCACCTCATAAACGCCTTCCTCGAGTTTGTCGCAGTAATAGAGGCAACAAAACAAGTTAACTTGCGAACTTGCAAAACGATCCTGCAGACATATCTGCAGGGTAACGAGCTGTTACTGAATGATAGACTCGAGGCTGCGGAGGCGGTCATATACGACAACAGTAAATCGAGAGTATTGAGAGGAGCTTCTATAAGTCGTAGTATGGCAGCTTACAACGCCACCGCAGGATTTGTGTCTCTGGATGAAAGGAATCGGATAAACGGGGAGTTGTGAAATTTAAAACTCCTCCTGAAGACTCCTTAGTGGTAGTTGCCGGGTGCACCAGGATCATGTTGGAGGATCGGATCTTGGAAATGGTGGGATCCATTTCGGAGCCTGGGCCGGGCGGCGTGGACTTTGGGGGCTGGGATGCCCCGACATTTCACTGGACAAATGGAGTGCCGGGATGCGGCAAAACTACATGGATAATAAACAAATTCGAAGCGGAAAGAGATTTAATCGTCACCACAACAACTGAAGCAGCAAATGACCTCAGAGGCAAACTATCCTGCCGAATCGGAGGATTAGTCAAATCCAAAGTCCGAACAATGGCATCCATTTTAGTGAACGGATTAAAAGAGCAAGAGAGCTGCCACCGAATCATGGTTGATGAGGCTCTCATGAATCACTTTGGGGCCATTGTGATGGCGGCCCGAATAACTCGGGCCAAAGAAGTTCTGCTGATTGGTGACATAAATCAACTTCCCTTCATTGACCGAGACAACCTCTTCCCCCTCATTTACAACCGCCCTACACACGTCGTGGCTATTAGCCAAGAACTTCTCTGCACTCACAGAAACCCTATGGATGTGGCATATGCTCTTAGTACTGTGTACAGTGGCATATATTCGTCCGCGTCGGGTGTGAGATCCCTTGAGTTAAAAAGCTTCTCAGGGTCGCGAATACCCAAATCTCCTCCGAACACGTTATACCTGGTACACACTCAGGTAGAAAAGGAATCCCTTAAAAACCAGGGATACGGATCGGGTGTGGGATCACGCGTACTCACAATACACGAGGCTCAGGGGCTTTCGTACGCGGCAGTGGTTGTTGTGAATACAGAGGAGAAGAAACAGCGGATACACGACAGTGTATCGCACGCCGTGGTAGCTATATCCCGTCACACTAACAGCTGTGTTTACTACACGAATATCAGTGACGACGCGATCAGCAAATTAATCAGACGAGCTTTGGGTGAGAGTGAGCGGGGGATCCTGGACTATAACTTGAAAATGGCTATCAGCAACAGGGACATGGCGGTAGTGGGCGCTCTTTTGGGTGGGGAGGGCTCGCTGTAAGCTTGAATTGTGATGCAAGCGTGACATTAATATATATTTGTGTGTGTTTAATAATGTTAAAATATAGTAAATATAATGTAACGTAATGTAAATTTTATCAATAAGACTGACAAAATACATTGGCACTACTGGAATCGGCTTACTGCTGCGTGAGCAGACGTCATGCATTCTTAAATGTTCTACAGTCGGTGGCGCTGTGGACTGGGTCGCTCCGTTCCCTACGAAATGGTTGATCGGACCGATTGCTGGCCCTCACGTCATGCTCGTGAACGGGCGCCTTCTGCTGGAGCAGGTCGGCTCGCTCATCGCGCGTGTGGGCCGATCCAGTAAGGTTAATGTAAATGTAATAAAACATGTATTGTGTATATATAGATATTAGACACAACCTTCTTTGTGGAAAAAAAATGTGGTTAATGTAGCACGTAAGATTTTTGTAACAATTAATTTTGACTGTAAATTAAAAGATAATGTAATGGAATGACAAGGGCACGGACAAGAGTCCGTGGAGAATAAGAAATGTAATATTTAAAAAAAAAAAAAAAAACCATAAGTGAATATGAGCCATCACAAGTTAGTATAAGTACGTATGAGTGAGTATACGTAACCATAAGTGAGTATGAGTCATCACAAGTTTGTATAACTACGCATGAGTGAGTATACGTAACCATAAGTGAGTATGAGCCATCACAAGTTAGTATAAGTACGCATGAGTGAGTATACGTAACCATAAGTGAGTATGAGCCATCACAAGTTAGTATAAGTACGTATGAGTGAGTATACGTAACCATAAGTGAGTATGAGTTATCACAAGTTTGTATAACTACGCATGAGTGAGTATACGTAACCATAAGTGAGTATGAGTCATCACAAGTTAGTATAAGTACGCATGAGTGAGTATATGTAACCATAAGTGAGTATGAGTCATCACAAGTTAGTATAAGTACGCATGAGTGAGTATACGTAACCATAAGTAAGTATGAGCCATCACAAGTTTGTATAAGTACGCATGAGTGAGTATACGTAACCATAAGTAAGTATGAGCCATCACAAGTTTGTATAACTATGCATGAGTGAGTATACGTAACCATAAGTAAGTATGAGCCATCACAAGTTTGTATAAGTACGCATGAGTGAGTATACGTAACCATAAGTAAGTATGAGCCATCACAAGTTTGTATAACTATGCATGAGTGAGTATACGTAACCATAAGTAAGTATGAGCCATCACAAGTTTGTATAAGTACGCATGAGTGAGTATACGTAACCATAAGTAAGTATGAGTCATTACAAGGTAGTATAAGTACGTATGAGTGAATATACGTAACCATAAGTGAGTAATAGTCATCACAAGTTAATATAAGTACGCATGAGTGAGTATTTGTGACCATAAGTGAGTATAAGTTATCATAAGTTAGTGCAAGCTGATATTATACGCACCATAAACATTTTCCCGCAATGCTCGCACATGTAGGGAGTGACCTGTGTGTTGCACTGCGCGGGAAGTAGCCCCGGGTGTGCGTGGCGAAAGTGACGTGAATATGCTCGGACTCCGACGGATTCTACGCCGCACTGGTACAGACAGACATACATAAGTACTGGAAAAATAAGTTATTCCTAGCACAATTTATTCATCCTATCTATCATCGTACAGTAAGATAATCGGGAAAATGCCACCGCTTCATAGTGGATATCCTATTCACTCGCAGGCAGTGTTTCACCTAAAGTTTTTCATCACACCGCTAATTCTTTGCTAGAATTTGTGTTTCCTGAAGGGTATAACCTGGGTACCTTCAAAGCCCGAGTGAATAGATTGCCTATGTAGGCGTGTCCCATCGTACGCCGTCTCATTGCTTACCATCAGGCAAGATAGAAGTCAACAACAAAAATTATTACTTTTGACGTCAAAACGACTGCAGGGATAGAAAGAAAGAAAGAAAAAACATTTATTCAGCACCAGGCACGATGCAGCATAAATAAAAAATAAAAAAAGACAATCAAGATGTGACAGTGGAAGTAATAAAAATATAAGAGTTGAAAAATTGAAACAGAAGAATTAGAAAAGAGACGCTGACACCATGCCTATGCTAAAAGGGTCACCCACTCAGTGTAAGCCAGGCATACAGGTTACCCAGCACTGATTTTCAGTGGGCACCCATGCAATTTGATCGTGATGAAATTTGGAAGAGGGGCAGATTATGGTTTGGAATAACACATAGGCTACTTTTTATTACACGGGGTCACGATCGAAGCCGTTGGCAGAAGCTAGTTTATAATATTAGTAGATCAGTTTCACTTACCTGTTCACAAGTGACAATTCCATTAATGAGTGGCACGTCGATATCTTCACGCCTGTGTATTCTGGTGCGACGTACAGGGACAGTCGTTCTGTCGAGTCGACGCGTCTTTATTGAGGGATCATTGCTGAGGCGGTTGCTGAAATATATAGATTTATATATTTATTTTTTATAATAACTTTCGTGAGACATACTAAATTAACCAAAAACTTCTATTTACTTGGATACTCACGTGAATATATCACGTAAGTATCCTAGTAAGTAGAAGTGGCTGAGAAAAGCTCTACTAGTTTCGAACCACAGAGGGGTTCTTCCTTATGATTATCTTGCGCGATCACGGCGATGTCGCGCAGCCTACTATCAGTATATTCTTTAGCTTTTCTCAGTAGATTCACGTGAGTAACCCGCGATTTTTGGTTGATATTTATTTTTATTAATTTATATATGCTTTATTGTACACATTTACGTAGCTTAAAAACAAACAATTCATGTAAATATGCGTAATGGGCGGTCTTATCACACAATGGTGATTTCTTCCAGACAACCTTTGGATGGAAATATTTATAAGGAACCATATGTGGTAGTTATATATATATATATATATATGTATTTATATATATGATGGGCTAATGTTTGACCACTATCTCGCCTGGTGGTAAGCGATGACGCGGTCTACGATGGATCACGTCGTCCCATATAACCTTCATTATCAACAACAGAGCGGTATTATCCCTAAGGCAAAGTAGCCAAGTGTCTAAGGCGCCAGGTTAGAGGGGTGCTGCGTGACAGGCTTACTGCCCATCGAGTGGTTTTATAAATTATGATTATTTTATTGGTTGTGATTGTTTCATTGGTTATGTGATTCTTACTATGAGTATGACCACGGAATATAGAATATAATGGAAGTAGCTTGAAACAATATTTCTGCCAGAACCGGTGTCGCCAAACTAATACATTTATAATTTACTCATACTATAAATCGGAAGTTACGATTGGTTAGAAAAAAAATGGGCGTAAACGAAATGCAAAAAAAATATCATACGATATGCAACATTAAAATCAATGCACTATAAATCAAAATAAAAAAGTATATTTTGTACTACCAAGTACCGCCATTCGTCGCTAGATGGAGTTTAACAATGCCATCTAGCGACGAAAAGTGGTACTTGGTTTGAACTTTAACGTCGTAAGAATAAAGGTGATATTTGAATGGCTTATCACTGGCTCGAATGCGGGTCTCTACTCAGATAGTGATGTAGTCTAATTCGATAAAAATAATATCGATAATATGAAAATGTGTTTTAAAAATAATGTGAAAAAAATATTGACATCGATAGTGTGACAGTATTAAAATAATAAAATTAATATGTCGTTGATAACTTTTTAAACGTAACATTAAAGGGTAAGTATTTATTTGCATGTAAATCAAAAACCATTTTGTTCGTATTTTTTATTAGTTTCTTTTTTCAAAAAAACATTTTTTTTTTATTTCACATAGGCAATATAAGTAACAACTATTACAAACTTTATATGGATAATGTGATAAAAGAGAGGTATGGCGATAAGGATGACGGTGCTGATCTGCTCCGTGAAGTGAAGGTTCTTCCAATCACGCCGGGGTCACCACTAAAATAATAAAAAAAATAATCTAAATAAATGTTACATTACACTTGCATCGATATCAATCGATAAATTCAATATGTGATTTGACCACATCACTATTTGAGTAGCGTAGAACTGGCGAGAATGTTCTATTGAATGGAATAAATCCAAAATAAACTTTATCTTGAAGGCGTAAGGTTGATTTTGACTAACCGTTTTAGTAAATAATATTATTTTAATAACCGTTTTTGTAAATTGAAATAATATAAGATTTCTACAAGAAAACAATGAAAATTGTACTTACCGATGATACGAAGCACCTCTATTTTTACGATTTTTCGGCTGCTATCATTTTTACACGCTAAAACGGAACAAAACGGCATAGTTGAGGAAATATGTATTTGTCACGAGACTAGCAACTCGACGCGATGTTCGAACGAGTCTGAACTCGAATTTGCCTCGAGTAAGCAGAGTGCCAAGCATGAATAACTATCGCATTCGTAACGTAATAGTATTGAGCGCGTTCGACGCTCTGATTGGCCGGCTCAAGTGAACCAACCAATCAGAACGCTTAACTCGCTCGATACTGTTACGATACGAATGCGATTGTTATTCGTGCTTGGCACTCTGTACACTGCAGGGTTGTGGCACGCGTGCCACGCCTACTTGCTACTTCCATTGTATTCTATATTCCGTGAGTATGACATATTGTACGAATTTAATTATGACATAACTGTATCTATAATTTTAATTTTGACATACCTACCTACATACAATTTTATTTGACATTTATAAATATTTAACGATGATAATATGATTATTACTTACTAAAAAATTTGCATGCCATGACAAGTGGTAAACATGTATTAAGTGCAACTATTCTATTTTTATCATCCTACATACATGCACCTGCGTGTGTGAGTATGTATACACATGTTTTTGCGAATAAATTTGATTTGATTTGATTTGAGTGGAGGTGGCGCTAAAAAAAATTATCTGGTTGCCTAGGGCGCTGTCTAGGTTTTTGTTTATATCAACAACCTGTAAGAGTTTAATGGTGGACTACAGGCGTCCTCTACAAAGGAGGTTGTTGCCTTCCCTTGGCAAGCAGGTTGAAGATTACTAAGAGATCGATAGATTATACAATAGAAACTATAAGGATTTCTACAAAATGGTGTAAGATTTGTATAAAATGTGTAATTTTGTTATAAAAATGTGTACAATGTGTATAAAAGTGTACATCCTTACTAATATTATAAATCGGAAAGTGAGTTTGTTTGTTTGTTTATTCAGCTTTCACGCCGTAACTACTAAACCGATTGCAGACGTAAAGTTAGAAGTCTGGATTAAATAATAGGATACTTTTTATCCCGGAAAAATTTGGTATTCTCGAGGGAAAACGAAATTATTGGTATAGATGGCGCTGTGTGTATTGGTATATGTCACATAGGCTTTTTATCTTTTTGTGATGCGTGCGAAGCCGCGGGTAAAAGTTAGTTTTTTATAAAATTTGTACAATATGTGTAAAACTTGTATAAAAAAGTGTATAACAAGTATAAAATTTTGTATAAAATAACTTTAAAATAACACATATGAACTCACGGGTCATCTTCGCTCTTTAAATGTTTAGAGGAGAGTCGCAGATGTTTGCTGTAAGCCTTTCTGTTCAAGAACTTGATGTTACAGACTTCACAGTGCGGACCTTTCAGCGGCTGCTGAAATATACAAAATAAACCACATTTAGACTTTCGGAATCAAATCAAATCACTACATTTTGTGTATAAACTTAGGGATGGTGACAGGGTATGAAAATTAAAAATGTAATTAGTCTGACAGACTTAATAATTTTTTTTATTTTAGGTAATTATGGTTAAGTAATGAAAAAAATGAATGTCGTGGTGGCCCGGAGGTTTAAGACGCCCACTTCTCATGCATGAGAGGGCGGGTTCGAAACCTACCAACGGCAAGTACCAATGTGACTTTTTCCGAGTTATATGTACTTTCTAAGATTATTTAGACACCACTGACAAACGGTGAAGGAAAAACATCGTGAGGAAACCTGAACTTATAATTTCTAATTATAAGTTTGAAATCGCCAACCCGCATTGAGCAAGCGTGGTGATTAATGCTCAGCAGTGGGCATTTATAGGCTGTTGATGAATGAAAAAAATATTAGACACATATTTTTTATTTTGTCGTATTAAAAAAACCTTATATAAAACGAATAAAAGTTTAGGAGTGGGAGGTAACTATGACATTTTAGAGTATAAATCGTACTCAAAAGTGATGTCACGCGATATTTCAAATCAATATACCTTCGAAACGATTCGTTTCCGTAAGTAAATAAAAAATACGTGTCTAATGTTTTTAAATAATCACGACGACCAGTTCATATTAGTTTGACATAACTTGATGTGTTCGTGTACACTTTCTATATACAAGAAGCTGCAAGCGTTTGATACTTACATTTTTATCATCGAATTTATGTCTCAGCCGCTTGTGGGCGCGCACTCCGTTGTCCCCGACGAAGGTATACCCGCACAGCTCACAGACACAGTCAGACATGTGCTTCAGGCGCAAGTGATTCAACAGTGTCGTTTGTTTTCTGAAATAAGAAAAAAATCTCACATATTTACTGAAGGAATACAGGACAGGAAGGGATAAGTGTGGGAGAGCCATGCTTCGGCACGAATGGGCCGGCTCGACCGGAGTGATACCACGGCCGAGCAGAAAACCGACGTGAAGCAACGCTTGCATTGTATTTCGTCGTGTGAGTGAGGTTACCGAAGACCCAATAAATTGTCTTTACATTTTTAAGTTTATTATTTAAATATGTTTTTTTTTTATTTACATAAACTTAGTAACTGTGTGCCAATTTGTCAATAAATGATTTTTCTTTCTTTCTTTCTTGGATCTCAAAACGAAATAAATCAGAAGTTTACTGAACGCTCTTGATGTATGCAATATATCCTTAGTACCCTCTTATCGAACAATATACACAAGTAACAACTTTTTCAAACGCAGTGTTAACACTTATAACGAAGAATTAAATGAATTAGACATATTTAATACCAGTACCAATGTGTATAAATCTAAAATTAAGCAGAAATATACTCAAAGCTAGGAAGGGAATTATATCACGGTCACTTTATAAGAATGTAATTTCGTTTATCATTTTAAAAACTTTATCTCTGTAATTCTTTTCTTTTTTTTATGTATACTACTGATTTGACACCTTTAAAAACAGTGCCTTTTCGTATATTATTGTTTTATGGAACTCTAGGTCTGTATGTATCACATTGTATTTTAATAATTTTATTTGTAAGAGACTGTCTGTTTCCTGAATAAAGAAAAAAAATATATACTCACTCAAATTGCACCCCACACTGAGGACACATGTACTTACTGCCAGCGTGGAACTTCATATGCCCGAGTGCTACGTGCCTGGAACAACATACCACTATTACATTAAACTGTCAAACACCGCGAGGTCACCGGTGACCGCAGCCTATTGTTCTTTAACTCGTGGAGTACCGTATTTATAGACACAATTAAAGAACAATAGGTTGCGGTCACCGGTGACCGCTTGGTGTTTGACAGTTTAATTGTGTCTATAGATACGGTACTCGACGAGTTAAACGTAAAAATCATATATTGTAAGGGATTTTTTTTAAGGGGGGAAAATCATCGAATGACTGTTCCCGCCTGGGTGAGGCGGGGGGGAGTGTCAGACTCTTACTGACTAAAAACCACCCCGTTCCTTCTCCTGCACGTCGAGCCGGAGCCCCGGTTACCCGTTAGGTTCTCCGCGACATATTTTAAGGGATAAGCCGGTAAACAAGCTAACAAATCATCTGATGGTAAGCAATAGGCGCCGCACAACATAACTTTAAGTGTGGGAGAGCTATGCTTTGGCACGGATGGGAATGCTCGACCGGAGTGATACCACAGCCGAGTAGAAAACTGACATGGGACAATGCTTGCGTCTTGTGACTGAGGTTACTGGAGGCCCAATTTCCCCCCTCCCCAATCTCCCCAATCCCCGAATCTCCAATGATTCTGAAATGCCAAATCCCCAAAAGGCCGGTAACGCATTTGTAATACCCGTGATGTTTCGAGTGCCCATGGCATGTGCATTAAAAATAAATACAAATACATTGCCAGCCTTTTGGGAATTTCAAGATTAGGAGTTGGCATTTGAGGATGGGACATTGAAGATTGTAACATAACATCACGCCTTTTATCCCCGAAGAGGTAGGCAGAGGTGCATATTACAGCACTTAATGCCACTGTACAACGTAACACCCACTTTTCACTATTTATGTTATGAGTCCCATGTAATAGGGGTGAGCCTATTGCATTGCCTGGTATATGACCGGGCGCATTTCCAGACTTCGTGCTACTATTGAGATTTTTTTTGAAAACCCAGTAATTCTTTGCGCAACCCGGGAATCGAACCCGAGACCCCTTGCCCGGCAGTCACACTTGCTACCACTCGGCCATTGACGCAGTGCAAAACAATTTTGATATAAATGTTATATATTTACCTATTTCTCGTGACCAGTGGACAGAGTTTACATATAAACTCGGAAGTATGTTGTTTCTTCATATGTGCCCGCATCTGTCTACCTAGCTTCATACGGACCTTACATATCACGCATTTTAATGGACCCGCTTTCTGGAACAAACCATTTTTTTATGAATGCTGCTACTGCTACCTCAGTAGCAGCGCGACAGTCGCCGCGTCGCGGGTCGCGAAATGCTGCTCATCAATAAAGTCAAAGTCAAAATCATTTATTTCAATTAGACCAGTAAGGCACTTTTGAACGTCAAAACAAAATATTTAAATATTAAATAATAAGAAAAAATGTCAGTCTGTAGGTCAGTCCTCTAGTGAAGCTACTTGCTCGTTCCAAGGCGTAGATTCCTATGGAGAAGAACGAGCAAGAAACTCCATAGGTTACTCTTTTTCAATCATGTTCACAATACAATTTTTGCCAATACGAGCCTCTAGCATGGCTTGAAACTAGTCGAGTTCCTCGTCAAATTATTTATTTATTTATTTATACTTTATTGCACACACAGAAAAAAATTGTAAACATTGCAATAGTAATTTGAGTACAATGGGCGGTCTTATCACACGCGGCGATTTCTTTCAGACGAATTATTACGGGAATAAGCCGAAAACATAATAATTTATTTAGTATGTCACACGAAAGTTACAATACTTTTTTTTATGGGCCGATTGCTTACCATCAGGAGGCTTGTCTGATCAGACAAGCCTCCTGATGGTAAGCAATCGGCGCCGCCCATGAGAATTTTTCAAGAACTTGGGGATGGGTAAGATTCGAACTCCTCCCTTCCCCAATCCCCCATCCTCAACTTCTTACCCCCAAAATGCCTAACTAACAGGTGACCCATCCTGCACATTAAAATTTATTTTGTCACAAGAAAATTCATCAATAAATCTCTGTGCGCTTCTCACGTAGCTTCCTGCCTCGCACAGCAAAACTGTGGAATAATAATCAATCGTCGGCGGTATTTTGCAACCGATACGATCTTCAAACCTTCAAGAAAAGAGCGTATTCCTTTTTACAAGGCCGGCAACGCACCTGTGACTCCTCTGGTGTTGCGAGTGTCCATGGGCGGCGCTGATCGCTTACCATCAAAAGCTTAGTACGAGTTTCTTTTTAGTTTAAAGTAATCGTAACGAGTACGGGTTCGACGCTGTGATTGGCCGGCTCTAATGAACCAACCAATCAGAGCACAGAGGGCCAAGCACGAATAACTATCGCATTCGTATCGTAACAGTATCGAGTGAGTTAAGCGTTCTGATTGGTTAGTTCACTTGAGCCGGCCAATCAGAGCGCCGAACGCGCTCGATACTATTACGTTACGAATGCGATAGTTATTCGTGCTTGGTACTGTGAACGCAGTCTCGTTTCGATTACTTTAAACGAAAAAGAAACTTGTACTAAGGCCTCTGGTGATACGTCTGCTCGTTTGCCTACATTCCAAAAAAAAATCTCAAAAAAGTTAACGTACCTCGCTATGCTTCATACTGTGTCTGTCCAGTTTATCCTCACTAGGGAATCCCTTATAACAAACTGTACATTTATAGGGAGCTTTCAAATATCTCGCACTATTCTTGCGCGCCATAACTTCTTCTATTAGCCGCTCTTGAGATAGAGATTTCACAGTAAACACAGTTTCGTCTATTGGTGTAGTCGGTTTCACGTATGGTTTTTTTTGTGGTCTGTAAATTAACAAACATTTGGAAACTATGGAAAGACACATTCGGTCAAGTCACCGCGTATAATGCTTAAGATTATGTAAAGCTAAAACTAGTCGAGAACGCACCTCGCATCATAGAAATATTGTACAAATAAATAAATTATCGTAATCTTAAACATGATCGTCCCACTGCAGGGCAAGGGCCTCCCTACCCTCCTTCCACTCGGACAGACAGTTCGACCATCGGACAGAATTAGGAACACCACGCTGCGCTCCACGACTAAAATCGTTGACGTTGGTCATAAAGCCGCAGGCTTGAAGTGGCACTGGGCTGATCATGTCTGCCGCATGTCAGACGAGCAGTGGGCAAAACTTACTACTGAGTGGAGCCCACTCAACGTCAGTAGACGTCGCGGCAGGCCCAAAAGGAGATGGCGGGACGAATTGGACATGTATGACAAGGATTGGCCGAAAAATGCTTTACAAAAATATATGCATCATCACTCATCACATAGTATAAACAAAGTCGCTTTTTCTGTCCCTATGTCCCTTTATATGCTTAAATCTTTGAAACTACGCAACGGATTTTGATGAGGTCTTTATAATAGACAGAGTGATTCAAGAGAAAGGTTTATATATGTATAATACATGCATATTGCACGTGCGACGCCGGGGCGGGTCGTTAGTAAGTAATAATAATACTAACTTCCAAACATTACCTACAGAATTACTGTCTGGCAACGAGCGATAGAGAGTAACATGCTAGGAGTAAATAGGGGCGATAGAATAAGAATCATCACCATAAGGAAAAAGACCAAGAAACTGAATGTAACCCTAAAAATAAAAAGGCTAAAAAGTGGTCATGACACATGATCTGAGGAAAGGGAAAATGGAACAAAATATTCACACAATTGTAACCAAGAGAAGTAAATAAGTGTGGGAGAGCCATGCTTCGGCACGAATGGACCGGCTCGACCGGAATGATACCACGGCCGAGCAGAAAACCGACGTGAAGCCGCTTGCGTTGTGTTTCGTCTGTGAGTGATGTTACCGGAGGCCCAATTACCCTACCCTTCCCCAATCTCCCCAATTCCTACGAACCTTAAACTCCTTATACCTAAACGGCTGGTAACGCACTTGTAATGCCTTTGGTATTACAGGTGTCCATAGGCGACGACGATTGCTTACCATCAGGTGATCCGTCTGCTCGTTTACCGGAAAAAGTAAAAGGACAACAAAAATATGGGACGATGATATTGGGGAGGTCGCTGGAAAAACATGGAGTAGTATCTGAATGGAGTAGGTTGGAGGAGGCCTTTACCAATTGTTAACGGATTTACAAAAAGTATTAAATAAAAATGTTTAAGCTTAGTTCAGAAATGTAAGAAAGAATTTTGCTGTCCGAATATATAAAAGGCTTATTATTATATTATTAACTTACACACTCCATCGATTCTTTGCAGTTTCTATTTTCCTCGTTCTCCGTTTCACAGTTTTTTTAGCCACAATTTTCTCATTATCATCGTCCATATTCATATCAAAAGAATCATCATTTGTTTCACTTATATCCGCCATTTTAGAATTATTATCAAAAACAGTTATATTGAATTGATTATCAACAACTGTAGGAGCCTTTACTAGTATAATGTTATCCCAATTTACTTTAGGAGCTTCACTGTGAAAGCTGTCTTGACTATTGTTAGGTATTATTTCTATTTCAGCTTTCGTTTCATCTTCATTAATTTTACTTTCATTTTTTATCACTATTTCATCTATTTGTGAATTGTCATCTAAATCTTCTTCAAAAGTAAATCCTACAGTTTCTGTTTTAACTAGAGTATCCGAGTCTGTGTAACTGTGTATTTCAGTTTCACAGTTAAAAGTATCTATTGTTTCAACGATTAAACTTGATTTTAATTTATGTTCTTGATGCAGATTTGATATTTCAGTTATGTTTAGCTAAAAGATAATTAAAGTTATTTTTAATGCACACAAGACGTATTATTTTTGCACGTATCTGTCTCTACAAAAACGTTTCGCTAATTATATACGAACCTCTTCATGGCAATTCAAATGTTCCTGAAGCAATTGATCGCTGGTCAGCGCTTTATATTTAAAAGCCGCCGCTGAATGCAGCCGCGCTTTACATTCCCAACATATGTTCATTGGAAACCTATCCTTGGAGTCTGTTCGGGGCTGGTGGACGAGAAAAGTTAAATTAATTTACTCAAAGTCAAAGTCAAAGTCAAAATCATTTATTTCAATTAGACCAGAAAGGCACTTTTGAACGTCAATAATAAAATTAGAAGTGAAGCTATTTGCTCATTCCAAGGTGTAGATTCCTATGGAGAAGAACGAGCAAGAAACTCCATAGGTTACTCTTTTTCAATCATGTTCACAATACAATTCTCTAGTTACATAGTTTGCTGTTTGGATTGTGCGAGAACAATGTAACACTAAAATCTAGTCAAAGTGATTGAACTCTTCGGTCCTATAACTTGCGTGCGTAAAAATGAACATCGACAGCCAGAGGCGGATTTAACCCAGAGAGCGCCCTAGGCAAGGACCTCATAGGCGCCTCTAATTTTTTTGGCGCCGCTGTCACTTTATGGCCAATTGGTCACGCGTCGCCAAGTCTCGCGGCGCCCCGCAGTAACCTGCGCCTGTAGCCAAATGCCATTTAGCGCTTGTCTACATGTAGAATAGAAAACCAAATTATATGAAATTGACGTAAATTTTGATACTTGTCAGTGTCATCCCCATACATTTTGATTTCTACTCTCTCTGTAGATAAGCGCTAAAGTGGCGTTTTGCTAAAGACCCTGGGTCGCTAGGCATTTGCACAGTTTGCCTCAGGGATAATACGGCTCTGGCGTACATTAACATCGATATGATGCCCACGGCCACTTTCTATCATCGCACCGCTCGCCGTCGACAGAGTTCACGCTCACATATTGGAGCCCAAATGGTCCCGTACAGTTCGGTTTCAGCGGAAGAATTACCTCCCACGGACCCTCCGATTGTGGAATGAACTCTCTGCCAAGGTTTTCCCGGTGGGCTGTAGTATGGGGTTCGTCAAGAAAGGATTAAATAGGTTTTTAAAGGGTCGGCAAAATGCATGTAATGCCCTATGTGTTGCAAGCGTACATAGTACAGTTGCAAGTATACCTACCTACATTAGGTTTGTCAAGTTTAAAAAATAATTTTAATAAATCTCACCTCAATCCCGATTACATATTGATACATTTTATTTAAACTGTCTTCTTTGAGATCATATATTTTCGCATCTATTCTCAGACACAACTTGCACACCTATAAAAAACAACACTTACTTTTGTATGTGAAAAAACATTAACGCACATTTGCAGATGGTTTAATTTCAGAAAAAAATTACAAATATCAGAGAATCATAAAAAATATAGGTTGCTTATGGGACTACGTGCTCCATCGTAGACCGCATCATCGCTTACCACCGATTTAGTATATAGTAATCTGTGCCACCGGTCGGGATAGTGGCCAAACGTCAGCCCATTAAAAGCAAAAAAAAAATAAAGAAAAATAAATTGCTCTTACTCTGTTTACAGGCTGCTGTAGATCATACTGTAAAACAAAAATGTATTTCATTAACTTTTTTTTTTATTCGGCGGCCAGCTGATCATCCTTTCTCTTTCTGTCAAGGGATGACGGGTAAACATGTATGGGATGGGAAACGTACCTTTTGACCAATAACGACCAGACGTATTTCGTCAGAAAGCTCTTTACATGAACTATCATTTGTTATTATTACACGACATTATTATACAAGGTGTAGTTTTGAAACCATGGTCATTTCTCGGGGGCATGTCACAGAAGTCATAAAGGTTCAATGTAAGAGAAAGTTTCGGGCCAATAGTAAAAAATACGACTATATGTAATATATCGTTTAAGTTCGACAGTATTTCAGAATAAGCGACAGCAATGTTCCTTACATAACACATAACATAACATCACGCCTTTTTATCCCCGAAGGGGTAGGCAGAGGTGCACATTATACCACTGTACAATGTAACACCCACTTTTCACTATTTATGTTATGAGTCCCATGTAATAGGGGGTGAGCCTATTGCCATATACCGGGCACAATTCCAGACTCCGTGCTACTACTGAGAATATTTAAAAAACCCAGTAATACTTTGCCCGACCCGGGAATCGAACCCGAGACCCCTTGTCCGGCAGTCGCACTTACGACCACTCGGCCAACGAGGCAGTCATATATATGTAATATATCGTTTAAGTTCGACAGTATTTCAGAATAAGCGACAGCAATGTTTCTTATTGGAGTTTTATGGAATTAGCAATAATATCAATTACGTGTTTGAGTTTGTGTGCGTTAAGCCGCGTTATAAAGCTAGTTACAAGACGGCGGCGTGTAGTTCGCACTTACGGATTTTCGTAATTTACAGAAAAATTAAAAATATTTAAGTACAATTTTTTTTATTGATTCGGTCTCAAAATCGATAACCGAGTTACCTCCTAGAAAATGACGCGGCTTTAAAACAACACCTTGTATACGGGATGACTTGGAACTCGACGTATTCCTCTCGGGAGGTGATAATACAACTAATTTCCTGCACAATTAGCCCTGAGGTCTCTGGTCCGAAAATGGCTAGTTTCTGAGATATTCCACATTTTCGGTTATGGTGAAAAAATCCCGATCGAAATACAAAAACTTCAATAAATAAAGAAGTTGTGGTTTAATTTAAGTCATTTTAGTTTTAATTTGTTGTCAATACATCAATAAACATTTATTATTACTAATACTTGCAGAAACATCATTCGTTTTAAAATAGCAAGTAAATTAGTATCAAATTTTGTTTTGAGTGACTTATTTGGTCAATAGAAAACTGCATTTAGCTTAAAAAATTGATATTATAAAATAAGGAATTATAGCAACAAGTGTCAAAAAACTAGCACAGGGTGTACTTTTTCGTGGATAACACATAAGTCATTGTAAAAAATTATCTGACTTAGAATTTTATTTTAAACTAGCTTTTACGCGCGGCTTCGCTCGCGTCACAAAAGGATAAAAAGTAGCATATGTGACATATACCAATACACACAGCGCCATCTATACCAATACTTTTGTTTTTCCTCGGGAATATCAAATTTTTCCGGGTTATAAAGTACCCTCCTATTATTTAATCCAGAATTTTAACTTTGCGTCTCAAAAATTCAAAGCAATCGGTTCAGTAGTTACGGCGTGAAAGTGGAACAAACAAACAAACTCACTTTCCGATTTATAATATTAGTAAGGATTTTTCTGATGACTGTTGGACTGTTGAAACTTTTCCGATCACCTGCTTCCATTTGATCGTCGACTTCTGGGTGCTTACTCTTGAAACCAATCTCAATGTCAATGCAATTTCAATCCAATAAAATCTCAATAAATATTCAATGTCAAAACTATACAACCACAATCGTAGCTGTTACAATAGCGTTCAGAGTACGGAATATAAAGCCAAACTCAATACCATTTAGTTCATTCAATATCCACGCAATACGGATGCAATGGGCGCTAGTGTAGCAATTCAAGAGTACGAAATTTCACAATACTAATGTCGATCGATCGGACTTGGATTCAAGAGTAAGCCCCCAGGTAGGCTCTGTATGCGACTCTTTGGACACTCAAAGGAGGATAGAAGGCAACATAATTCTTATGAATACTTACATTTGTTTCAGGTACAACACCATATTTAATTCTTCTGGTACCCAGTTTAGTTATATAAAAGTCATCCTCGTTGAAGTGTTCCGAGCATATCACATGTTTCGGAGTCACCATGAAACTCGGTAACGACAGAGATTCAAGCCACGCGGCACGCTGCTTCGGATCTTTTGGGAAACTGGAAATAAATGAAAAAATAGTTTGACGGTTCATAAATCTGTTGTCATCACTCTGGTTCTCCGCCTCTCCGGTCCGGTTCATAAAACTGGCAGTATAGTGAACAACAATGTATAGGACATTAAAAAAAATTTAATTATTAACAATATCCATAATATATATAAAAATTAACACCATAACTTGCAAATGGCTGGACCGATTTGGCTGATTTTTTTTTATTGTGTTTGTTATTGTCAGGAGAAGTTTTTTATGATAAAAAAAAATCCTGAAAATCTTGTGGGAACGGGAAAAAACAGGATTGCGCGTACGAAGTAGCGAGCAGAAGCTACTTTGAAATAATTTACTATCGATGACTATTTCACTAAAATCCGGCACCCTCCGGTTTTTGTACTGCCGAATTACCTAAGAGAGATTACACTGTATTTAATTTAATTCTATGGTAAATATTTAATTTATAATTCTTAAAACTTACGAATGATAGGTGATTTTATGCGGATTCGATGCACTGCTTTCACATATTTTGTTAATTCTATGACTATTTACACAATTTTGAATAAAGCACTTCATGCTAGTGTTGCGTAATACGTATATTTTTTAAAGAATTTAACTGCGATTGACGAAATTCTAATATTTACAGTATTTATTCATTAAAAGAGAAATTTTCTCACTTGTAAAAAATTGTGTGAAAACAATTTGCTAATTGTCAAACTTGTCATTGTCAATATTGTCATAATGTCAAACTGTGAAGTCAGTTCAATGCACGGATACCATTGATGTTATAAAAATATAGGTGGTCGTACAAATATAATGCACATATTATCAATCTCGTGAACAAAAATATACCAGTCTCAATCTTATACGTTATAAAATATTAAATTTCTCATGTAGAAATAGATAAGCATATAGCATAAATAAACTTCAATTTCCAGTAACATTTTTTATGTCGTCACCATTGCCATTATCATGGGACACATGCGCCATCATATATACACATTCCCATACACTTATTGATCTTTTTGAAATTGCATTCCGCTCATGTTTTTGTTTTTGGAAGATCATCTCAATGATGAAAGGATTAAGAAGATATCACCTGCGTTTGTACTTGGAGAGTCTAATGAGGTGTCTAATGAGAGGAGTCTTAAGTGTAGTGACAAAACGAATCGAATACATTTAAATCGTGTTTCTTTTGACTCGATTTCTTAAAACCAAAAATGAAATTAACTCATGTCTTTGTTTCTTCTTTAATAAAAAGCTCGCCCTTAGCCTTCGCCCAAACGACTCAATCGATTTGGATGAAATTCGGCACTGATATAGTTTGAGATCCAAGACAGGATGTGGGATAGTTTTTGTCCCGGAAATTTCCCAACAAGGTATTTTCCGGAAATCTCCATGTTCTAAACTACTAAATCAATTTGAATGAACGTATGACGGGCAGTATGTTCTTAGTCTAACGACTAATAACCGTATTTCGTGCCACAGCCTTTAACACCACAATTAGGCGTTATCAGAGTTTGGCAAACTTACTTTTAAATAAAATAAAAGCACTCTAATCTCTTAAAATACTCCGTTAATTCAATATTTCTGATAACTTCCAATGAATCTGACTTTTCACGTTCAAAAGACACACGGAATATAAAATGGCGACACGGCACGGAGTTCGAGCCAACGTGACGTAAACGTAACACTTAAAATGTTGCTATTTCAAGTAACTACTAAAATCTATCTATCTCTTTCTACATTTCGACAATTGACGCATAATAAAAGAGATCAGAATATATTTTGTCTTTTCGTATCTCTACAACTACGTTGTTTGTATAGTAAGTACATTATGTATGTCCTCGTAGTATTCTTAGATCATTGGCTCATATTTGATTTATCATCCATCAGTCAATCAAATATATTAATATACGGTGTTTGAAATGGAAATATTTTTGGTGTTACTGTTTTGTTTCAGTGGACTAATTCGACTTTTTTCTTGATTTTTCTAATCTATGGTTTTCTAACCCATAACATAATAATATACTTAGTACTTAGGTACTCGAGTTCCCATAATACTCTAAATATTATATATAGTCTTTGCTCTTGAGTCTTGTCTTGAGTGTATTTGATTTATTATCATGAGGAGGTGCTGCATCAAGGGATGCACTTCTAATTCATATAAAAATGAAGAAGGATTGTCATTCTTTAGGTTAGTCTTAGTTTTATTTATTATTTATTATTATTTTAATACTCATGTGAATTACGATATAACTTTTATTATGAGTTTTCAGTCAGGTTTTGGGTTATATACCTAGTATTTGTACATTACATTCATTTCACATATTGTTATCACATACAATGAACTAGTAAACATTTTAATTGTTTACATTGTATTCACTGTTGAGTGTTGATCTTCGTTTTTTAAAGTCCTAAAATTAAAATAAATGCGAAAATTTTTGCGAATGTATACGTGTGTTTGTTGGTTATGCTTTCAAGCTAAAACTACTAAAGGGATCGAGACGAAATTTGGACCAGGGGTAGATTAAAGTTTGGATTAAAACATAGGGTACTGTTTACCTCACGGGTACGCGGGCGAAGCCAAGCGATATAAATAATAACAATAAGTTGGCTCCAAACAAAAAATAATTGATAGAATTGCTAATAATAACTGAATATTTTAAAAGTTCTAATTAATTATTGTTTCCTTTACACCTGACACCTCACTAGAATAAAGTTATGAGTAAATTAGTGGTACGATCATGCATGTAAAGCGAGGAGGGATTGTGGAATCTGAGGGTCTAGAACTTAGATTTCACAAAGTGATATCTACCATGAATCGGTGACGCTTCACCAATTGTCTCATGGTACGTTCATGGAAACAACTAGGGGTAATCAAGTCGTTTAATACTGATATTCCACACACTCACCAAAACATATCCGGTTGAGTGACATATATAAATTTTATTTATGTTTTCGAAAAGGTATTATATTATTAAATAATATATTTAATTATCATATTTAATTAGCACATAATGTTTTATATTGATTTTAGATTCCCTCAAAATGAATGCCTTAAAGAATTGTGGATAGAAAAAATAGGCAATGAGAATATAAAACCTGCAATAGGAATAGCAATATGCTCCAAGCATTTTGAAGATCATTGTGTAAACAGAACAATGAACTGTGTTCGACTTAAAGATGGCGCAGTTCCTACCATTTTTTCAGTAAGTAACATAACATTTCCCAAATTTGTCAATTTCCAAAAGGCCGGTAACGCACTTGTAACGCCTTGGTGTTTCAAGTGTCCATGGACGGTGCTGATTGCTTTCCATCAGGTGATCCGTCTGCACGTTTACCGGCTTATATAATACTATACTCCGTCTGTTTAGGTAGTTAACTATTTGTAAACAAACCATAAAAAGAGTTGTTTATAGTTGACATTTCCATGATTCAAAATACTTCATAAGAAAATAAAATTGTTTCCCTTTTTACGACAGTTTTCTTTATTAAATGTTATGTTTCTGTTCCTTTTCACTTATTTCTTAGTAAATATTATATATATCTGCTTGAGGATATTAATTTAATAACATTTATTAAATAATATAATATTTCATTACAATAGACACCATAAAGAGCCTAAAATCCCAGGTATCCAAAACCTTTCTTTAAGAACGAAGCAAAATAATGTTGTCAAATTAAAGAGTACAACTAAGATGTAGCGCGACAATGAAATCAATGATCTGTCTGCTCGTTTACCGGTTTATGCTATATAAAAAAAGACATAACTTCTTTTAGCCCTGAAGGGGTAGACCGAGGTGCATATTACGGCATTTAATGCCACTGTATAATGTAACACCCACTTTTCAATTTTTTGTGTTATGAGTCCCATGTAATTGGGGGTGAGCCTATTGCAATATACCGGGCACATATTACTGAGATTTTTTAGAAAAAACCCATCGTCGCGTTCCGCGCGCGCCTCAAGGAGCCATCAGACCACCACAGATGGGGCCCCAATAGGTCTGATGCCGATACGGAGCCGCTAAGAGCCTAACGGGTTACGGGGGCTCTGGCTCAAAGTGCAGGAATAGGAATGGGGTGGTTTTTAGTCAGTAAGAGTCTGACACTCCCTCCCGCCTCACCCAGGCGGGAGCAGGCATTGGATGATTTACCCACTCAAAAAAAAGTTTAATCTAACCCACTTTAGTATCTCTTCATTATAGTACCTAACTGCAGCAGTAAGGAATGTGGGCTTATCCCAAGAGTAAGAGTCTGACACTAAGGTGAGAGAAGCAATTGGAGTTCTTTAGTCAGCCTACCAAATGGAAGGCAGGCGTGAGGTTTATGTATGTGTTGTCTTATGTATGTCTCAAATAATGCTTTGCCAATTTATGTAATTTATATTGTTCTAGGCTTCAAGACCCGATAAGCAGTGTATAGTACCAGAAACAGAAGGTAAAGGCGGAGGGGAGTTATCATCCATAGTACCATTAAATAAGAAGTTGTATGACACTGGGATCTGTGTGACAAGGGATCGCACTGTTCGCAGTAATCATTGCGATAAATATACATATCAATTGAAACCTGATGCAGTTCCTGATTTTAATGAAGAATCATCATCGGATGAGGTATAAATATCTACAGACGAGGTATAATCTACATAGTATATTAAGTGTGGGAGAGCCATGCTTCGGCACGAATGGGCCGGCTCGACCGGAGTGATACCACGGCCAAGCAGGAAACCGATGTGAAACAACGCTTTCGTTGTGTTTCGTCATGTGTAAGTGGGTTACCGGATGCCCAATTACCGGCGCTACCGGCCTATTGGGGATTCGGATTTTGAGGATTGTTAGAGATTCAGGGATGGGGAGGGGGGGGGGGGGGGTTATTGGGCCTCCGTTAACCTCACGCACACGACGAAATAACGCAAGCGTTAGTTCACGTGGGATTTCTGCTCGGCCGCGGTATCACTTCGTTTGATCCGGCCCAACAGTGCCGAAGCCGGACTCTCCCACACTAATACGTAGCGTGATGTTTTATAGCCTATAACCAACCTCGATAAATGCGCTATCCAACACAAAAAGAATTATTCAAATCAGACTTGTAGTTACGGAGATTAGCGCGTTCAAACAAAAAAAAACAAACTCTTCCACTTTATATAATAGTATAAGATTGTCATACCCCGTCATCATCCTTATTTTCAGGCATCAGATTCATTGCATAAAGAGTATATCAAGGAACAGCGTGGTCTACCAGTAGTACGATTAATATCGCTGTCTAAAGAATTGTTAACGAAATATTCTAGGAATTTCGAAGAAGAAGCAACTGATACAAATCAAAATAAGCACGATGTGGACAAGTCACGGGTAAGTTCCCCGTTTTTTTTATAAATAGGTTTTTTTTAAGGGGGGAAAATCATCGAATGACTGCTCCCGCCTGGGTGAGGCGGGAGGGAGTGTCAGACTCTTACTGACTAAAAACCACCCCGTTCCTTCTCCTGCACGTCGAGCCGGAGCCCCGGTTACCCGTTAGGTTCTCCGCGACTTTTATAAATAGGGTAGTTTCTTAAATTTTATTTTAATGTCCGTCTGTTAGATTACAAAATTAAATACTTTCGACGATATATTAATTTGAAATATCGTGTGACGTCACAGCGTGCCACATTTTGTAGCACGTTATGACGTAACCTCCCACTCCTAAACTTAGCGACATATTACGCAAGTGTTTTTTCACGGCGGCTTTCTCGATCGCTCCGGTCGAGCCTGCCACTTTCGTACCGAAGCATGGCTCTCCCACATCAACTTTCGTTATGTCGCATACTAAATTAATTAATTTGTTTTCGGCTTACTCACGTAACTGTTTAACGAGGTACTCGACTAGTTTCAAGCCATACTAGAGGCTCATATTCATGAGCAGCAACTGGCTGGTCGCGACCAATAACAGCGCGACAGTGGCCGGGTCGTGTGTCGCCCAATGCGACTTTAAATATGAGCCTCTAGCACGGCTTGATACTAGTCGAGTTCCTCGTCAAACAGTTACAAAACATAATAATTACCTAATTGAGTTATATTCTTTTTTATAGGTGTGTAAGGTATGTCTCAGAGTAGATGCGAAAATGTATGATCTTAATGACGAGACTTTAAACATGTTGTATCAATATATAATTGGAATTGAGGTGAGATGATTCTTAAACCATTTTTTTTATGTTATGTATTTGACGGGCCGACGTTTGACCACTATCTCGCCTGGTGGTAAGCGATGATGCGGTCTACGATGGAGCACGTCGTCCCATAAGCAACCTATTCACTCGGGCCTTAAAGACTCCCTTCAGGAAATACAGATTCTGGCAAAGAATTCCACTCCTTAGCAGTACGCACAAGGAAGCTTGATGGAAAACGCTTCGTGCGTGTGGGTGGAACATCTACCATGAATCGGTGACGCTTCGCCGATTGTTTCGTGGTACGATGATGGAAAGGACTAGGGGGAATCAAGTTGTGCAATTCCCCCGCACACTCACCGAAATGTCATCATCATCATCATCAACAGCCTATAAATGCCCACTGCTGAGCAAAGCCTCTTCTCACACGGAGAAGGTTTGAGCATTAATCACCATGCTTGCTCAATGCGGGTTGGCGATTACAAACTTATAATTAGAAATTATAAGCCCAGGTTTCCTCACGATGTTTTCCTTCGCCGTTTGTCAGTGGTGTCTAAATAATCTTAGAAAGTACATATAACTCGGAAAAAGTCACATTGGTACTTGCCGTTGGTAGGTTTCGAACCCACACCCTCATGCATGAGAAGCGGGCGTCTTAAACCACCGGGCCACCACCACAGACACCGAAATGTATCCGGTAGAAAACTGAAATGGTTGCAACCTTACGCCTGTGTTCGAGGCTTCAAAGCCGGGCTTCCTCATTTCTTTAACCTGAAAAATCGTTTTATGTACTAATACTGTTATGGGCACTTAATATAGGCCAGAGTTGTACTATTCCTAAGGCAAACTACAAGTGCCTAGGGCGCCAGGTTACAGAGTACAGAGTTACAGGTGACCAATTGGCCAAAGAGTGACGGGGGCGCCAAAAAAATTAGAGGCGCCTATGAGGTCCTTGCCTAGGGCGCTCTCTGGGTTAAATCCGTCTCTGACTGTCGATGTTCATTTTGACGTGACAACGTCTTATAAATTGGTTTGCCGGGTGACACTTCAAGAAACTGCGTTACGCGCTCACAATGAGAGCGAGTGAGAGGCACGCGTCCCTTCCACTCGGGCATGGTTAGCCCGCCTAAGAGCGAGAGAGACAGACATAAAAAGTGAAAGGCACGCGTCCCTTCCACTCGAGCACAGTTAGCCCGCCTAAGAGCGAGAGAGACAGAGCGAGAGAAAGATTGAGAGAGATAGGCATACACACACACACTCAAAGTCGTTGTCACGTAAAACTTTCGCCCGTATACCGACTTTACAGGCAACCAATTTTTTTATGCACGCAAGTTATAAATCGAAGTGTAAATTAATTCACCTTTCCTCGTCCACCAGCCGCGAACAGACTCCAAGGATAGGTTTCCAATGAACATATGTTGGGAATGTAAAGCGCGGCTGCATTCAGCGTCCGTTTTAAAATATAAAGCGCTGACCAGCGATCAACTGATGCAGGAATATTTGGATTCTCATGAAAAGGTTCGTATATAAAATACTAGCTTTCACCCGCGGCTTCGCTCGCGTCACAAATGGATAAACTGTAGCCTATGTGACATATACCAATACACACAGCGCCATCTATACCAATAATTTCGTTTTCCCTCGAGAATATCAAATTTTTCCGGGATAAAAAGTACCCTATTATTTAATCCAGACTTCTAACTTCACGTCTGCAAAAATTCAAAGCAATCGTTTTAGTAGTTACGGCGCGAAAGTGGAACAAACAAACAAACTCACTTTCCGATTTATAATATTAGTAAGATATTCGTTTGTATATAAATATAAGAAACCTGTAACACATAGTTATCATACTGGGGCTGCACAGGGTTTTGTAATACCAAAGGTTAGAAATTACTATGGGAAAAGGACTAAGCAATATTTGACCCCATTAATTTATAATAAAGTATCTTTTATAAGAAATAATAGTGGTAACCTAAGTAGTACATTATCTTTAATAAAAAAAAGACTAAAGAGGGAATTTTTAAATATGTTAGATATATAAGTATTAAAAAAAAATTAAAGTTAATTGTTCTAGACATAAGAAAAAAAAACTAATATAATATGTATTCATTAAAAGTATAGTATTTAACTTTATTGTATAATATAAGAGCGCCACTATCGCCAACAAACTGTTATACAGTTTGGCGATTTTTGATGTATAAGCTAATTTATCCTTACTTATATAAATATTATAAATCGGAAAGTGAGTTTGTTTGTTTGTTCCGCTATCACGCCGTAACTACTAGACCGATTGCTTTGGAATTTTGCAGACGTAAAGTTAGAAGTCTGGATTAAATAATAGGGTAATTTTTATCCCTGAAAAGATTGACATTCCTGAGAGAAAACAAAAGTATTGGTATAGATGGCGCTGTATGTATTGGTATATGTCACATAGGCTACTTTTTATCTTTTTGTGACGCGTGCGAAGCCGCGGGTAAAAGCTAGTGTATAATATTTGTGAATAAATACGTTTAAAAAAATTACAGCTAATGTCTCTGTAGAGACAGACGCGTGGAAAATACTATTGTGTGTATTACAAATAACTTTAATTATCTTTTAGCTAAATATAACTGAAATATCAAATCTTCATCAAGAACATAACTTGGAATCAAGTTTAATCGTAGATTCAATAGAAACTTTTAACTGTGAAACTGAAACACATAGTTACACAGAATCGGATACACTAGTCAATACAGGAACTGTAGGATTTACTTTTGAAGAAGATTTAGATGACAATTCACAAATACAAGAAATAGATGTAGAAAATGAAAGTAAAATTAATGAAGATGAAACGAAAGCTGAAATAGAAATAATACCTAACGATAGTCAAGACAGCTTTCACAGTGAAGCTCCTAAAGTAAACTGGGATAACATTATACTAGTAAAGGCTCCTACAGTTGTTGATAATCCATTCAATATACCTGTTTTTAATAATAATCCCAAAATGGCGCATATAAGTAAAACAAATGATGATTCCTTTGATATAAACATGGACGATGGTAATGAGAAAATTGTGGCTAAAGAACCTTTGAAGCGTAGGACGAGGAAAATAGAAACTTTGAAGAATCGAAGGAGGTAAGTTTGATATTATTATTTTTATTACTTTTGTAACTGACTGCCTTGTTGGCCAAGTGGTGGTAAGTGCGACTAATATAAAGGGGCCTCGGGTTCGATTCCCGGGTCGGGCAAAGTATTACTGGTTTTTTTTTTAAATAAAATTCTCAATAGTAGCACGGAGTCTGGAATTGTGTCCGGTATATTAATAGTGAAAATTGGGTGTCACATTGTACAGTGGTGTTAAGTGCCGTAATGTGCACCCCTGCTTATCCCTTCCAGGATAAAAGGCGTGATGTTATGTTACTTGGTTTTGTTTAATATTATGATCATTTATTTATTTGATGCGAGAAGAGTGTTCGACTGGATTTTTAAGGGGGGAAAAATCATCGAATGACTGCTCCCGCCTGGGTGAGGCGGGAGGGAGTGTCAGACTCTTACTGACTAAAAACCACCCCGTTCCTACTCCTGCACGTCGAGCCGGAGCCCCGGTTACCCGTTAGGTTCTCCGCGACTCGCGGTTAATTTTATGACCAACTTAATTTTAGTATTTTTCCAACAAATTTTTAAGAAATAAGTATACTGTTTGACGCTAAAAAACGTGACATCACAATACACAATCTCGTACAAAATTCATAGAAGACTGGCGTTTTTGTCGACATTTCGTAAAAAGTATATTGAATTTGACTAGTTGGCGAATATCTGTGTGCTTCTCACGATGCTTTCTGCCTTGCACAGCAAAACTGTGGTATGATCTTCTCGTTGGCGGTATTTCCGAACCGTACGACCTTCAAACCTTCAAGAAAAGAGCGTATTCCTTTTTAACTCGTTGAGTACCGTCATTATAGACACAATTAACTCGTCGAGTACGGTATTTATAGACACAATGTTGCGGGCACTGGTGACCGCTCGGTGTTTGACAGTTTAAAAGGCCGGCAACGCACCTGTGACTTCCCTGGTGTTGCGGGTGTCCATGGGCGGCGCTGATCGCTTACCATCAGGTGATCCGTGTGCTCGTTTGCCTCCTATATCATAAAAAATATATCGTATTTTGTCTTTCCATAGTTTCCAAATGTTTGTTCATTTACAGACTACAGCCAAAGCCAGACGAGAATCTGACTACACCTATAGACGAGACTGTGTTTACTGTGAAATCTCTATCTCAAGAGCGTCTAATAGAAGAAGTTATGGCGCGCAAGAATAGTGCGAGATATTTGAAGGCTGCCTATAAATGTACAGTTTGTTATGAAGTATTCGCTCGTCAAGATATACTGGACAGACATAGTATGAGACATAGTGAGGTACGTCTACTTTCTTTGGGATTCTAAAACTCTTTGAAGGAATTTAAGTGTGGGAGAGCCATGCTTCGGCACGAATGGGCCGGCTCGGCCGGAGTGATACCACGGCCTCACAGAAAACCGACGTGAACCAACGCTTGCGTTGTGTTTCGTTGTGTGAGTGAGGTTACCGGAGGCCCAATTACCCTCCCCCTCCCCAATCTCCCCAATTCCTGAATCCCCAACGATCCTCAAAAGGCCGGTAACGCACTTGTAACGCCTCTGGTGTTCCAGGTGTCCGTGGGCGATGCCGATTGCTTACCATCAGGTGATCCGTGTGCTCGATTACCGGCTTATACCATAAAAAAGTATACTAAGTATGGAATACTTAAAGATACGTCTTTCATGCGGGTTAGAAACCTGGCAAGAAACGATGTGACTTTTTCAGAGTTAGTACTTAGACTATTTACACACCACTGGCAAACGGTGAAGGAAACATCGTGAGGAAACATAAAACATAACATAACAACATCACGCAAAATCCCCGAAGGGGTAGGCAGAGGTGCACATTATGCCACTGTACAATATAACATCCTAACATAACATAACATCACGCCTTTTATCCCCGAAGGGGTAGGCAGAGGTGCACATTATGCCATTGTACAATGTAACACCCACTTTGAGGTACTAAACATTACTCCGCCACTTGTGAACCGATTTCCAAAATTCCTGTTTTGTTTGAAAGGGTATACTTTGTATATACTCCCGAGATGGTCCTATTTCCATGAGGTCAGGATCTGATGATGGGATCCTAGGGAAACCGAGGGGAACTTTCGAAAGGAGACATTGTAAAACATACTTTTTTAAAAAGAGTAACGAATGGAGTTTCTTGCTCGTTCTTCTCCATTCGAATCTACATTTTGGAACGAGCGCCTAGCTTCACTGACGGATACACTGACAGATTATTATTTATTTTGTATTTGTGAATGTTTCAAAATACCAAATTATAGTTTAATTGAAACAAGTTCTTTTGAGTTTGAGTAGTAAGTACTTAGTATTAAAATTTATTCCAATCATTTTGTTCCAGAAAGCGGGTCCATTAAAATGCGCGATATGTAAGGTCCGTATGAAGTGGAGCTGGCAGATGCGGGCACATATGCAGAGACTACATATTTCCGAGTTCAAATGTAAACTCTGTCCACTGGTCACGAGAAGTAGGTAAGTATACAAAGTGAATTTAAAAAAATAGACATACTTAGATAAAAAAAAAACATTTATTTCGGACATCCAAGAGATCCATAACATTAATATCTATACCATACATCATTGTCGCGGAGAACCTAACGGGTAACCGGGGCTCCGGCTCGACGTGCAGGAGAAGGAACGGGGTGGTTTTTAGTCAGTAAGAGTCTGACACTCCCTTCCGCCTCACCCAGGCGGGAGCAGTCACTAGATGATATTCCCCCCTCAAAAAAAAAATTACCAAAAAATTTAAATCAGTCATAGTTACTTAAACTTAAAGAATAAAGATAGAAAGTGTGGGAGAGCCATGCTTCGGCACTGTCGGCTCGACCGGAGCGATACCACGGCCGAGCAAGAAACCGACGTGAAACACTTGCGTTGTTTCGTCGTGTGAGTGTAGTTACGGGAGGTTCAATTACCCCCCCCCCCCCTTTCCCAGTCCCTTAACCTACAACAATCCTCAATTTTTTAATCCCAAAAGGCCGGTAACGCACTTGCAAAGCCTCTGGTGTTCCAGGTGTCCATGGGCGACACCGATTGCTTCTCATTAGGGAATCGGTCTGCTTGTTTATCGGCTCATACCATAAAAAAAATACGAGTTGGCGATTTCAAACTTAGAATAAGACATTATAAGCTCAGGTTTCCTCACGATGTTTTTCCCTCACTGTTTATCAGTGGTGTCTAAATATTCTCAGAAAGTATATTTATTAACATTATATTATTTTTGCTGCCTCGTTGGCCGAGTGGTCGCAAGTGCGAGTGCCGGGCGGGTCTCGGGTTCAATTCCCGGGTCGAGCAAAGTATTTCTGGGTTTAAAAAAAAATCTCATTAGTTGCACGGAGGCACGGAGTCTGGATTGGATGTTACATTGTACAATGGCAAAATGTGCACCCCTGCCTACCTCTTCGGGTATAAAAGGCGTGATGTTGTTTGTTATTTTTGTTTCAGGCATGTAGCTCTCACGCATACTAAGTTCCACGAGGTCCAGAAGTTCATTTGTTCTCACTGCGGGATGCATTTCGAGTGAGTACCTACATAATATACAAGGTGTTTTATGAAACAGAGTGTATAGTTCCCTAAGATCGGAGAAGGAGGATCCACCGACCAGGGCCTTTAGCCAAACGCCACTTTAGCGCTTGTCTACAGAGAGAGTAGAAATCAAAATGTATGGGAATGACACTGACAAGTGTCAAAATTTACGTCAATTCCATATAATTTGGTTTTCTATTCTACAAGCAGACAAGCGCTAAATGGCATTTGGCTACAGCTGCAGGCGAGTTGATCGTGCGGGCTTTCTGTCCAACAGTTGTTCGTTGGGATGTTCTATCCGTGTTAATTCGCATGTAAACTTCATATGTGCGATCATATGTATCATCATCATCATATGTACCTACTTATGGCATCGACTTCTAACCTATCAGTGGGTGGGTAACCTATCAGTACTAATAATAGTTATTTTTTGCTTTTTAGTTTTCACTTTTTGTTTGGTATTAGTTTTTGGTTTTTTGAAGTCGGCTTTTTAAACGCAGTTTTTATTTTATTATTTTATAATTTTCAGTGTAAAGATATATATACCCGTTTTGTTACTTATAATCTACATAGGTGCAAAGTTCTAATCAATACAAATCAGTCAAGCCCAAACACAAGGTAGTAAATATATACCGCTGAGGAGTTCCGTCGACTGTCTGTCGGCTCCGTCATCAGGTCGACTCCAGATCCAGACCCTTATCAAATTGTAGTGTTTAAAAATCCTAATTGAAAAACATAATAGACGCATTACTTGCCCATAGAATTTTCGAAAGTTCCTCTCGGTTTCCCTAGGATCCCATCATCAGATTCTGATCTCATGGGACCATCTCGGGAGTATACCCTTTCAAACAATCAGCCGAACATAGTACCTCCTCCTTTTTTTGAAGTCGGTAAAAAACTAGTTTTATAATGGTTATTTTATGTAATAATAGTTGTAATCAACTGCTCGAGGCTGATGTTGCATGAATAACACGAAAAATATTAAAGTTGTAATAACGAATTTATTTGTATTGTAACTTTCGTGAGACATACTAAATATATTATTATGTTTTCGGCTTACTCACGTACTAATTTGACGAGGAACTCGACTAGTTTCAAGCCATGCTGGAGGCTCATATTCATGAGCAGTATTTCGCGACCCGCGACGCGGCGACTGTCGCGCTGCTACTGAGCCGATAAGATTTTTTTCTTACTCTTATATAAAATAATTGAGTAGTTATACCGTTATTATTAGTATATAAAATTGATTAGTCTGTGTAAAGCAAAGCGGCTCACCAGTCACCACCCACAGTCCAACCGCTAAACCGGTTTTGTGAGAATAAGTTTTGAATTCAATATCTGTATACTGTTGTGATTATAAATAAATAAAATAATAATAATAAGGAAATATATGTACTTAACTAAAATCGCGGGTTACTCGCGCAGCTCATGCGCGACGTCGCCGCGTACGCGCACGCTGCTCATGATGAAGAACCCCTCTGTGGTTCGCAACTAGTAGCGCTTTTCTCAGTATATTCACGTGAGTAACCCGCGATTTTAGTTAATTTAGTTTGTCTCACGATAGTTATTATAAAAATCGTTGAATGTTGTGCAATTATTTTCTCTTTTCAGGAACGAACCGACACTGTTGAATCACTTGCGCCTGAAGCACATGTCTGACTGTGTTTGTGAGCTGTGCGGGTATACCTTCGTCGGGGACAACGGAGTGCGCGCCCACAAGCGGCTGAGACATAAATTCGATGATAAAAATGTAAGTATCAAACGCTTGCAGCTTCTTGTATATAGAAAGTGTACACGAACACATCAAGCTATGCAAATCCACGCGTTTTATCCTCGAAGGGGTAGCCAGGGGTGCACATTACGGCACTTAATGCCACTGTACAATGTAACAACCACTTCTTACTATTTTAGTTATGAGTCCCATATAATAGGGGGTGAGCCTATTGCCATATACCGGACACAATTCCAGACTCCATGCTACTAACTACTGAGATTTATATTTGAAAAACTGTAATAATTTGTCAATAGTTATCCACCAACGAGGATAAATGTAACAACTATCGGTATTCTTCGCATGTCGCATCATTGTTACCACGTATCCCGAAAAAATCGATGCGAATGAATCATTTCATACATAGGCCATAGTGATTACTTTCGATGTAAAAAGTAATAAAAATTCTATCTACACACTGTACATATTGAATATTTTTTTTTAAAGAATACTTGAGGAGTGATCTACTGTCGATATTGAAGCCAAAATTATGGTTTATAGAATTTTTGTCTGTTTGTCTGTTTGTCTGTATGTATGTCCGGGATGGTCTCAAAAAGTACTGCATGGATTTTCTTTTTTGTACGATTATTACTAACAGGTCAGGTCAACATATAGGCTACATATTATCACGCTATCACCTACGGGGTAAGCGCAGTAAATCACTATTCCACTTAAACGATGTTGTGGGCACAGCTAGTAAGTTATAAAACTAAAACCCGGCTACAAAAAATGCTCTAGAAAGTACCAACAAGAAAATATTCTTAGAGTATAGCTGTGGTCATATGCCTAGAAGGCGCCATTTACAATTTCTCAAAATTTTATCTAGCCTATAAGATAACCAGCGGAATAACGGAACGCTACCAAAGATACCCCATTTATCAAATTATGGCCAGTCGTTTAGCAGCTAGGATGGAACAGATAAACATACATACATACCGGTAAAAAATCATAACCCTCCTTTTGGCTTCGTCGTAGTCGGGTAAAAAACGAAAGAACAAAGATGTATTTTATTTTTTGGTAAGTAATCTTGGAAATACGCACACGAAATACGTGCCACTCGACGAGAAATACCTCTTCGAGAATTACACGGAGAATCAGTATGCGCTATTGAAGTTGTATTTTTTTGTTTTAAACATTTTATTTCTTTGTAAAACTATTGTATTACGAACACAGAACCTTTTTACTTCGGGACGAACGAAATAGATTTTACGGTGTATAATCATAATATTCATAAAATTCTCCTTTCAAAATCCAATGTGTTTATTTATTTTTTTTTATATATCTTTCAGCAGCCATATGAAGGTCCGCACTGTAAACTCTGTGGTATTAAATTCTTGAATCAGGAGGCGTACGACAAACATCTGCAGCTCTCATCTAAGCATTTAAAGAGAGATGGTTTCCCGTGAGTATAAACTTTTTATACAAGTTGTACATTTTTATACAATATTTACTCTATTTTTTTATGGCATAAGCCGGTAAACGAGCAGACGGATCACCTGATGGTAAGCAATCGGCGTCGCCCATGGAACTACAGAGGCGTTACAAGTGCGTTACCGGCCTTTTGGGGATTAGGAGTTTGAGGATCGTTGGGGATTCAGGAATTGGGAAGATTAGGGAAGGGGAGGGTAATTGGGCGAAACACAACGCAAGCGTTGCTTCACGTCGGTTTTCTGCTCGGCCGTGGTATCACTCCGGTCGAGCCGGCCTATTCGTGCCGAAGCATGGCTTTCCCACACTTCTATACATAGTTTACATTATATTTATGTTTCTAAAATGTGTTTCAGCATACGCTCCGCTGGTTCTAATCAGCAAAGAAAATATATTAGCGACGATGACGGATTTCACATTATGACTTGTGAAGAAGTAAGTTATATGTACTAGTTACTCGCGCTCTGATTAATTAGCTCATTGCAGCCGGCCAATCAGAGGCCTTAGTACAAATTTGTTTCACGTGTAGGGAACAGAGAGTATAGTTCCCTAAGATCGGAAAAGGAGGATCCTCCGACCAGGCGAGGTGATCGTGCCTGGCGGGCTTTCTGCCCAACAGTTGTTCGTTGGGATTTTCTATCCGTGTTTATTCGCTTGTAAACTTTGCATGTGCGACGTAGGATTCTTGTGACGTCATCCGTTGACATGTGGCATGCGTCGCCACACACGTTTAAAGTAATCGAAACGAATGTCTAATGATTTAAAATAATCTACCAGACGGACATTAAAATAAAAATTAGTCATCTACCCTATTGAAGTATTCAGAGGACTCGCTACTAGCGACCCGGCCTGTCTTCGCACGGATGCAATATGCATGTATTATACATATAAACCTTCCTTAAGAATAACTCTATCTATTAAAAGAAAACCGCATCAAAATCCGTTGCGTAGTTTTAAAGATCTAAGCATACATAGGGACAGACAGACGGCGGATAGTGACTTTGTTTTTATACTCTGTAGTGATAGTCATTTTGCTTAATATCGATATCAGATATGATGACCTGATGACCTGACTTTTTTACTGAGGTGGAAAATCAACCAATGATTCACCAGTTCTCTCTTGTGTTCAAAATTTTATTTCTTTGCAAAACTAATTGCATTACCAAGACAGAACCATTTACTTCGGGACGAAAACGATATAAATTTTATGTCCGTCTAGTAGATTATTATAAATCATTAGACACGTAGTTTTTATTTTCTTATAGAAACGAATACTTTCGACGATACATTGATTTGAAATGTCGCGTGACGTCACATCTATGTAAATTTTGTACCTACGTAGAAATGACGTTTTAGTTCATTTTATCTAAGTATTGTTTTATTATACGACAAAGTAAAAAATACGTGTCTATAATTTTTCATTATTATTACGGAACAATTAGCTTTTTAATTTTCATACCCTGGCATCATCACAATTGTACCTGTAATCGACGATCAAAAATAGAACCAGGTGATCGGCGAGATTCCAACGGTTATCAGAAATATTTAAAAAAATCCAAATCATATGATTTAGATTATTAAAAAATACCTATATAGGTATTTTTTAAATAACAATGACTTACGTGAATATACTGAAAAAAGCTCTACTAGTTTCGAACCACAGTGAGCTGCGCGACGTCGCCACGACCGCACACGCTGCTCATTAGGTAGAACCCCTCTGTGGTTCGAAACTAGTAGAGCTTTTCTCAGTATATTCACGTGAGTAACTCGCGATTTTACTTCATTTAGTATCTCTCACGATATTTATTATAAAAACATAACAATGACTTATTTGTTATCCACGAAAAACGTCATTCTTTTCCAAACTAAAGCAGTTGGCTCAGAATGTATGATTCAATAATACTAAAGCACTATTCAGGATAACGTAAGCAAAAATTCAGACGAAACAATAAAGAATTGTAGAGTCTGGCAAACGAAAGTAGAGACTGAAAAAGCCCGGCAAATTTAAAAAATATCAGTATAGCAACCCAAAAATTAGTATGTCATACCAGGAGTAACCTAATTTGATACTTTATAATAATTTGTTTGTTTGTTACGTCTTCACGTCTGGTTACTCCAGGTATGACATACTAATGTTTGGGTTGCTATACTGATATTTTTTAAATTTGCCGGGCTTTTTCAGTCTCTACTTTTGTTTGCCAGACTCTAGCAACAAGAATCAAAAGACTGGCACAGGGTGTACTTTTTGCTTAGATAACACATAAGTCATTTGTAATTTAAAAATTTATCAGACTTAGAATTTTTTTAATATTTTTCTGATTGTCGACTTCAAGGACTCCTGTATATCCTTTTGCGGTGCCTAAGTATGTCTTTTTGTCTGTACCAGTGCGGCGTAAAGGCCGCCGGAGTCCGAGGATATACGCGTCACTTCCGCGACGCACACCCGGGGCTCGTCCCCGCGCAGTGCGACACACACGACGCTCCCTACATGTGCGAGCATTGCGGGAAAATGTTCACGGTGCGTATAATATAATAATAATAAGTTTATTTCAGACTCTACATGATATGTCCATAGGTTTGTTAGTAATGGTGTGTTAGTAACAAAGAGTGCTTACATAATTAGGTTAGTATTATTAGTTATTATGATCTTTATTATTAATGACTGTGGCCACCCAGTGTCTCTGCAAGAGACAGTCCATATACCCACTTACATTCTCTTAATTATGACTTACATTTAAAAGGAAAAGGGAATGGTGCCCGGTATATGGCAATAGGCTCACCCCCTATTACATGGAACTCATAACATAAATAGTGAAAAGTGGGTGTTACATTGTACAGTGGCATTAAGTGCCGTAATTTTTTTTTATGACCAATAAGAACTAATCAGAGCGTGTGAAACCGCGCGGAAGTAGCTAGTATTATATAAGCCGGTAAACGAGCAGACGGATCACCTGATGGCAATCGGCGTCGCCCATGGACACCTGGAACACCAGAGGCATTACAAGTGCGTTACCGGCCTTTTGGGGATTAGGAGTTTGAGTATCGTTGGGGATTCAGGGATTGGGGAGATTGGGGAAGGGGAGGGTAATTGGGCCTCTGGTAACCTCACACGACGAAACACAACGCAAGCGGTTCTTCACGTCGGTAACGCGCGTGAATGCGCCGTAATTAAATTAATAACGCCGTTATTAAAAGTGCCTTCCTTGATCTTATTGAAACAAATGATTTCAACTTTGACTTAGAATCCTTACTAATATTATAAATCGGAAAGTGAGTTTGTTTGTTTGTTCCACTTTCACGCCGTAACCACTAAACCGATTGCTTTGAATTTTTGCAGACGTAAAGTTAGAAGTCCGGATTAAATAATAGGGTACTTTTAACCCAGAAAATTGATATTCTCGAGGAAAAACAAAAGTATTGGTATAGATGGCGCTGTGTGTATTGGTATATGTCACATAGGCTACTTTTTATTCTTTTGTGACGCGAGCGAAGCCGCGGGTAAAAGCTAGTGTAAAATAAAATACCGTTTTTTTCTTTTCCACAGACTGTATATTTACTTAAAGGTCATATGTGGGTACATACTGGAAAGAAACTATTTCAATGCGATGTCTGCAGCAAAGGTTTTACAGCGAAGCTCACATTGAAAGAACATATCATGCGACATGAGTCAAAACAACAGAACCACGAGTGCCTGCTCTGTGGGAAACAGTTTGTCCATAAATCTAATTTGCTAAGGCATTTTCGTGTAGTAAGTATTACATACATTTTAACATGGTATACAGACACCACAGAGCACCACCTACTACGCTCCTTACATACTTCTTTAGCTTACATCACATTCATACATCTGATGGTATACAGAAACTACAGAGCGCCACCTACTACGCTCCTTACATACTTCTTTAGCTTACATCACATTCATACATCTGATGGTATGCAGAAACTACAGAGCGCCACCTACTACGCTCCTTACATACTTCTTTAGCTTACATCACATTCATACATCTGATGGTATACAGAAACTACAGAGCGCCACCTACTACGCTCCTTACATACTTCTTTAGCTTACATCACATTCATACATCTGATGGTATACAGAAACTACAGAGCGTCACCTACTACGCTCCTTACATACTTCTTTAGCTTACATCACATTCATACATCTAATGGTATACAGAAACTACAGAGCGCCACCTACTACGCTCCTTACATACTTTAGCTTACATCACATTCATACATCTGATGGTATACAGAAACTACAGAGCGTCACCTACTACGCTCCTTACATACTTTAGCTTACATCACATTCATACATCTGATGGTATACTGAAACTACAGAGCGTCACCTACTACGCTCCTTACATACTTCTTTAGCTTACATCACATTCATACATCTGATGGTATACAGAAACTACAGAGCGCCACCTACTACGCTCCTTACATACTTCTTTAGCTACAAAACATTCATACATCTGATGGTGTACAGAAACTACAGAGCGCCACCTACTACGCTCCTTACATACTTTAGCTTACATCACATTCATACATCTGATGGTATACTGAAACTACAGAGCGTCACCTACTACGCTCCTTACATACTTCTTTAGCTTACATCACATTCATACATCTGATGGTATACATAAACTACAGAGCGTCACCTACTACGCTCCTTACATACTTTAGCTTACATCACATTCATACATCTGATGGTATACAGAAACTACAGAGCGTCACCTACTACGCTCCTTACATACTTTAGCTTACATCACATTCATACATCTGATGGTATACTGAAACTACAGAGCGTCACCTACTACGCTCCTTACATACTTCTTTAGCTTACATCACATTCATACATCTGATGGTATACATAAACTACAGAGCGTCACCTACTACGCTCCTTACATACTTCTTTAGCTTACATCGCATTCATACATCTGATGGTATACAGAAATTACAGAGCGCCACCTACTACGCTCCTTACATACTTTAGCTTACATCACATTCATACATCTGATGGTATACTGAAACTACAGAGCGTCACCTACTACGCTCCTTACATACTTCTTTAGCTTACATCACATTCATACATCTGATGGTATACATAAACTACAGAGCGTCACCTACTACGCTCCTTACATACTTCTTTAGCTTACATCGCATTCATACATCTGATGGTATACAGAAACTACAGAGCGCCACCTACTATGCTCCTTACATACTTCTTTAGCTTACATCACATTCATACATCTGATGGTATACAGAAACTACAGAGCGCCACCTACTACGCTCCTTACATACTTCTTTAGTATTTCTTGATAAATATAGTATATTAATGTTATATCTTTCGTGAGATGTACTAAATTAATGATTATATTTTTCGACTTACTCACGCAATTATATGACGAGGAACTCAACTATAGAAGTATCGACCAGCCAGTAGCAGCGCGACAGTCGCCGCGTCGCGGGTCAGGGAATGCTGCTAGGGTTGAAACTAGTCGAGTTCCTCGTCAAATAATTACGTGAGTAAGCCGAAAAACATAGTAATTAACCTTTTGAGCACCGTCATTATTGACACAATTAAAGAACAATTGGTTGCGGTCACCGGTGTCCTCGCGGTGTTTGACAGTTTATTAGTTTTATTAATTTGTAACGTATGGCGTAGAAAATACAATTTAATTCCCTTTAAAATGAAAGTTAAAGAGATAGTCGTTAAAAGACATGATGCATGTCAAAATAAGCAACAAACGTAACATAAGACCTCTCATTTTAAAGTCTGTAAAAACTTAATTATTTTTTTTATTATTTTTCCAGGCACATGAAGGGGTAAGGCGATTCCAATGTAATGTGTGTGACAAATCGTTTGCCAGTAAGGTAGAGATGACGGCGCATGTGAACCATGTACATTTAAACATACCCAGGCCAAAACGTATTAGACGGAGACCTAAGAAATAGAATAGAAAAAATGAACCTTAAGCAAATAGTAACAGGGTTTCCTATTCCATACATTTTTTTAAGGGGTAAAATCATCGAATGTTTTCTCCCGCCCGGGTGAGGCGAGAGGGAGTGTCAGACTCTTACTGACTAAAAACCACCCCATTCCTACTCCTGCACTTCGAGCCGAAGCCCCGGCAACCCGTTAGGTTATCCGCGGCTCCGTATCGGCATCAGCCCTATTGGGCCCCATCCGTGGTGGTCTGATGGCTCTTTGAGGCGCGCGCGGAACGCTCGGCGTCGAACGCTCGGGTCTGGTTCTGATCGGGCGCCCGCAGGCCCGCGCTTACGGTGGCCGGAGATTGTATAATAATATACAATAAGGATATAATACAGTGCTGAAGAATATACTTTAATTAAATATCAATAAAGGTATATTCGAATTGAATTATTTGACAGTGGACTGCTCGATCTAGGTTGATTGAAACCTATATTTCAAGCCATCTAGGTGCTGTTACTCAATAAACGCCTTTTTCATCAACCTTATTCAAACTTATTGCACAAACTTATTCCCCCTAGTCCATTTCACCACCGTACCACCAGGCGAACGGCGGGGCGCCACCCTTATATTCCACCCATTCACACGAAGCGTTTCGCGTCCAGCTTCCTCATGCGAACCGCTAAGGAATGGAATTCCTTGCCAAAGGCTGTGTTTCCCGTCAAATATGACTTTGGTGCCTTCAAGTCCCGAGTGAACAGGTTGCTCATAGGTACGCGTGCTCCATCGTCGGCCACATCATCGCTTACCATCAGGCGAGATAGTGGTCAAACATCGACCTATAAAGTATAAAAAAAACCTCCAAACTGTTATTTATCTAAAAATTACTTTACATCAATAGTTTAGTTATCACTTAAGTCATCCTTTTTGTCATTACTCAGAACTGTTAGTAAATAGAGTGAGATAGAGGGTGGAAGTCTGACCGTACGCCGCGGAATGGGAGCTACCGTCTTTCTGCTCAACAGATGGCAGTAATCTAGCAATTTTAAGTGTGTGCAACATAGTGAAACAATGCTTGCGTTGTGTTTCGTCGTGTGAGTTAAGTTACCGGAGGCCCAATTACCTCCCCCCACCTCCTCTACAGTCTCCCCAATCCCCGAATCCCCCACAAACCTCAAATTCCGAATTCCCGAAAGGCTGGTAACGTATTTGTAACACCTCTGGTGTTCCTTGTGTCCATGGGCTGTGCCGATTGCTTATCCCTCTCGTTCACCGGCTTATAACATAAAGAAAAAGTTTGTCCAATCTTCGTAGCTGTCAAAAATTTACCGTTCAATGGGGTGACACTAGTTGACAGTTACCTATTAGACGGGCCAGTACAGTAGCCCCCATTATCCGATTCGGAGTCGCGGAGAACCTAACGGGTAACCGGGGCTCCGGCTCGACGTGCAGGAGAAGGAACGGGGTGGTTTTTAGTCAGTCAGAGTCTGACACTCCCTTCCGCCTCACCCAGGCGGGAGCAGTCATTCGATGATTTTCCCCCCTTAAAAAAAAGCCCCCATTATAAAGACGTAATGCCTACTCTTGTCGTTTGTTTTACAAACATTTCTCGCTCACTTAGACTTGAGTTTACATAAAAATATTGTAACTATTAAGTTTAATAGTGTTCTCATAATGAGATATGATGTTGTTATAATAAATACTTGAATTTGTATGGTTTTGTTTTTTTTTATAATACCTTTATTAGAAAACCTAATGCTTGAAAAGAGTGCTCTAATCGATGGTTTGGTTATATAGAAAAAGGGATGATGACAGGGTATGGAAATTAAAAATCTAATTAGTCCGTCAGTTAGGCAATGAAAAAATATTACGAGTATTTATTCTTTTATTTTGTCGTATAAAAAAATAATACTTGGTTAAAACGAATCAAGTTTTAGAGTACAAATCGTACTCAAAAGTGACGTCATGCGATATTTCAAATCAATATATCTTCGAAACTATACGTTTCCGTAAGAAAATAAAAAGTACGTGTCTAATGTTTTTAAATAATCTACCAGACGGACATTAAAATAAGAATTAGTCATCTTACCCTGTCCTGTAACCAGGCAACGGCAAACCATGACGATTAAACAAACCGCTGCGATCAATAGAAGCTGAGCAGAGCGGGTGAGACCGCGCGCAAGTATACTACAGACAGAGTAATAAACTTATAAACTAGGTAGTTTATTAAAATCTGAACAGTTTGTTTGTTCGAACGCGCTAATATCAGGAACTACAGAGGCGTTCGTACAAGTTTGTTTCACGTTTAAAGGAATCGAAACGAGTATGTGTTCAGCGTTGTGATTGGTTGGTTAATTGGCGCCGGCCAATCAGAGTGCCGAATGCGTACTCGTTACGAATACTTTAAACGTAAATCCACTCGTACTAAGGCCTCTGATTGGCCGGCTGCAATGAAGTAACCAATCGCAGCGCTGAAGGCAGTCTCGTTTCGATTACTTTTAACGTGAAACAAACTTACTTAAGACCTCTGCCTTAATACGATTTATGACAAGATTCCGAGTAGCATTAAGGAGCAACCATTGAGAATCTTTAAAAAACAACTTGCATCTTTGTTATTACAAAAGTGTTCCTATTCTGTGTCAGATTTTTTATTCGATAACATATAGACTGATTTGCTGTAAGTTGTTTAAGCTATATTTTGTGAATTTGGTAAATTTTCAAATATTATTAGGATTATGTCATCCATTAATAATTATAAGTCTTATAGATAACTTACATAGTAGGTATTATAGTCCACTATGTTCATAGATTTTAAGATTTAAAAAATAAAAATTTGCATGCCATATTGTAGAATGTACCAGGAACAATATACTTTTGTAAGACCTTATATTATGTACCTACATTCAATGCAAATAAATTATTCTATTCTATTCTATTCTATTCTACTTGTTTGTCTTACGTTTAAAGTTATCGCAACGAGTACGCGTTCAGCGCTCTGATTGGTTGGTTCATTAGCGCTGGCCAATCACGAATACTTAAATAAAAAATAAAATAAAATAAAATTTGTTTATTGGCATACACAAGTTAGATTACATGTAGGCATGGAAGCAAACAGTTTTTACATAAATACAGATACGGTAGAGGTGCCCGTGAAACGCCAAATGAAACTCGTACTAAGGCCTTTGTATTGGATATTCCATTCATCTACGAACGCTATAATAGGCTAGAAAATATCAAACGCTGCGACCAAGGAAAGCAGGTAAAACCGCGGGGAAGTAGCTATTCGATAATATAGAGCTGAAGAGTTCGTTTGAACGCGCCAATTTCCGAAACTACTGGTCCGATTTCTATAATGGATTTTTCGAAGAAGGCAATATCACGCTACGATCAAAAGCAACTGAGCAGAGCAGGGGGCTTATTCTTGAATCCAATTCCGATCGATCGACATTGGTATTGTGAAATTTCATACTCTCGAGTTGCAACATTAGCGCCCATTGCATCCGTATTGCGTGGATATTGAATGAACTAAATGGTATTAAGTTTGGTTTTATATTCCGTACTCTGAATGCTATTTTAACAGCTGGTAAAGGGAAGGGAAGGGAAAGCACCCACGTATAACCGCGTGCAATAACTATAGACATGTTTGTAGATGACACTTCAATCGTTACTTTATCGACGATTTAACGTCGCGGAGAACCTAACGGGTAACCGGGGCTCCGGCTCGACGTGCAGGAGAAGGAACGGGGTGGTTTTTAGTCAATAAGAATCTTGCACTCCCTCCCGCCTCACCCAGGCGGGAGCAGTCATTCGATGATTTTCCCCCCTTAAAAAAAAACCGACGGTATAACGCCATCTGTTGGGAGAAAATTGTCTCTTTGCCACCCTAATAATAAAAAGGGAAGAATAATAAGATAAACATTATTTATTCACTTTCTTATTTTTAAAATCTAGTTTATTTGTTTTTGCTTATTATAGTAACATTCTTTATGTGAGATGTAACCTAAGCCTAATTTGTTCCGAAGGTCACGACTGAGCTTAAATATTTTTACAAGGTCAACTTTATCAAAGCGTTCTTTCGTCTATCTCCTTCTATCTAGAGTACTTTTTCTAATGTGTGAAAGAGTAAAAGAACAATGTATACTTATGTTTACATACATTGTTATTGTAATGCTACTATGTTCAGAAGTAAGGACTTTGACAACCGTGACTTTCTATCTCTTTTGTGTATGATAGCGTTGTAACAAGTGCGAAGAGTACACAAGAAATAATGGCGTTTAATGACATTACTATTTAATTTATCCACCTAACATTTGTCGGCTACTCTATTGACAGTCAATTACTATAAGAATTTTTGCTAATTAAAATAGGTTTGCAATACAATTAATGTAATATTGTTGATAAAAACGGTTATAGTATACAAAACACGGGTGTTTTCAATAACATTCCTACAAAATATGTTATTAGAAAAGAAAAAATGACGCCTTATATTCGCAGTTTGCGTAAACGATTTTGCATTTGTATCATTAGGTTTTATTGTGAGAAATAAATAATAAAAATGAGGTGTTGTGTTCCTGATTGCAAGAATGATTCGCGACATATATCTAAGTCACAGGGAATTACATTTCATACGTAAGTTTTTACTCTGATTTTGTATGAGAATTACCATACGATTCAAACAGCATTCGGAATTTTGAGACACAAACATTATGATTTAATACAGTTACAATGTAATTTTTTTATTTAGTATAACTTAAGTACATGTTTATTTATATTTTGCTTTGTTTCTTATGCCATAAATAGGTTAATTAATATTGAAAAACTTCCTTCTCATCATATAAATTGTTCTCTTAGGTAAAAGGAAAGGAAATGATAAAAAAATAATTGCTAGTGCATTTAGTATTTCTTACTTAATTATTGTCATTCCTAGCATCTGCCTATGTCTTCGCTCGGTGTTCGTATTGGATAAAAAGTAGTCTATATGTGTTATTCTAGCCCGTTGAAAGGTGTTGAAAATCATCTCCTAAATTTGAAAAAAAGTAATCTCTAAACATAGGAAATAAGGTCTATAATGTAGTTAGTGGAGAGCGGTCACGGGCAAACGCTTGAGGATATGTGGGCTAGACGATAATCTACATTCCAAATTTCATCTCGATCCCTTTAATTGTTTTGACAAATATACACACAAATTCACAACTTTCACATTTATAATATTAGTACGATAAGATTAGGTAACGTTTTTAACCCAATTAAACTGTCAAACACCAAGCGGTCACCAGTGACCGCGACCAATTGTTCTTTAATTGTGTCTATAAAACCGGTACTCGACGAGTTAAATATATCTCTCATAGCTCCATATTGCTAAAAAACTACCATTTAACATGTATTTTTTTTATCATCCATATACCTGCGTGGACTCCTGGCTGGCCACGGTGGTCCACCTGCTCCAAATTCCAATCCATATATCTTTAGTAAGAAAGAAACCATAGATTACACCATGACACACAACAATTGGTGGCCAGCTACTCTCTGATACTCCTTCTGAAGTGCACAGGGCAACTATTGTGATGAGACCACATCTCATGAATGGGGTTTAAATGTATATCGTTGAGCAAATGACATAGTTTATTGTTCGTTTGGGCGTCATTGTTTGAAGTTTTTTCCAAAAATCCTAAATGTGACCTTAGCATGTTATACTTTATTATTAGAAAGTTGAGAAATTGTGGATATTTATTACTTATACATTTGCTATAGACGGTTTTTTTAACGATGAATGAACAATAGTATCTAATAATAATTTAGTGTTTAATTGGGATGATGACAGGGTATGAAAACAAAAATCTGTTTAGTCCAAAAGTTAGGTAATGAAAAAGTATTAGACACACATTTTTTTATTTTGTCGTATAATAAAACAATACTTAGATAAAACGAATCAAAGTTTAGGAGTGGGGGCTAAACGTCATTTCTACGTATAAAATGTACATAGAAGTGACGTCACGCGACATTTCAAATCAACATATCGTCGAAAGTATTCGTTTCTGTAAGAAAATAAAAAATACGTGTCTAATGATTTAAAATAATCTACCAGACGGACATTAAAATAAAAATTAGGCATTTACCCTATTGTATTCCTTCTTTCAATTGTAGGTATATTCATTAAGTAGTGTCATTGGTATTTTGTACCGTTCTATTCGCGTCGCGGAGAACCTAACGGGTAACCGGGGCTCCGACTCGACGTGCAGGAGAAGGAACGGGGTGGTTTTTAGTCAGTAAGAGTCTGACACGCCCTTCCGCCTCACCCAGGCGGGAGCAGTCATTCGATGATTTTCCCCCCTAAAAAAAAAAGTTCTATTCGTATGTATAAATAAATAAACTGGCTGTCGCGCAACGTGCTGCGGGTTCCATTTCCCAGTTGTATTGTATTCAATAAGTAGTATCATTAATATCTATTCATATAAATAAATAAACTGGCTGCCGCGCAACGTGCTGCGTGTACGATTCCCGCACGGGACAACTCTTTCGGGTTCGGGTTAGTGAACGTGTACCTTTGTAAACGCATCCACGACACAGGAGAAAATCCTAGTGTGGGCCAACGTTTTGTTAAAAAACAAATACATAATTGGACAAACCACTCAACATACTGGTTTAATCCTTTGAGTACCGTCATTATAGACACAATTAAAGAACAATAGGTTGCGGTCACCGGTGTCCTCGCGGTGTTTGACAGTTTAAATATCTACTTTCAGATTTCCCACCGAGCCCGGACTGCGTACAGCATGGCTCAAGGCTCTCGGCAAAGAGACGTGGGAGCCCAAAGAAAGGAGTGCGGTCTGCTCTGAACATTTTCTATGCGACGATGTGTATGAAACTGAAGGTGGACTGCGGAGAGTCAGAACGGGTGCGGTGCCTCTGATTCTACAGGTAATTTGTTATTTATTTATTTATTTATTCTTTAATGTACATAATTTTATGGCACATAAGGCGAACTTAATGCCATACGGCATTCTCTACCAGTCAACCTTAGGGTTTAAGTAGAAAATCAAAATGTTATAATGCTACGATATAGTTTATACTTTACTAGATGACCCGGCAAGTTATATACCGTCTTTTTTAAGGGGGGGGGGGAGAAATCACCTGGACTTCCACGACCATTTCAAGATAAAAATTAGCCAAATCGGTTCAGTCGTTCTCGAGTTTTAGCGAGACTAACGAACGGAAATTCATTTTTATTTATATAGATTTATTATATAGCTGACCCGACAAACTACGTACCGCCTAAATTGTTTTTCTCACCTTTTAAACCTTCCCTGGACTTCCACGAACATTTCAAGATAAAAATTAGCCAATTCGGTTCAGCCGTTCTCGAGTTTTAGCCAGACTAACGACCGGAAATTCGTTTTTATTTATATAGATTAGAAATCGCGTGGTAGTACGCGGTTTCGCCGTCCGCTGCTCAGCTCCTGTCGATTGTAGCTTGATGTTTTATAGTCTATAGCATTCTTCAATAAATAGACTATCCGACCCACCAAGAATTTTCAAATTCTAACCAGTAGTTTTGTAGATAATTGCGTCCAAACAAACAAACACTTTTACTAGCTTCTGGCCGCGACTTCGCCCGCGTTCCCATGTTATAAAAAGTAGTCTTATGTGTGTTCAGTGTAGAAATAATCTTTCTAAAAAATGCACTCGGCTAACGCCATACTACTATTTATTGTGTTGTCCCATAGCTCGATAGATGGCGTTGTCCGATTTAAAAGCAAGCTATGGTTTCATTACCGGCAAAACATTAGGTTGTTTTTGTTTCATCATCATCATCAACAGCCATTAAATGCCCACTGTTGAGCAAAGCCTCTTCTCACACGGATAAGGTTTGAGCATTAATCACCAGGCTTGCTCAATGCGGGTTGACAAAGAAACTTATAATCAGAAAACATAAGCCCAGGTTTCCTTCACCGTTTGTGAGTGGTGTCTAAATAACTGCCGGGCAAGAGTTCGTCTCGGGTTCGATTCCCGCGTCGGGCAAAGGACTACTGAGTTTTTGAAAAAAAAATCTCAGTGGTAGCACGGAGTCTGGAATTGTGCCCGGTATATGGCAATAGACTCACCCCCAATTACGTGGGACTCATAACATAAATAGTGAAAAGTGTGTGTTACATTGTACAGTGGCATTAAGTGCCGTAATGGGATAAAAGGCGTGATGTTATGTTTGTATGTATGTGGGATTGTAAGGCAAAATAATCGAACACTATTAATTGAAACTTTTATTTCAAAACGTTATAAAAATCAGCGTTACACCGACCGTGGCTGTTTGTCGTAACTCCCTGTCGCCATTCCTCTGCTCTCTCACTCGCACACATACTTGTCTCTTTCTTTCATCCGCTGCGTTCCGTTTTAACAATCAGATAATCTGCGTTCTTAAATTACTAAATAGGTACAATGTTTATCCCACATGTATATTTCTTTTTGTTACAGGATTCCAATATCTGCGATTCTTACAGAGAGCCTGCTGGTTTGAAGGTATGTACATTTAAACAATAGGGTAGAAGACTATATTTTATTTTAATATCCTCTGGTAGATTAGTTTATAACATTAGTTAAGTTTTTTTTTCTATTCACAAAATTGAATAATGGATACTATCCACCTCTTAAAGGATTTAGGTCGTCTTAACCTGTAGCCCTGTATTACTCTTAATTTTGTAATTAATAAATTATAATTATAATTTTTACCGACTTCAAAAAAAGGAGGAAATGCTATGTTGCTGGCTGATTGTTTTTTTTTGTTTGTTCGCCGATTACTCCGCCATTTGTGAACGGATTTCGAAAATTCTTCTTTTGTTTGAAAGGGTATACTCCCGAGATGGTCCATTCTCATATCATAATGATATAACTTAATGGCCACACAATTGTAAATTAGGTATCTATTAAGGTTTTAATGAATAATTTTGTATAGAACTTATGGCGCCGACTTCTAACCTATCAGTGGGTGGGTAACCTATAAGTACTAATAATAGTTATTTTTTGCTTTTTAGTTTTGACGTTTTGTTTGTTATTTATTAGTTTTTGGATTTTTGAAGCCGGTTTTTTAACGTAGTTTTTTTATAAAATTTTGTTCCAGGTGTGCAGAATATGTCTTGATATGGATGCGAAGTTAATACCATTCAAATCAAATCAATTAGAACAAGCATATGAAAATCTAACTGGATTGTCGGTAAGTCAGCAGTCAGCAAAATTTTATATTTACGTTGTGTCACGCTGTGTGTCAGGTTATCATAGAAAGAAAGAAAGAAAGAAAAAAGGAAGTAAGGAAGGAAGAAAGAAAGAAAGAAGTAAAGACAGAAAGAAAAATGAAAGAAAGAAAAATAATTTATTCGGCACAACACCAGGCACAAACACAATACAATAAATACAATAGTACAGGACAGGACTAATCCTAACCCCCTTTAGGGAACAGAGAGTATAGTTCCCTAAGATCGGAAAAGGAGGATCCTCCGAAGACGCGAGGTGATCGTGCCTGGCGTGCCTTCTACCCAACAGTTGTCGTCAGGTCATCCCTACGTCCCCGGCTGGGGGCGCGAGGACGCACGATCCAGGCCGATGCCTGTCTCGGCGGATTCGTTCGCTGCTACATCAGGTGTGGGGTTGGATTAGTCGGGCTCCTTGCGGGGACCGATGCGGTGTCGAGTCCGGTTGTTTGCCCCGCACGCCACGAGCCGCGCTTTAGCCGGGCAAGCCCAGCGAGCAGCAAGCTGTTGGCGGAGCATAGTTTGGCCAGTGTGGGCGACGCTAGGGGCCGCGCTCGAGCCGGGGGGAGCCCAGCGAGCAGCAAGCTGTTGACGGCGCGCGGTCGTGTCCGGTGGGGGCGGAGGCTCTACCGACCCGCCAGCGGGCGGGCGGGAGTCTCACGCGGCCTCCGATGGGTCGGTCGTTGCGACCAGGTCTCGTGGGAGGCCGAGGCCGTCGGGGGGGCGCCGGCCCCAACAGTTGTTCGTTGGGATTTTCTATCCGTGCTAATTCACATGTAAACTTGACATGTGTGATGTAGGATTTTGTGACGTCATCCGTTGATTTGTTTTCATCTATAGTCTAGACATTAGTCGCTACGCCCCCTTCAAACAAGTGTGATGTTTTATAACATATAGACTTTCCGGATCTGCGGACAAGTTAACGCGATACCGGGGCTCCGGTTCAAAGCAGGAATAAGAACGAGGTGATTTTTAGTCTAAGTCTTACTTAAAAGGGGAAAATCATCGAATGTCTTAGTCCACCCGGGTGAGGCGGGAGGGAGTGTCAGACTCTTACTGACTAAAAACCACCCCGTTCCTTCTCCTGCACATTGAGCCGGAGTTCCGGTAACCCTTAATTTCTTCGCGGCTCAGTCTAAGAGTCTGACACTCCCTCTCGTTTCACCCAATGCGGCAGAAGCAATTGGATGATATCCCACCCCCTTAAAAAAATATCCTTCCTCGATAAACGCATTATTCAAGACAAAAATAATAATTACATTCCAACAATCAAATAGTCTCTTCAGCTAAATAAATATTTGTTCTTTGTTACAGCTATGCACAGAAGATAGATTGCCGCAGAAGTTGTGCACGGAATGTGTGCACAGACTCCTAAACTGTGATAAGTTTCGCCTCAAATGTCTAACATCTAACTCTTTACTTCTAGAAGTTATCAAGAAACAGAACTATGTGAGTATCCAACAAAATTAGCTAACTAAAAATCGCGGGCAACTCACGTGAATATACTGAGAAAAGCTCTACTAGTTTCGAATCACAGAGGGGTTCGTGAGCAGCGTATTATAAAAACATATCAAACAAAATATTTATTTGCAAGTTTATAACATAACATTACGCCTTTTATCCCCGAAGCGGTAGGCAGAGGTGTACATGATAGCACTTAATGCCACTGTACAATGTAACACCCACTTTTCACTATTTATGTTATGAGTCCCATGTAATAGGGGGTGAACCTACGCCATATACTGGGCACAATGCCTCCGTGTATTCAAATGTTCTGTGTAATATTTTTGAACGGATTACTACCCCGTTCTACTCCATTACTCCGTTCCAGACTCCGTGCTACTACTGAGATTTTTTTCAATAATCCAATAATACTTTATCGGACCCGGCAATCGCACTTGCGATCACTAGGCCAACGTGGCAGTCTACACAGAACATTTGACTGCATGGAGGAATTGTGCCCGGTATATGGCAGTAGGCTCACCCACTATTACATGGGACTGATAACATAAATAGTGAAAAGTAGGTGTTACATTGTACAGTGGCATTAAGTGCTATAATGTGCATCTCTGCCTACCAATTCAGAAATAAAAGACGTGATGTTATATGTATGTATGTATTAATTTAAAACCGTGTCAACAGTTAACAGAAGAAAATATAAAAACGATCAATCGAGACAATACACATCTTAGAACTAATTTAACAATAACACAGTTTGAACCCAACCATTGCGACTTTTACATAGAGTATACAGAACCGCAACCAATTATAGAAGAGAAACAATGTGAGATAGAAATCAAAGAAGAGAACGAAATATTCTTAAGCGAAGATATTCACGACAAAACAGATTTAAACGTCTTATACGAAGAAAATAAAGAGTTTTCTGACAAAGAATTTGGTTTGGACAACGATAATATTTATTCTTCAGATGATAATATACCCCTAGAGATATGTAAGACTAAGAAAGCTAAGAAGAGAAAGATGAAAGAGAAGAAGCCTCTAAAAGATGTTAAAAAAGTTAAAAAATCAAAGGAGATAGCCGAACCGAAAATCGATAGGAGACGGAAGCCGTTCTTGAACGATGATCTGAATGAGACGCTATTCACAATCACTGACTTGTCTTTTGAGGAGCAGATAGCAGAAATTGTGAAAAGACAGGAGAGTTCGAATTATAAGAATTCAGTGTTTAAATGCACTAATTGTTTTAAAGGGTTCCTGGATGAAGATGCTTATAACAGTCATATTATTAGACATACTAATGTGAGTATTTATTTTTTATTTACAATATAAACATAATATCACGCCTTTTTATCCCCGAGAAGTAGAGGTGCTCATTTTTTTTTTTCTAAGGCATAAGCCGGTAAACGAGCAGACGGATCACCTGGTAAGCAATCGGCGTCGCGCATGGACACCTGGAACACCAGAGGCGTTACAAGTGCGTTACCGACCTTTTGGGGAATTAGGAGTTTGAGGGTCGTTGGGGATTCAGGAATTGGGGAGATTAGGGAAGGGGAGGGTAATTGGGCCTCCGGTAACCTCACTCACACAACGAAACACAACGCAAGCGTTGCTTCACGTCGGTTTTCTGCTCGGCCGTGGCATCACTCCGGTCGAGCGGCCCATTCGTGCCGAAGCATGGCTTTCCTACACTTTTTCCCACACACATTACGGCACTTAATGCCACTGTACAATGTAACACTCACTTTTCACTATTTATGTTATGAGTCCCATGTAATAGGGGTGAGTCTATTCTGCCGCGCCAGATTAATGCGTGGCGGGATGAGCTCCGGCGTGATCTCATGGCGGAATGGCAGCAACGACTGTCGCAACCGAAGGCTGGGCTCGCTGTCATTGCAGCGGTAAGTCCCCTCTTTGAGGAGTGGCTTGAGAGACGCTACGGCGTCCTCACCTTCCGCCTGACGCAGGTGCTTACCGGACACGGAAGTTTCGGTAGGTTCCTGTTTCGGATGGGGCGGGAGGAAACGCCCGGGTGTCATCACTGCGAAGATCGGCTGGAGGACACGGTGGAGCATACGGTGGCGGTGTGTCCTGCGTGGACTGAGCACCGCCGTGTCCTCAGGAATGTGATGGGCGACGGCGAACTCTCGCGTCCGGCTCTGGTTCAGACCATGGTACGGAGCGAGGGGGACTAGGATGCCGTCTCCTCCTTCTGCGAAGCAGTCATGCTAGCTAAGGAGGAGGCGAAGCGCGTGAGGGAACGAACCTCCTGCAGGTGTAGGAACGGGGTGGTTTTTAGTCAATAAGAGTCTGACACTCCCTCCCGCCTCACCCAGGCGGGAGAAGTCATTCGATGATTTTCCCCCCTCAAGAAAAAAAAAGGGGGTGAGTCTATTTTTTACTTATGTGAGTTTGAAGAGGTAGTAGTCAATAAACTGCCTCGTTGGCCGAGTGGTCGGAAGTGCGACTACCGAGCAAGGGGTCTCGGGTTCGAGTCCCGGGTTGGGCAATTAAGGTGTTTTTTGAAAAAAATCTTATTCGTAGCACGGACTTTGGAATTGTACCCGGTATATGGCAATAGGCTCACCCCCTATTACATGGGGCTCGTAACATAAATAGTGAAAAGTGGGTGTGGCATTAAGTGCCGTAATGTGCACCTCTGTCTACATCTTCGGGGATAAAAGGCGTGATGTTATGTTATGTTATATTTTTTACTAGCTGACCCGGCAAACTTCGTACCGCCTAATTACTTTTTCTCACCTTTTAAACCTTCCCTGGACGTTCACGAACATTTCAAGACCAAAATTAGCGAAATCGGTTCAGCCGTTCTCGAGTTTTAGCGAGACTAACGAACGGAAATTCTGTTTTATTTATATAGATTTTCATGCAAGCTACGTCCGCGCGGATTTTCTTTGTTTGACACTTCAAAAGTGCCTGATTAAGGACTTTGACTTCTCCCGTGCTGCTCGGCTCCTATTGCTTATAGAGGAATGTTTTACACCCCATAATTTTCCTAAGTGGACTATCAAACACAAAATTATTTAAATCGAACCAGTAGTCTCTGACATCAGCGCTTTCAAACAAACTCTCTTATATAATAGTACTAGCTACTCCCGCGCAGTTTCACCCGCTCTGCTCGGCTCCTATTGGTCTTAGCGTGATGTTTTATAGCCTAAAGCTTTTCTAGATAAATGTACTATCCAACATAGAAAGAATTATTGAAATCGGACTGGTAGTTCCAGAGATTAGCGCGTTCAAACAAACAAACAAACAATCAAATAAACAAACAAACTCTTCAGCTTTATATAGTAGTAAGCAGTAAGGTTAAGATATATTATATTAATTATTTTATTTGTATTTTTACAGCAATGTGGCGAACATGAATGTGAAATATGCAAGACGCATTTTAAGCACCCACATGCGTTACGCAAGCATATAACTGCGCACCACACGCAAAGGTAACTTTATTAAGTATTATTAGAAAACTTTAAAATTGTCATAGAGTTCTCAAGACTCTTTAATATTATAAACTTATTGGTTTTAAACCACATTGGATTTTAGAAACTCAGAAGGCAGGGTAATTAAAGAGTACCACCATTACAATGCACCTTATATTATTAACATCGAAATCAAATTACAAAATCAGAACTAGCGAAACCATAACTATTAATTGGAAAGAAAAACAACAACACATAAATAAGCAAATTGACTTTCAAATAGAATAAAAATTCTCGCAACACCAAATACGCCGTCTCAATAACTTACGAGTTCCCGCCATCTTGACTTTGTCATTTTTCGAAGCACAGATTATATTTTCCCGCTGTGCGATGACGTTTCGTTTCTTTTTGTCTATGCTTCTAACAGTATATATATAATACTAGCTACTTCCGCGCGGTTTCACACGCTCTGCTCAGCTTCTACTGGTCGTAGCGTGATGTTTTATAGCCTATAGCCATCCTCGATAAATGCGCTATCCAACACAAAAATAATTATTCAAATCAGACTTGTAGTTACCGAGATTAGCGCGTTCAAACAAAAAAACAAACTCTTCCGCTTTCTATAATTAAAAGAGACAGACCTCTGAGTTGGTTTCGGCATTTCTTCTCAGAGTAGTCAGTTAGGAAATGTCGACCTCATCGTTCGCTTGATAAAATTGACGTGTAAAAGTGCTGCCTTGTAGCCTATTTGCAGTAATAAATTCACTTGTTTCACTATAATAGTATAAGATTTATTTTTGATTAAGAAATATACCCAATTACAGGTTTAGCTGCAAGCAGTGTACGTACGTGACGACACACAGACAGACGGCCAGACTACATGAACGATGGCATAAAGGCACCAAGTACAGGTGTCCTCACTGTCAAGATGAATTCGTGTAAGTTTTTATTTAATTTATTTCTACTGTTCATCAATAACATCGCGCCTTTTATCCCCGAAGGGGTAGGAACTAGGAAGAGGTGCACATTATGCCACTGAACAATGTAACACCCACTTTTCACAATTTATGTTACGAGTCCCATGTAATAGGGGGTGAGCCTATTGCCATATACCGGGCACAATTCCAGACTCCGTGCTACTACTGTGAATTTTTTTGAAAAACTCACTAATACTTTGCCTTCGACCCGGGAATCGATGCCGATACCCCTTGCCCAGCAGTCGCACTGGCGATCACTCGGGCAACAAGGCAACGTTGTTTTAATTATGTTTTTTATTTTACAGTAAATTTACGACATACATGGGCCATATACGAATCAAGCATCCATCGGATTTTGTTTGTGAACTGTGTGGGTACTCCTTCGTTAGTGCTAAAGGCATAGAACTGCATAAGAAGCTGAAACATCGACTTGATGACGTACAAGTAAGTTTTCACCATTTTTTTTATAATATAACATATAACATCATGCCTTTTGTCGCCGAAGGAGTGGTCAGAGGTGTAAATTACGGCACTTACTGCCACTGTGCAATGTGACACTCACTTTTCACTATTTATGTTATGAGTCCCATGTAATAGGGGGTGAGCCTATTGCCATATACCGTATACAATTCCAGACTCCGTGCTACTACTGAGATTTAAAAAACCCAGTAATATTTTACCCTGCCCGGCAGTCGCACTTGCGACCATTCGGCCAACAATTATTTTATTTGTTTTATAAAAGCTGTTAGGGAAATTTCTTGGGCTGTATAAATGATAATGCTGATTTCGAAATATAGGTACTGGTTTATACAACGATAGGTATAGTATGTGCTGTATAAAAATAATATAGACGGCAACTTAAGCAAATTGTTCTCATTTAAACTTGTTGATTCACCATGGAGCCAATGTTCGACAGCGGAGCTGCAATACGAGTAGTCCGCCCATCACATACTCTGGGAGTGTGATCTCTGGCAATATGAACGTAACACTATGTTAAATAATTTGGGTTGCCAAGCCATCGAAGAAATTAATATTATTATTTATAAGTCTAAATCTATTAATATTTTTATTATTATTGGTAAGCAATCGGCGTCACCCATGGACACTTGGAACACCAGAGGAGTTACAAGTCGTTGCTGGTCTTTTGGGGATTGTAAATAGAAATATAAGAACAGCAGCGCGTCAGCAGCGCCTCCGCCGCGCTGCAGTTTATTTCAGTGTGGTGCACTTCATTTCTGAACTGCATAAATAATATATCATGCATATATACTGTAATAAAGTAGTGCATACAAAATTATGAGCAAGATGGACCGTGCGCATTATGAGCAAAATGATTAGTAGCCGCCAAAGTCTCTATATCATTTTAAAAATAGGGTAGACGACTAATTTTTAAAATAAAAATTAGTCGTCTACCCTATTTTCGCCCCTACCCTATTTTATTTTCTATGTCCGTCTGATAGATTCTTTAAAAACATTAGACACGTATTTTTTATTTTCTCACAGAAACGAATAGTTTCGAAGATATATTGATTTGAAATGTCGCGTGACGTCACTTCTCAGTACATTTTATACTAAGAAATGACGTTTTAGCCCCCACTCCTAAACTTTGATTCGTTTTATCTAAGTATTGTTTTATTATACGACAAAATAAAAAAATACGTGTCTAATATTTTTTCATTACCTAACTTACGGACTAATTATATTTTTAATTTTCATACCCTGTCATCATCCCCATTGTAAATAGTTTTTGTCCCTAATCGATTTATTCTTGTATGTAGATTTTATCGGTTAGTTTTTCAATCGATATTTATACACGATTTTATCAGTATCATATCTCTAGTACAACTTCAATTCGAATACCAAACGTCATCCACAGACCCCAGGAGATGGTAAAACGACTTATTTGCAACACTGGCTCATTGCCGACTGACACACGCGGCGGCACGCGACCGCCACGCTTCTGTTTAAACTATGGTATTCTGGTAGAGCGATTAACGCGCCACTGTCGCGCTGCTAAAGTCGCCTAAATGTGAAAGAGCTCTAAAATTTTTCAGATCCCTGAAGACGGTCCGTTATGCGAGCTCTGTAATGTGCGTTTTATATCGTCTGAGGCGCATAAACGACACCTCAGCGTTTCAGCCAGGCATAATACGGGTGAGTACTCGTTTACCTACAATACTCTTGTCCTGGGTGTGTGAGACCCGTTTCACGACCGAAATTAATAGCTTATTAAAGTCTGTAGATATGAATCGAGTTTTTGACAATATAACTATGGACTAGTTTAATTATTATGTTTCTCGGCTTACTCACGTACTTTTCTTAATCAAAAACAAATTATTTCGACTGTTCAATACAATAAAATATTAAAAAAATCACACTTTCATTCATTGATTTTATGACCAACTAAATTTTAGTATTTTTCCGGCAAATTTTTAAGAAATAAGTAAGCTGTTTGCGTCTAAAAAAACGTGACGTCACAATACACAATCTCGTACAAAATTAATAGAAAACTGTAGTTTTTGACAGTTGGAAAAAAGTATTGAATTTGACTTGTGGGCAAGTACACAATTATTTGACGAGGAACTCGACTAGTTTCAGCGTGATGTTTTATAGTCTACATCGATAAATGGAAATAATTGTTTTTATAAAAAAGATCGTGAGATACACTAAATTAACTAAAAATCGCGCACGCTGCTCATGAGGAAGAGCCCCTCTGTGGTTCGAAACTAGTAGAGCTTTTCTCAGTATATTCACGTGAGTAACCCGCGATTTTTAGTTAATAAAAATAATTATTTAAATCGGACCAGCAGTTCCAGAGAACAGCGCGTTCATACAAACAAACAAACAAACTCTTCAGCTTTATATTATAGTATAACTATTAGTCATAATATTTCAGGAGCAGACAAAGACTCAAGAGAATCAAATAAACCTAAAAAGGGGCGGAAATCTAAAGAAATGAAGGAAAATGAAAGAAGATCGCGGGACAAGGACAAAGATAGTGATGAAAAGAGACCCATGTATCCTAGTCAGATGAGGAAAGCTGAGGGACCTATACCTTGTGAACAGGTAAATTGAAAAAACATGAAAAACATTAATTCAAAATAATATATATTATTATAAATGCGAAAGAAACTCTGTCTGTCAGTCTTTTCTTCACGCCTAAACTACTGAACCAATTTGTTTGAAATTTGATACAGACAGAGTTTAGAATTTGAGAAAAAACACAGGATAAAGTATCCTGTGTTTTTCAAATTCCCGAAAATCCCGCGGGAGTGGGTACTTCTCAAAAATCCCGCGAGATCGGGAACTATGTGGATAAAAATCTGCTGGTTGTCAATATTCCACGCGAACGAAGACGTGGGCAAAAGCTAGTGTTTTTATAATAACTATCGTGTATTTTCTTCTTCTCCTCTTATAATATCTTCTGATTCACTTCGTTACGGGAACCAAGATAGTTACTCATATCCCTGGGACGCGCCGGACTTCAATGTTCCGGTGTTTTCATGGTTGTATCTACTGTAAATCCTGGCTTACAGAATTTGCAGCGGTTTTGGGAGGTTGTGGCGGGCTTGTCCCATACAAAAAAAAATAACTATCGTGACATATATATTTAATGAATTAACTAAAAATACTATTTTGATCTTCCAGTGTGGTTTACAATTAGAAGATTCAAGAGCCTACCACGGCCACTTCAGACGTATGCATCCGGACAAGAATCGAACCAACTACCCGTCTATGAAGTCGCCGTGTATGTGTGAAGTGTGTGGGAGAATGTTCCAAGTAAGTTTGTATTTTGATAAAGATGTTAAAAAGAAGAAAAGAAAAAATAGTTGATAACTTTTTAATATTGCACGAATGGGCTGGCTCGACCGGAGGAATACCACGGCCTCACAGAAGACCGACGTGAAACAACGCTTGCGTTGTGTTTCCCCCTTCCTCAATCCTTGAATCCCAACAATCCTCAAATTCTAATCCCAAAAGGCCAGTAACGCACTCGTAACGCCTCTGGAGTTCCAGGTGTCCATGGGCGATGCCGATTGCTTACCATCAGGTGATCCGTATGCTCGTTTACCGGCTTATCCCATAAAAAAAATACATTAAAAAATATTTGTATTGTAACTTTCGTGAGACATACTAAATAAATTATTATGTTTTTGGCTTACGCACGTAATTGTTTGACGAGGAACTCAACTAGTTTCAAGCCATGCTAGAGGCTCATATTCATGAGCAGCATTTCGCGACCCGCGACGCGGCGACTGTTGCGTTGCTACAGTAGCAGCGCAACAGTCGCCGGGTAAAACATAATAATTTATACAGTAAAAAATTTGCAAATAAAAATGTTTCCATACAAATATATGCTTACTCACGTGAGCTGTTCAAGAAAATTTAAAACTATAAGCCCCGGTTTGATTGAAATTTTAAGTCGAACATATCTAGAATTTATATCATTTACGCTACGATCTCTAACCAGCCTGCTAGGCTTGGAAATTACGGTAAACCTTTTTAAATATGTACAGGATGCTCAATACTCATAGTTGAACAATGTACCGTGTTTGTAGACTGCTACGTATGTACTATCGGCAAAGTTGACGGTAGTACACAACTGTCAAATACCAAGCGGTCACCGGTGACCGCGACCTATTGTTCTTTAATTGTGTCTATAAAACCGGTACTCGACGAGTTAAATAAGATCTTGTGATCTTGTGATCTTGTGCCTGCCTTGTTGGCCGAGTGGCTGCCGGGCAAGGGGTCTCGAGTTCGATTCCCGCTCGTACAAAAAATATTACTGAGTTTTAAAAAATTGTCAGTAGTAGCACGGAGTCTGGAATTGTGCCCGGTATATGGCAATAGGCTCACCCCCTATTACATGGGGCTCATAACATAAATAGTGAAAAGTGGGTGTTACATTATACAGTGGCATAATGTGCACTTCTGCCTACCCCTTCGGGGATAAAAGGCGTGATGTTATGTTATGTTATCTTGTAACAATCTTCCTATCTACGGGGCTTTTCCCTTTGTTACTGCCGAGTGCACGCGACTATCGCCTAATGATGATCGACCGCCATTTTTGTCGATTGTATGTGACGTATTTATGTATTTCAATTTCTCAATTTATTATTTTTTTCTATTTCAGAGTTACGCCCTCCTAAAAGATCATACATGGGTCCATACAGGCGAGAGGCCATTTAAATGTGATTCCTGCGGCAAATCGTTTAGAATGAAGCAAAGACTAGTGGCGCATAGACGCGTACATAGTCAGGTGCGAGCTAGCTATGTATGCGCGCTCTGTGGGAAACATTTCTCCACGCATAGCAATAGGCAGAGGCATATGTTTGTAAGTATAAAGAACAACACAAACTTACTCCTTAACTCACTCACTTCCTCACTCACTCATTCAACAACTCATTCATTCTCTCTCACTTCTCACTTACTCACCCACTTACTAAATTCAACAACTTACTCACCCACTTACTAAATTCAACAACTCACTCACCTACTCTCTCATTCAACAACTCACTCACCTACTCCCTCATTCAACAACTCACTCACCTACTCTCTCATTCAACAACTCACTCACCTACTCTCTCATTCAACAACTCACTCACCTACTCTCTCATTCAACAACTCACTCACCTACTCCCTCATCCAACAACTCACTCACCTACTCACTCATTCAACAACTCACTCACCTACTCTCTCATTCAACAACTTACTCACCTACTCCCTCATTCAACAACTCACTCACCTACTCTCTCATTCAACAACTCACTCACCTACTCTCATTCAACAACTTACTCACCTACTCCCTCATTCAACAACTCACTCACCTACTCCCTCATTCAACAACTCACTCACCTACTCTCTCATTCAACAACTTACTCACCTACTCCCTCATTCAACAACTCACTCACCTACTCCCTCATTCAACAACTCAATCACCTACTCTCTCATTCAACAACTTACTCACCTACTCCCTCATTCAACAACTCACTCACCTACTCTCTCATACAACAACTTACTCACATACTCACTCATTCAACAACTTACTCACCTACTTACTAAATTAAAAAAAAAATGAGTAACGTTTCAGTATTCCGGCATTACTCACCCAATTTTTAGATTTCATTTATTTTCTTATTAATTTTTCACTTTGTAATTTGAACCTTCTTTATTTACTCCACTTGCCTCAAATAGTCAAGAAAATAATAAAAATAATAATGAATTGTAAACAATTTCAGATACACACGGGTCTGAAACCGTTCAAATGTGAGATGTGTGGCAAAGGGTTCAAGCATGCGAGTGAGAAGCGCGCACATATCACTTATGTACATTTAAAGAAACCCTGGCCTAAACGAGCCAGGGGCAAGAGGAGACCTGACACTAGACAGGTAATTATATAATTAGGTACTTTTCTTAGTCAAAAATAAATTATTTCGAATGTTCTATATAATAAAATATTAAAAAATAATCACACTTGAATTAATTGATTTTGTGAAGCAAATCGTAACGTCACACGATATTTAAAATCAATATAACGTCTGTAGGATTTTGTAAGAAAATAAAATATACGTATCTAATGTTTTAAAATAATCTACCAGACGGACATTAATATAAAGTCAAAGTCAAAGCATTTATTTCAATTAAACCATAGTTTGGTGCTTTTGAAACGTCAACAAATACAAAATAAATAATAGTCTGTCAGTCAGTCCGTCAGTGAAACTAGGTGAAGATAGGTGCTCATTCCAAAAAGTAGATTCGAATGGAGAAGAACGAGCAAGAAACTCCATTCGTTACTCTTTTTAAAAAAGTATGTTCTACAATGTCTCTGATACATATTTCAATACTGTACGCATATGTAAGAACAAAGATGCAAAGACACGCTTGACGCATTATACTAATAACTTACTAAAATTAAAAAAAATAAATAAATTTAGGATACTACCCTATTCGGTACTAGACAACTACATAGTTAAATTCAATACTTGATAACAAGTTTTTTATGCCATAAGCCGGTAAACGAGCAGACGTATCACCTGATGGTAAGCAATCGACGTCGCCCATGGATACCCGAACACCAGAGGCGTTAAAAATGCGTTACCGGCCTTTTGGGGATTAGGAATTTGAGGATTGTGGGGGATTCGGGGAGACATCACTCACACGACGAAATACAACGCTGTGGTAGTGACCCTATTGTGTCTTGCTCGGCCTCGGCTCGTGCCGGCCCAGCATTGCCGAAGTATGTGTCTCCCATACTTAAGACGTATTTACATAAAACTCATAATTAGTTATCTTAGTTACAACAAGATTTTCGACGGAATTCGTATTGTAAATTGTAATCACTTTTTTTTTTCGTCACACCACTCACTACATAGTATAAAACAAAGTCGCTATCCGCCGTCTGTCTGTCCCTATGTATGCTTAGATCTTTAAAACTACGCAACGGATTTTGATTCAGTTTTCTTTAATAGATAGAGTGATTCTTAAGGAAGGTTTATTTGTATAATACATGCATATTGCACCCGTGCGTAGACGGGGTGGGTCGCCAGTATTTAATAATTCAAATAATAGTGGTGATAGACATAGTTCTACCAAAACAAAATAATACAGTAGTAGCACGGAGTCTGGAATTGTGCCGGTATATAGCAATAGGCTCACCCCCTATTACATGGGACTCGTAACATAAATAGTGAAAAGTGGGTGTTACATTGTACAGTGGCATAATGTGCACCTCTGCCTACCCCTTCGGGGGTAAAAGGCGTGGTGTTATGTAATTTTAATACCTTGTCATCATCTGTATCTGTACTGATTATTATGTTTAATTACAATTATATTTTTTCTCTTTCCAGGGCCAGTTACCCCAACCAGGCCAAGATATGGACCTCCAGACCCCCATGTGGCCTCCCTGCGATCCCAAAATGAATGATATGGGACCCCTAATAGACGATAAGCCAATTTATTATAATTTGAAAATATGATTTTTTGTATCAACTTCAAATATTTTATACAGTCGTTGGACATATTAGGATTGTCTTGTGTCGTGTATACGGTCAAAGATCAAAAGTCCACTGCCACCGTAATACTACTATCGGTTGCGCTGCAGCGCTTATACACACACACGCACGCATATTTGTATCCGTGTGCGTACGCGTGCGTGTGTTTATGCGTACGCACGCGTGTTTATGCACATTAATGTGAAATTACTTGCGCATTGCCGTAATTGTACATTTTTAAATTATATTGAGACTAAATATTATGACTAATTGTGTTTTAAATTCTGTTTTGTATATAATTATTGTATGCCTCAACGGCGGGACATAGCTGTACTTTTTTATTATTTAAAACCTGTATTTCTGATGCATACCTATAGTCCACAATAAAGACGATTTGATTTGATTTGATTGCCGTGTGAACATCACTCACGGTGGCAGTGGACTTTTGACCGTTGACTGTACACTACTGTATACTTTCGCGGATTAGATTAAAAGTCGTGATCTTGTATCATGTGAAAAATTCTCGAATAATAAATGTTTAATTCTCGCTTATTACGCGGCCTTATCACAAATAATAGTAATTAATAATTAGATCTGATGTATATAATAATCTTATACTTCTTATCTTATATTTTATGCTAAAGACTTACGGCGCTTACTCTTGAATCCAATTTCGATCGATCAACATTGGTATTGTGAAATTTCGTACTCTTGAGTTTCAACACTAGCACCCATTGCATCCGTATTGCGTGGATATTGAATGAATTAAACGGTATTGAGTTTGGCGTTATATCCCGTACTTTGAATGCTATTTTAACAGCTGCGATAGGGGTTGTATAGTGGTGACATTGAATAATTATTGAGGTTTTATTGGATTGAAATTGCGTTAACATTGAGATTGGTTTCAAGAGTAAGCACCCAGATATGTATGTAAATAATCGAAAGAATGTCCACGGCGCGTCTTACCCCCGCGGCTGTTGCGATTGTTTGCGGCTCCCGCTGCACGCGGGCGGCTAGCGACCGCGCGCTCTGCGGGCGGTACGCGGGCGGTCGCAACGGGAGGGCCGGACTGGAACTCGACTCATTGTTTAACTCTTTCGGTCACACTTTTAACTGGTTACGAATATATTTTATTGAATTACTAGCTTTTACCAGCGACTTCGCTCGCGTCACAAAAGGATAAAAAGTAGCCTATGTGACATATACCAATACACACAGCGCCATCTATACCAATACTTTTATTTTCCCTAGGGAGTATCAATTTTTCCGGGATAAAAAGATTCGCGGGTAGGCGCCAACAAGTGTCAGACGTGTTTTTTGTTAAGGATTTTATTTATTTACAAATTCCATTTATTATTATTTTATTTTTTTATTTACAATTGTGGCTCTTTAACGTAACTAAAAGCCTAAGTCTGATACCACCTGCCAGCCCATCATCAGCACATCACACTAAGCATCATTAGCACCCACAGTAATCACAGAATCACTGAGCCATAGTAGCAGCCGGAGATGGAGGAACAGTTGGCCCAGGTATTGACTGTTCAGTTGAGACTGGAGGACAAGTTCGCGACTGGAATGGCTGAATTGAAGAGTCAGATGAAGTCAGCCGGACCAGCCAAAGAAACGGTAGCTAAAGTTGCAGAGGACCTCCGGACCTTCAGAACACTGATGTATAGCATGCTGGGCTTGCTCCGCAGTCAGATCAGTGCATGTGTTAAGGAGTTTGAAGATGCTGAGACCCGGAAACGTAGAAAAGCTCTGTTGTTCCACGGAATTAAGGAGAATGATGGCGAAGACTGCTATGCGATTGTTCTAGATATATTGAAGAACAAGCTTTCTCTGGAACACTTTACACCAGCGTCCCTCAAGGCTTGCCATAGGCTTGGTACATCAAAGACAGAAAACAGGCACAGGCCAATATTAGTGAGATTCGGGGCAGTTGCAGACAGGTCTTCGGTGTGGAGAGCCAAAAAGGGTCTCAAGGGTTCTTCCATCTCTGTCAAGGAGTTCCTCACAAGACGCCGGCAAGAGGTCTTTGGAAAGGCGCGTTTGCATTTTGGAGTTCAGTCGTGCTGGACCCAGGACGGTGTCATAGTGGTCAAACCTCTTGACGGAAGTAAACACCGAATTACTTCGATGGACGAGCTGAAGCCACTTCTGTCAAAGTACCCTAAGGCGCCGGGCGATGGTCTGCAAAAGGGGAAAATATAGGTATTAGACTTAATATATTGAGCTATCAGTGCATACAAATCCGAACAGAGAGTCATTCGAAATTTTGTTATAATAACTTACCTTTACTTTATCATCTTTTGTGTCAGTGGGTGGTACAGTAATAAAATTACACTTCAACCCACTATCCTGTATTGTAAACAAAGCGCAGGTATATACATTTTTACATTCGATTCAGTTTTGCTGTTTACCTACACAATATTATTAAAATTACTTAATTGAATACAACCATGTTCACTCAACAATTCGTACACTTAATTATTTAATTTAACACTCAAAGATCATTCACAACAATTGACAATCACAAAAAGTTTGAGTTTGACGTTTGACGTTACGTTTAGTTACCAGGTCTGCTTGTTGTCAATACACACTCTATGGTCAATCAATAGTAAGTTCTCAACCCACTGACGCGATGTAATAAATTTTCGTTTTATTGTTGCACTAATGTATGCTGCTCTAATCTCGTTTTATTATTTGTTTTGTTCACTTTGTTTAATTATCTTTAAATTTCTTTTTCTCCTAAATTTTGTTTTTATTCTGGTTGTATTGCATTTTACTATCGCATTTTCATGATGTCAACGTATCCATCTTTTTTAAATGTGCATCGATGTTGTTAGCTGGCGGGTGGTGTGGGGATGCAGGCGTTTACAATTTAATTGTAGCCTTATTTGTTCCGCGCTCATAGTTATTTAAGTACTTTTTAATAGAATATACATGTATATATATATTTATTAGTAACATATATTTTATAAAATTTATATATCTTGTAATACTTCCAGCATAAGTGCGATACTGACGATTTTATATCTGCTGACGATGATGTCTCTTCGACTAATGACAGTTTCCGTTCTTTGGGCGGTTCCCTTAGTGATTTAATTAATCGTTCTCTCTCGTCCGACAAATTTTTCAATGTCTGCCACATAAATGCACAAAGTCTCCCGAGCCATTACAGTGACTTCTATGAAACATTTAACAATAGTAATGTACATGCCATTCTGCTTTCTGAAACCTGGCTCAAGCCGCAACTCCTATCCACTACCTACCCCCTTACAGGTTACATTCTGCTTAGGAATGACCGAATTGTTAGGAGAGGGGGAGGTGTGGCAGTGTATCTTCGCAGTGACTTCCCTTACAAATTACTCAAACTTTCTCCCGTAAATTGTCCTGCTGAGTATATATTCTTGGAGGTTTGTGTCCAGGGGGCCAAAATTCTTATTGGGGTTGTATATTGCCCTCCAACTGTCGATTACTTCACTGAATTCGAATCAGTTTTAGAATCCGTGGGTTCAATGTACGAACATCTCGTAATCATGGGTGACTTTAACACTGACCTCCTTACCCACTCCCCTCGATCTCGCAAACTCCTACACCTGGTCGAGTCAGCTAGTCTGCACATATTACCACTCCAACCCACTCACCACAATACTGTCGCAGACGACTCCTGGCTCGATCTAATCCTCACATCCAATCCGTCCCTCGTCTCTTGTCATGGTCAACATGACGCTCCGGCATTTTCTCATCATGACCTTATATACCTCTCCTACATCCTGAAACCACCCAAGGCAAAACCCAGGGTACTGTACAGACGCTGCTTTGGGAAGGTGGACAATGAGAAGCTTTTGGAGGACGCGTCCAGAATAGACTGGGAACCACTAATGGAAGCCACTACGGTTGATGACAAGATTGAAATTTTCAACAAAGCTGTCATTAACCTTTACGACCATCATGCGCCTGTCAAAATGATCCGATTAAAACGTGCTCCGGCACCGTGGATGACCAAAGGGATTCAGGCGGCTATGCGTCGCAGGGACCGCGCGTTTCGGAAGCACAAGAGGGATCGGACAGAGGAGAACTGGACGGCATATAAAACTGCGAGGAATAGATGTAATCAGATGGTACGCAACGCCAAACGCCGCCACATTCTCAATAACATTTCCTCTTCATCTCCAGCTGATATCTGGAAGTTCTTGAGAACTCTAGGTATCGGCAAACCGCAACCCGCTAACCTTCCTTCTTCAATTGGCTTAGATGAACTTAATAATCATTTTTCCACTGTCTCATCTCTGGATCACCTAACTAGGCGAAACACCTTGTCTTCTATTTCTAGTCTGCCTCGTCCTGGGGTCGAAAATTTCCGCTTCATACCAGTCCAGTCGGAGGAGATTCGTAAGACAATCCTCTCCATTAAATCCAAAGCTGTTGGCTGTGACTCCATCTCCCGTGACATGATCATGTCCATCCTGGTTTATCTCCTTCCAGCAATTACCCATATTGTCAACTATTCCTTGTATTCCGGAGTGTTCCCGTCCTTGTGGCGTAAAGCTTTTGTTCGTCCACTACCTAAGGTTAGTAATCCATCTCTTCCCACTCACTTCCGTCCAATCTCAATCCTTCCCTTCCTGTCTAAGGTGCTTGAAGCTTGTGTCCATAAGCAGCTGTCACGGTTTGTTTATGGAAACAGTTTAATAAGCCCTCTCCAATCAGGTTTTCGACCTGGACACAGCACTGTCTCCTCCCTCCTTAAAGTGACTGGCGATATTAGGGCAGGGATTGAGGACACCAAAGTAACTGTTTTAGTATTAGTTGACTTTTCAAACGCTTTTAATATGGTCAGTCACGATCTCCTTTTGGCCATCCTGTCCCATCTTGCAATCTCTGACAAAACACTGGACTGGTTCTCTTCCTATCTTCGGGGGCGTCAGCAGTCGATCCGGCTTGACGATAATTCTTCAAGTTGGTGTGATCTGCTGGCTGGT